AGTAACAACAAACAACAACGGCGATCAACCTGATTTTGAAAAAAAAAAAAAAAAAAAAAAAAAAAAAACAACCCCAAGAGTGAATGATGCTTCAATTGGGAGCCTCAAGTCCCGTTTTGATCTCCCTTCTGTCCTCTATAAATTTCACGTATCTGACCCTATGTGATTTACTTGCCAAAGCGGCCGGGTTGTCACAGCCAAACACAGCCTCGACAAGTTTGAGCTGAGCGAGATCGAGGAATTTTTATGTTTTGTTTGGATTGGGTTTCCTTTTGTAAAACTTTGACATTGCAGATGAGAAATAGAAAGCACCACCTGCAACCTGCAGACTCTCAGACTCTCGGTTGACGGTCTCATCGCCGACGATCGTCCAGCTCCTGCTCTCGGCGCTCTCGGTCACGCTCGCGCATCTCGCGGTCGCGATCACGGTCTCGTCGCTCCAGTTCGCGCTCACGCCCTCGCTCGCGATTGGCTTGGTCATGGTCTCGATTCTGGTCCCACTCGCGCGAAGGCCTTCGGTCTTGATCGCCCCTGCTGCCGCTCCATCCGCCGCCCGCGCGATCTTGCTGTTGTTGTTGTTGTTGTTGTTGTTGTTGTTGTTGAGATTGGAACGAATGCTGGGGTTGGTTGTGCATCTGCATGGGTGGTTGTTGCTGCTGGTGGTGCTGGAACTGTTGCTGCTGCTGGTTCCACAATGGAGGCGCGTGTTGGTTTGGTAGTTGCAACAGCGCCGGAGGTGGTCCGCCGTTCATCATTCCGGGTGTCTGCATCAATCCCATTGGTGGTTGACGCATGCCCTGACCTTGCCCCGAGCCGAGCGGCAACAGAGGCGCTGGGCTTTCTGAAACGGCAAACCGATTTGGCCGGCGTGGTGGTTGTTGCCCTGTACTTGACGCGTTGGCGCTTGAGTGCGCCGTCGAGGACCCGCCCAGCCCCGGAGGAGCCGTCAGTCCCATGCCTGGAATGACAGAGCTTGAGCTCACAGTCGGCTGTGCGGATGGCAGACCGAGGCCAGGCACGACCATGGATTGAGCTGGCATAACTGGAGCAGGTCCCTCTGCAGCGATTTGCAACGCGTGGAATTGAAGGTTAGTGTTGTCACACGGTCGAGCACACAAAGCCAAAAGGAAAAAAATAAAAAAATGTAAACACCCCTTTCAACCACCAACAACTCACCCTCATCTTCCAGGCCGGCGAGAGGATTAGAGTACCGGTCCTTCAACGTTTCGCCGGGCCGTGGCCTTGTCCAAAACTTGGTAGAGTGGTCATTCGAGGCCGAGCAGATGACATGGCCGAGTGGATGCCAGGTCAGCGTCCAGATGTTGCCGTCGTGCGCGTTTTCCACGGCACCCAGACATTCATCGACACCCACCATCCAGTACATGAGGGAGCCGTCCGACCCACCGCTGGCAAACAGCTCCTCGTGGACGGGATGCCACGAGAGCGAATCGATATCCATTTTGTGCCCTCGGAAGGTTTGCATTTCTTTCATGACACGAATGTCATAAACCTTTATCTGGTGGTCTCTAGATCCCGAGATAAACCAATTACCGTTGGCATTCCACTGGATGGAGTGAACGGGCATGTGATGCGCGTATCTGCAGTGAACACAACGCAACCAAAATAAATAAAGGGTGTAGCAAGCCTTCGGCAGGCCAAACCGCTCTGCACTGCTGTAAGATCATACATTGTTGAAAGTGCTCCGCTCTTTTCGGGAGTGCTGCGAGTATCCACGCGCGGGTCCCAAAGGCGAATTGCATTGTCTTTGCCTCCCGAAACAATCAACGATTTATGCGGATGCCACTCGACGCATTTGACGTCTTGTACGTGGCCTATCCCGAGGGGGAGAGTACATTCAATGCAAACACACACACGCACAGAGTTAGTGTGCAGAAACATGCAAACGTGCCAATCACAAAATCAAGAACTTGACAAAAACTCACCTTCATACCGGCGCTCTTCCACACATCGGGCAAAGTCAAACACACGGACGGTACGGTCGTCAGACGCTGTTGCGAACTTGGCGTCTGACGGAGAGATGCTAACGGCACGGATGGGGTCGCGGTGCGCTTGGAACATTTTGACATTGTTCATGTTGATTTGCCAGTATTTGATAATGCCACCGTGGTCGGCCGTGATCATCCAGCTGTCTGAATGGCTCCACTTCATGGCGCGGACGGCCGTGTCGTGTGCCTGTCAGTGGAATTCAGCGGCGAAAGTTAGTTTGTGAAACCGCATCAGGCATCCATGCTGAAACGCCAGCACAAACCTGCATGATGGTTTCGAAATTGAATGTCAAACCATTCCATAGAGTAAACTCGCCAGTAGAAGCGCCTGTAACCAGCCTTCGACCTTCTGGGGTCCACTATTGCGGCGAGAATTCATTCACGAGTCGTGAGTTCGCTCGAAGGCATCCATAAACCAAGAAAATTGCACAGTCACAATCGCCATACCTCTGCACAATAAATAGGACACCGTTGCTTGTTCCATGAGCTATGCACGTGCTTTGTCATCACAGAAGACGCTGGTGTTTGCGTGTACGCGATTGGCAATTCCAGCTGAACCACGAGAGTGTGTGAGAATGGTGAATGCGTTCGCCAAGCGTCTAGTTTCACAGGTTCCGTGAAACGAAATCCACTTACTTCGCGCACAAACGACTCGTCAGGCGGGAGCAGGGCGGAATACCGCGACGTGCGTTGCCAAATTCGTTTCTATTCAATGACAAAAGTTCCCAAACGCCAAAATGGCCATCCATTGTATGAATCGAGTGAGAATATACTATTTGATTTCACAACGTCCCCCAATCTGAGCAGCGTAGATTGACGAGATCTCGAGTTTTGGCTCGTCCAAGTCAACCCACCCCCACACTCCCAAACCCCAACGGATCTCTCGACAAATACATAAACACCACATCCGTTTCTGTACCTCCAGGTAGGTGATGGCGGATGCGTTGTAGTCGACGGTGCGACGAACGACCGCCTTTCTCATCCGCTTGCCGTCAAAGCCCGGGCCGCCTGGGCCGCCCATCATGGGGACGCCGCCTGGGCCAAGTGGACCGCCTGGACCACCGGGTCCGCCAGCCCGCCCTGGTCCGAACGCAGGCCGAGCCGAGCCAGCCGCGCCTGGTCCGCCGACCTGGACGAGCACCGTGTTGTTGTTGCTGCTGCTGGCGGACGATCCCGACGACGACGACGGAGGCCCGCCACTCATCATCAGCGACATGTGATGTTGTTGCTGCTGCTGGTGGCTGTTGTAGCCGTGATGTGGCGGGCGGCCGAACTGCTGGAGTGGAGGCGGTGCTCCAGATCGCTGCTGGCCCGACATTGTGCAACGGAAAGGAACAAAAAAAGGACTGAGATGAGATTCTGGTCAAGCAAACTAGGACAGAGCACAGTAGAGAAACAAAAAATAGAAATAGAGCAAAAGGAGGGAAAACGTCAAAGCAGTAGGATTTGCTGCGACTGAGGATGGACGGATCTTAGAACGAGGCAACTCTCTTTCGACTCACCATCGTCCTACCATTCTTCGCAAACATGAATGACCTCTGTACAGTATTTACATCAACGTGACATTGGGACGATCACCACACCTCAACTCGATCTCAGTCTTAACTTGCTTTTGATTTTCGTTTCAACCCTTCACAATGCAGCGCACGTGCGAGCTGTGCGGTCTGAACGCGGCGCCGTACGCATGCCCACGGTGCGGCAGGCCGTACTGTTCCATTGCCTGCTTCCGAAGCGCGCGCCACGGGGACTGCTCAGAGGGCTTCTTCCGCGACATGGTGTTTGAGTCGCTGCAGACAAAGGACGCGCACACTGCTGCTGCCCATCATGAATCCGAGCCGGCCGAAGTCACGCGCCAGAAGGAGGCCATGATGGACCTGCTCCAGCAGATCGAGCTGCAGTACAAGGAGGACGCGGCCGGGTTTGCCGATCTGGCTGCAGAGATGCAGATGCAAGCGGACGACGACAACGCTTCCTCATTCTCGTCGTCGACCGGATCAAGCGCCGCTGCGAACGAGCCAGTAGACGACCTGGCAGAGCGCATGGCTGACATTGACCTCGAGGCGGCCTCGGCGGACGAGATCTGGGAGCGCATGTCGGTCAGCGAGCGCGCAGAGTTTGAGCGCGCAGTCGCGGATGGACGCGTCGCCAACTTTGCTCCGTTCCAGCCGTGGCTGCCGTGGTGGAGTGGTCCAACAACGGGCAGCTCAAGTGCTACGCATGATGAGGGAGAGGGCGCCTCAAGCAGCAGCAGTGTACCGACGGGAGTGTCGAAATCGTCGAGAGTGCTGATCGAAGAGCTTTCCTCCAACGTGAATTCGGACGGTTTGACAGCAACAGCAGAAGAGGGTGACGACAAAGAGCAAGGGGCAGACAGCCCAGACAGCCTGGACGAGCAACCCGTCGCGCCGACGCGTGCACCCACGCCAAAACCGCTGACAAACGTCCCTGCCTTGTCGACGTTGATTGGGCCGGGCAAGCAGCCTGCGCAAGAGCTGTGCTTCCATCTGGTTGATCTCGTATACGCGTACGCGTTTGCCATGCGACTGCATAACGGCGACACACAGGGGCTGGTTCTTCCCATCGCTCAAGCCATGCTGGCTGTTTCAGGCGTGCTTTCGGCAAACAGTGTTCATCACTCCGTGGATGCCGCAATCGCTGTCTGCGTGGGCAACCTAGCGGCGTACCAGCGGCAGTCGGCGGGATTGCAAGCCCCGCTCAAGGCAGAGTCTTCGGAAGACGCGTTTACTTCCTCGGCCGGTCTGGAAGCCATGCAGGACACATCCGTCATTCTCAGCTCCTTGCCCCGAATCCAGTCCGCCATTGCAGACATGCATGCCATTCTAACGAGCGCGTTTCCAATCCCCCAGAAAACTACCGCAAAACCACAACAAGCCGCCACAGCTCCGACAGCCCAGTCCAAGCCGACCGCTCGTCAAAAAACCGTCAACGATCTCGTTCATCACCACTTCCAAACTCCAAAATCCAACACATCATCAACTGCCACTGCTAGCAGCAGCCACCATGCAAGAGACACCCCTCTAAAGAAACAATCCACGCCTGCAGCAAGCAACAACGTGGCAGTTAAACCGCAGCAAACGATTCGAAAAGTCTTCTTCTTTGCATCCTGGGCCAACGAGGCGCTTTCCGACCTTGCTTGCCGTGTCCTTGCCGCCGCCGTGTCTGCCGAGCATGCGGTGCGTTACAGGCAGGCCAAGCTATACCGAGACGCCAAGGCGCAAGTCGACGAAGAGCGCGAGCGAGCCAAACGAGAGCAAGCTCGTGCGGCTGTTGTTCAGCGCATGGCGCCTCGACCAAAGTTAATCCAAGAGTTGTGATTGTCGGCATGGGAAGAAATAAAGCGAAACAAGTGGTTTACAATGTTTGCTGCAATGACGACAATTGAGATCCACACCATAAAAATGAACCCGCAAGGTTGCAAAGTCCTTTTACTGCCTGGTTCTTGCAATGTCGCGTTGACATCCAAAATTCATTGGCAGAGACTTGTCCAAAACACAAAATCCTCACATCAACTACACTCACAACAACCAAACCAATGCACACGGCAAAAAAAAAAAAAACCAACCCAAAAATGACTGCGCCTTCAAAAACGGCTAAAGTCCCGGCCAAACAGCGCAAGCTTCAGCCAGTCAAGGGCAATGGCAACACGCACACGCACAGTTACAGAGTTGCTGAGGTAGGCGCCGCGCCAGAGGAAGAAGGCGGCCGTGCCGGAGCCAGTGATGCCGCCGCCAAAGTCGATGGCAGCATCTTCGTGGCCAATGTAGGCCAGCGATCCCATGTGGTGGTAGTGGAATGGCTCGAAATCCTTGTAAGGCCGCTTGTAGGCAAGAGCTGTCGCTTGGCGGGCCAGCCGCTCCTGGTCTTGGGCGGTCGTCACGACGCGCGAGCCCTCCGGAAGGACGGCTGCCACCGCCACGGCGTTTCCTTCAATGCCCGTGGCAGCCTGGCGCTTGGCCGTCTGGTGCAAGATTTCCGCCGCAGCCTTCTCGGAGGCCGCAGTGGCTGTGGAAGCAGGACCGCCCTCCTGCTGAGCGAGGAAGGTGCGCCGGTCTTGGAGCGCGAGGTAGTTGAGCTGCCGCGCAATGTACTTGCCCTGCTGCGAGGCAACCTGTGCCGTGGCCGGGAAGGCTTTGAGCTGCTTGTCAATGTCTGCCAAGAATTTGCCAAACTCGGCCAGATCGAGGCTGCGGTTGTCATCGGCGTCATACTGCGAGAAGAGCTTTTTGAGCTGTCGGACATGCATCTCCATCTGCGGGTAGCGCTCGACCGCGCGGTTGCACATGTGCTCAAACTCCTCGTAGGAAATCACGCCGTCATTGTTCTCGTCCGCCTCGGAAAAGACGTCCTTGACGTTGGTCAGCAGGTGGGGCATGGCCATGGTGGCACAGTCGCCGATTGCAAACATGTCGCCACCGGCGCCAATCACGCGCAGGCGCGAGTCCGTGACGAGTGCGCGACGGTGGTTTTGGCTCTTGTCGAGGTGGGTTGCAATGGTTTCGACCAGCGGCACTTGCTTGATGCCCGTCGACCAGACGCACATGCCATAGTTGAGCGTCTTGGGGACGTCCTTGCCGTCAATGCGCTCCGTGTACTCGACCGACGTGGGGTTGACTTGCAAGACACGCGCGCGGGTAATGACGTTGATGTTTTGCATCTTGAACTTTTTCTCGGCGTACAGCGAGATGCTCTCGTCGTACGTGTTGAGAATGTGGTCGGCAGACTGCACGAGAGAGACGCTGACGTACTTTTGGCAGAGCTCGGGGAAGAGATGCACCAGGTCGTCGCGCACAAGATCGGCAATCTCGGCCGCCACCTCGACGCCCGTGGGACCGCCTCCGACAATCAAAAAGTGCAGCAGGCGCCGCTTTTCGTCCACAGGGGTGGTTGGCAACGCGGCCTGCTCAAAGTTGTCCATGATCTTGGCGCGAATGTCGCGGGCATCCTGGACTTGCTTGAGGAAGTGGCAGTTCTTCTCAACGCCCGGCGTGTTGAACGTGTTGTTGTGCGCGCCGACCGCGACAACGAGGCGATCATACGGCAGCTCAAACAGCTGGTCATGCTCGTCCTTGCACACGACCGTCTTGCGCCCAAAGTCGACATCCGTGGCGCCGGCCTGGACAAAGTGGGCTTGGGCGTTGGCGCACATCTTGCGCATGGATTCGACCAGGCTGCGACTCTCCACCGACCCGACGCACGCCGATGGCAAAAGCGGCGTAAAGACGAACGCACTCCGTGGCGAGACGACCGTCACGTCGTACTCGCCGGGAACGAGGCCCTTGATGACGCCGACCGCGGCCCAGCCCGAGCCCAGAATGACCAATCTCGGCTTGCGTCGGCGACTATCAATGTCCGCCTCCGCCGCCGTCACGACTGCAAACAGACCCATCGTGCCAGCAACAGCCACAGTCGCGAGCGCAATGGCCGCCGCGCCGCGGAAGGACCCCTGGCTGCTCTGGTTGCTCTGGTTGTGGTTGTGGTTCTGGTTGTTGTTTGAATTCTGGTCATTCTGCGAGCTTGCAATGGAATGAGCAGAGCGACGCCCGAGCGCAGGGGCTGCCGTCAGAAGGGGATGCGACGAGAGAGACGGACGAGGAGCTGCAGCGATGCGGTGGACAGGCAGAGAAGGGGATGCGCTTCGAGGCGAGTAAGTGGCGAATGATCGCGAATGACCGTGAGAACGAGAGTGAGATTGAGAGTGGGACGATGAGGTCGCAGCAGCAGCAGCAGCAGCAGCAGCCAGCATGGCAGAGGATGCGACTTTGGTGCGCACGACAGCAGAACGCAGGCGAAGGCAGGTGGACGAACACGTTGAGGCCAGCATTTTGAAATTTTGGCGTGTACGACTCGTATTGAAGATTGAATGAACAAAACAAAGTGGAACTGATCCGCATTCAATCCATGCCTCAATGCAAGTGTCAAGAAAACATTCATGGTTGATTATGGAGCGTCCTGCAGATCTAAACGAGCGGGGGCACAGGACGGAAGCAATTCAAAGGGTCAAGTTTTGAAATCCAGAGCAAATACTGTACAGTACAGGATTGCATCGCATCGCATCAGTATCGCCCTCTCAGACATTCGACTGTAACACCATTCGACAATCATATTCCATTCGCAAGACTCACTCACTCTTTTTTGTGCATCACAATGTCGTTGTTTGATCAGTTCAACAGCAACGAGATTGACGACATTGCGCCAATGGCGCACATGAGCTCCGAGACGGACTTTGACGAGCCGGTATGAAGCGATTGCTCAGCTAGTCAGCGCGTTGCATTCTGGGAAGTGCGTGTGGGGGAAGGATGGGGGAGGGGGGAAGGAGGGGGAGCAGCCGAACGCGAGATCTCTTTCTATTGAAGCCACATTCGTGCTTGCCCGTGCGTGCTGCCATGAGCGCAACCACTCACACATTCTGAATCCAATTGCCCACCTCGCCGGGACTTCTGGTGGGCTTGGTCTGATGGTGGCGCAGATTGGCTCGTCTGGTTACATTAGCGCTCGGCTCAATCTCGAGGAAGAGCTGCCAATCTTCTCCAAGAAGCTGGTCGACTACCGACCGCCGCACCCTGTAAGTCAGCTCTCCACAGCGCAGCTGATGTTGATCAAGAGCAGCGAGCGACAGAGGCCGCGGCTTCACTCACTCAGTCACTCTCGCTCGAATTCACTCATGACACTCACAAACCATTTCCGTCTGCTTTTCCTTCTTCATCGATCAAAGCTCGTCAAGCTGGTCGTCTCAAACGACATTATTGTCATGGCACTGGCGAACAGGTCGGTCTCGCGCCTCAGCCTGGACAACGCTGCCGCCATCGACAACGTCGAGGTAATGACCAACCAGCTCATCGTCTCTCTCCACTCTACTCTGTTCAGTTTCCGAGTCCCCTCACCTCACACATTCGTTTCTAGTTCACGAAACGCTTGGATGATTCCATCCACAACATCTTTCTGGATCCGTTTGGTCGACACTTGCTCATCTCGATGGCTTCTGGAGAAGTGTACTACCTGCACGCGAGCTCCAAGAAGGCCAAGTTGCTGAGCAAAGTGAAGGGTGTGATTGGTAAGGGTTGCTTCTGTTGAGCGTTTCTGACTTGCCTTCGAATCGAGGACGATTGGGAGGAACTGGCGCTGACAAACATTGATCGTCATCGAGCACAGATTCCGTCGCATGGAACCGCCTTGCCACGGCACAGGAGCTCTCGACGCGCGAAATCTTGATTGGCACAAACAAGGGCATGATTTACGAAGCGGAAATCGAGCCGAGCGAGCCCGGCATTTTCAAGGACAAGGACGAAAAGTATTTCAAGCCGGTAAAAGTCTCCCCACCCTTCTTGCGGTCTGCAACCATGAAATCCCTCTCATCCTCCACTCACCTGATTGCATCAACTTCTTTCTGCTGCAGGTGTACAACATTGCCAAGGACGGCGTCCAACCCGTCACCGGCTTGCGGTTTGAACAGTTCCCCTCCAACATGCAAGACCCCAAGGACAAGCGCTACTTTGTGATTGCCGCCACGCCAACCCGCATCTACCAGTTTGTGGGCGTGGTCAGCACTGGCGAGACGCCTATTTTTGGTGGTCTGTTTGCCAATTATGAAATCACGCCAGGTATATCTCAAAGCGCTTCAAGTTTTTTTTTCTCTCTTTGATGCTGTTCGCGTGCATTGCTGACTTTTTGTTCCCCCCCCCCTCCCCCGGCTTGCAGGATTTCACGAAATGCCCGGCGATCTTGGCTACAGCGAGCTGCACTTCTTTTCCCAGCTTCGCGGTCTGCCACAGTCGTTCGCTTGGCTCACCGGACCGGGCATTTACCACGGCTCGTTGCTCTATGGCTCCCAGAATGTCGGCGACTCGGTGCTCGAGCAAACATCGCTGCTGAACTATCCCACATCGGCCACCGGCGGTTCCGGAGCTCCGTTCTCAATGTGCATGACCGAGTTCCACTTTTTGCTGCTTCACCGTGATCACCTTCAAGCCGTGTGCGTGCTGAACGGCGAGGCCATTTACGAAGACACTGTTCCACGGTAGGTGTTCCACGGTGACAGCTTTTTGAACGAATGCCTTTCTATTTGATGTCGCTGACTTTTTTTTTTTGTGTGTGTGTTGTTCGATTTCAGCAAATTTGGCGCCCTCCGAGCGCTTGCCATGGACTCGATCAAGGGCACGATCTGGGCCTACTCTGATTCAACCATTTTTGAGATTGGCGTGCACAAGGAGGACCGCCACGTGTGGAAAATGTTCCTGGAGAAGGGCCAGTTTGAACTCGCATTGCAGTACTGCCACGGCAACCTGGCAAACGAGGATCGTGTGCTCAAGGCGCAGGCTGAGCACTTTTTCGCTGCGAAAAAGTACAAGCTCGCTGCGACGTACTTTTCGCGCACTTTCTCGTCCTTTGAGGAAGTCGCGCTCAAGTTTATTGAAAAGAACGAGCGAGATGCACTTCGCGAGTATCTTTCTCGCAAGCTGGAGGCATTGAAGCCCCAGGTAAGCAGCGTGTTGCTGCGTTGTCATTTATTCATTGTTGGCATTCACACCCCCCCCTGCTCTACTCATCCCTTTGACAACAACCATTCGTTCGTGCGATAGGACAAGACGCAAAACGCAATGATTTTCACGTGGCTGGTCGAGATTTTCTTGTCCCAGTTGAACAGCTTGCGCGATGACGGCGAAATGGACAAGCACAACTCGTTGCAAGAAGAGTTCCGCAAGTTCCTCGCCGAGCGCGTGAATGTTGCTCTGCAAAACACCGACTCGAAGCAGGCCAAGGACATGGACGTCAAGCCGGCCACGTTTTACGACCTGCTCGCAAGCCACGGTCGCATGGACGATTTGCTCTACTTTGCAGGACTGATTGAAGACTACGAGCGCATCATCAGCCACCACATTCAGCACGAGAATTGCGTCGCAGCACTCGATGTGCTGACAGAGCAGCAAAAGAATCTCGAGCTCTATTACAAGTTCTCGCCCGTGCTCATGCAACACGCGCCCGGTGAAACCATTCTTGCGTGGATGCGCAACGGCAGCCTGGATCCCCGTCGCCTGATTCCAGCGCTTGTCCGTTACGACACGTATGCGACTCTGGGTGCTCCTCGCAGTGTAAGTTCGACTGATGATGGTTGCAGTGCTTCTTCATTGGCTTCAGCTGGGCGAGGCTCAACGCGCAATCTTTTGGATGCAGGTCAATCATGCCGTCAAGTACCTCGAGTTTTGCGTCAATCAGCTGCGCAACACGGACCAGGCGATTCACAATTATCTCGTTTCGCTCTATGCCAAGCTTCCTGACGAAGAGCCCATGCTGACATTCCTGAGCAACCAGGTAGCGGTGGAGAATTGTGCTTTTTGTCTTTTTGTCTTTTTGTTATTCTCGAGCATCCGGTGAACCTGCCTTGTCGAGAAGTTTCTGACGACCTGTCTTTTTGTTTTTCAACCCCTTTTCGGTTCTTGCGTCGATTTTCTCAGGTTCAGGCCCCTTGCTTTGATCTCAAGTATGCCCTTCGATTGTGCACGCAAGAACAAAAGAAGCGTGCCTGCGTCGAAATCTACTCTGCGATGGGCCTGTACGAGGAGGCTGTTGAGCTTGCTCTGCAAGTGGACATTGAGTTGGCCAAGGAAAACGCCAACAAGCCCGAAGACGACGAGCAGCTCCAGAAGAAGCTGTGGCTTCGCATTGCCCGCTATGTCGTCGAGATTGACAATGATATTCTCCGGTGAGCAAGTGGTTCTGAGGGCGTGGTGCATGGTCTTGGTGATTTTTGTTTTGCTTATTTGTATTTGTTTCGCCTCGTTTCATCATTCTCGTTTGCAGCGCCATGGCCTTCTTGACAGAGTCCAACCTCCTCAAGATTGAGGATATTTTGCCCTTCTTCCCAGATTTCGCTACCATTGATGATTTCAAGGTTTGGATTTAGTTCTTCTAGTTGGTCTTTGTTCTTTCTCTCCTCACTGACCTGTTCACTTTTTTTTTTCGTTGGATCTGCAGGACGCTATTTGCAGCTCGCTGGAAGAGTACAACCGCCACATTGAAGACCTCAAGACTGAAATGTACGAAGCAACAGAGAGCGCCAACTTTATTCGCACAGACATCCAGGAGTTGCGCAACAAGTGCATCATTGTGTCTGGCGCGGACAAGTGCGCGCTTTGCAACTTCCCCTTGCTCGCGCGGCAGTTCTACGTCTTCCCTTGCCAGCACTCGTTCCACGCCGACTGCATGATCCAGGAGTTGCTGCCCTTCCTCAACAATGTCCAACGAGCGCGTGTGTCTGATCTGCAGCAGCGCATCAACCAGGAGCGCATGAACGCGCAAGTTCTCCGCGCGAGCGGCGACTCGTCTTCCGAAGTGGAGCCCACCGTTGTCATTCCGAAGGGCGATCGCTACAAGGTCTGTTTGGGGCAATGTTTTTTTTTTGTGGTTTTATGGTCTGTTTGGCGCTCGAATCTCACTCTTTGCTCTGGTGCTCTCTTCTTGTGTTTTTTTTTTTTGAAAAATTTGGCAGACGGAGTTGGACGATATTGTGGCAGGCGAATGCTTGTTCTGCGGCGATCTCATGGTCAAGACGATTGATCAGCCATTCATTTCGTCTGTGGAGTTGAGCACCGAGGGTGCCAGCTGGCGGTTGTAAATTGATTTATGTTCGTTGTGTTGGTTGTTGATTTTTGTGTCTCTCTCCGTGGCTGTGTCTGTCAACGTTGTTTGTTCGTCGCGCGCAATTTGTGTTTCATCAATAGGATTTACAGTAAACTTGTTTTTTTTTTTTTTGAAACAGGCAATAAATAGAACAAAAAAAAAAAAAAAAACTCATTAGGTTTGCATGGCGGCCTGGCCAGGATCAAGCCCGACATGCTGCTCTTCAACGGCACGCTCTTCCACAAACAGCTGCATCTGCAACAGTCCGGTATGGACGGACTTGAGAGGGTGCAGGAAGGGGTTTGCCAAGATGGCGTCTCGCGGCTCGGCCATGATCCACGGGAGCCGGTGGTCCTTGTACATGCCAATCGTGCCGGACGCTTCTGGTCGAGTAAACACGCAGACAGAAAACGAACGAGTTTCGAGGTCTTTGGCGAGGACTGGCTGCAGCAAGGCGTCGCACAGGCTTATTTTGATGAGGACGGCGCGAAGCATGAGTTCGATGTCGGCCAGCGACACGGATCTCGAGGCAGGAAGTGTGGCTGCTTGGACTTCAAAGACAAATCGTTCCAGGATGGCCGTTTCGTCGGTGGACGTGTCGACCGGGTTGACCACGTTGACGGCAACGCGGGTGACCAAGCGCTTCTCCATCCAAGGACGTAGGCTACTCACAATGTCCAGAATATACCGATTGAGCTCTGGGTGTCGATTCATGTAGACGGGTACGTTGAACTGCGCGAAACGTATTTGGAAAAAATGAGCAAAGTCAGCAAAAGATCTCGGTGGATTGCCAGCTCGTTCGCGAACGAGGAACATGGGTGTCACACAAACCTTTTTTCGGCGTTCAAAGGACTCCATTGGGTAGAGCTGCCGCGCGTAGAGAATCATGTGAATGGCAACCTCGAGAAAGTCGCAAAGGATGTCCACCGACGCGTTGTAATCCAATCCCACTTGGTCCGACTGCTCGGCGGGTAGAGCAGGCGCAGGATTTGAACCAACAGGCTGTTGAGCATTACTGTGACTTGTAGTGTTAGGATGACTTGGGAGTGCAGCGGGAGCAGCGTTGACGAGATTTCGTGCACCAGCGACTTGAGCGGCAGATCCGCTTGTGATCAGTCCAGCTCCGCTCGTCGTCGAGGCGTGGTTTCCAATGAGACTCGAGAGTGGCGGCTTCATCATTGGTGGCCTGGCAGCAGCCGCCGCAGCAGCAGAGGTCGACGGCTGGTCGCGCATTCTCGCCTGCAACAGATCGTCGTCGTCAACGTCGTCGTCATCGTTGTCGTTGTCGTTGTGATCTTTGTCGTCGAGCATCATTGCGTTATTATCATTGTGCATGGAAGTCCAGCTCTGGTTTGGAGGCGCAGCAGCCGCGCGACTGTCCCGAGAGGACCGCATTCATCCACAATTCTAAAGCTGAAGCTGGACTAGCTCGCCAGATTCAGTTTACCATCGATCGTCAAGTTGGTCATCCATATTGCTTACATTGACATGACGCAGAGAAGTTCAGATTCTGAGAAAATCTCTTTTCTCTTGCCCGTAATGCTCAGTCTTCATTGCGTTTTCTCAGTCGATTCTCGCACCGCAAGCAGTGCACAGAAAACTACCTGCACACATCATGCCGCCAACACGGCCTGCGCGGAGCTCACGCGACACTGGAGCTGATGGCAATGGCCCAGGATTGCCACCGGTGCTTGTCGGACCCGAGCCGAGTGCCACGAGCGCCACGAGCAGTCCAAGGACAACGCCGACGACGCGACAACCATCTGCTCCTTCGACAAGCACCTCCATTACGACGAACAAACCTGCAACCGGCAACCGTGCGCCCGTCATTCTTGCCTCGACGAGCAAGGCGGCTGCGGCTGCATCGAACCGCACGCCGTCGGACGACCGAGCGCGACTGTGCACGGTCATCGATGACCTGACGTCGTCACCCGAGCTCGCCCAGTCCATCAGCGCAGACGCGGTGGTCGAGTCTCCACTCATGGCTGAAATCAAGCAACTGTGCAAGAAGAGCGATGCGAATGTCGTCGCGGCACATGGATTCTTACTACAACAGCTCGCTCGCCGAAACTCTCAGATTCGGCTTCTGAGCGTGCGCGTCATGAACGAGCTGTTTCGACGGTCGCACGTCTTTCGCGGACTTGTTGTCGAGGAGCTGCCCGCGTTTTTGAAGCTAGCATGTGGCATCACTGCCAGTCGTGCAGACGCTTCCTTGAGCGAAATGCTGCTCGCGACGACGGGTGCCAACGCCGGCGCCGTGGACTCTGCGCTCCCGCCTCCCGTCCCTGCAGCCAAGCTGCTGCGAACAACGGCATTGCGCTCGTTGAATGCGTGGAATGCGACGTTTGGCACGGCGTATCGGAAGCTGGCGTTGGCGTGCGACTTTTTGAGCAACCAACTCAAGATCAATCTGCGCGACCCGGACTCGTCAAGCATGACGCAGCGAGAAATCCGAGAGCGCACGACGGCCATGCGGAACCAACAAGTGCTGGAGCTGCGCCTGCGGACGCTGATTGACGATGAGCTGGAGGGACGGTTGGACGAAGTTCGCGAGACCCTTCGAGAGACCAACGCTGTGATTGAGCTGCTCGTGCCATCGATTGATGGGGCCACGGGCTCGGGCAATGTTTCGAGCGCGAGTGGTGCGAGCCATCTCACCGACCCTCAGCTGACTGCTCGCGCACACGGTTTGGGCTCGTCCCATTATCAACTGGAAGTGGCGCTGGACGGGCGTGCGTTGCAAATTCGACGCACCACCGACAACAAGGCGCTCATCGCCACCATCACCGATGCGTGCAAGCTGATCGAGTCCAGACACTTGCCGTTCATTGCGTCGTACATTGATTTGCTCGTTCAAGTCGGTGAAGCTGCGCTCGACTCCCACGCGACCCAACACTCGCGTCTGCGAGCAGCTATTGACGTCAAGCGTGAGCTGCAAGCCATGCTGGACAAGGCGCACGAGCTCGAGTTTGTCGGTGCCGAGCCGCTGGTGGGTGAGGAGAGTGACGACGAATGGGAGGCGGTTTCTACTGGAAAGCCCCCTGTCGACCAAGAAGACGGGAACGAGGACGAAGCGCAAATTGCTGTGCATTTGGAGCGCGACGACTTCAACGACGACGACTGGGTTTCAGGGAAGCGCAGTCGCGACGACGATTCCGTGGACGAAGAGGATGCCGATGATCAGGTTCAAGAGGAAGCTGCTGAGGCTGCTGCTCCTTCAGTCGCAACAGATTCCGTCGTTTCGACAGCAAATGCACCATCCAATCCAACAGTCATCGCCACTCCCAAGCCAACAACAGCCGGAAGAGTCGTAGTTGCTGGATCGACAGTCCCCATCCCAAACATTAACGCCATGGACACGGCGCATCGGTTTTGGGGCAATCGAGACAGCGATGATTTGATGTCGGACGTTCCGTCAGCGATGCGAGAGGTGCTCGAGACCAGCGTCGTGACGTACCAACAAGAGCCCCTTGAGCCGGTAAAGTGGGCTTGCCGTGCACCCTTGGGCAAGGCAGGGCGTCTGTGCAAGCGCATGGATCGCGAGGTGTGTCCGTTTCATGGGCGCATCGTTCCAAGGGACGAAAGCGGCAACCCTACCGATCCCAAGTTTCTGGAAGAGCTCGAGAAACGCCGGTATGCGGATGCGCTGGTTGCCGCGAGCGCGATTTCTGCGTCGGGGAGCGTCAAGGTGGCAGGGCAGCGAATGACAGCTGCCGCCAAGGTCAAGCGAGCCAAGCTCGAGGCGCCCGGCGTTGCCCTGGGACGAGCAGCACCTGGTGCAGAGGCTGGAGGCGAGCTCACGGCGCGCAAAGACGACGCAGATCGCTTGTTTGAGCGCGATACGGCCACGGTGCAGGCCTTGCGGGCGGGCCATTCTGCGCTGGACGTGGCGTTGGCGCACGCCTTGACGACGAATGCGCCTGGAAGCGAGCGCGTGAATCGTGAATGGATGGGTCTTGAGCGTGATATTTTGTCCTCGCCCGCCGTGGCTGGCACGCTGGCGTCTCAAAAGCCAAAGCCACGCCTGACGGACATTTCTGACGCGAGCTCCTCGGTGTCGTCGTCGTCGTCGTCAAGTGGCGGCGGTGGCAGCAGCAAGAGGGATCCAGTCGCGTCCTTTGAAGCTCGTATGCGGAAGGGCAACGCGTCAAGGCGGGCCATTCTGGACCGAATGGAGGCGCAGGAGGACAAGGCGCGCAGGGACCAGTTTGGCGACTTTTGGCAGTATCGTGAATAGTGCATGTATGTGGTTGCTTGATGTGTCTGTTATTTATTCTCCAGTTGTTCCAAGAAAATCTGCACACGAGTCAAAGCGCGGGCATTCGCTTGGCAATCATTCCTATGAATCTTCGAGACTGGTTGTGGTTTGATTCGAAGACATGCTGTTCGAGGACATGCTGCTCGAGGACATGATGTGCGAGGACATGCTGTTCACCCTGAATCGAGCTGAGAAGCTGAGAAGATGAACTTGGTCTCAGCTTCAAGCGGTTGCTGTCGACTGACATCCAGAAAATAGACACATCTACGTTTGGAGGGTGAAATCATTTTGAAATGCAAGTACAACGCTCTCAAATATTGATACATCTATTGTCAGTCGTTTCTCATACTTTCAAAGATGGTCAAGTTTGATGCCAAGTTTGCCGAGAAGCTCTCGATCCTGTCTCACCACAGCGTGGGCATCCTGACCCGCCTGTACAACCTCAAACAGGTACCTCATCCTGCAGACGGAAGCATGTTGTTGAAACCCCGTGTTGGCTGAGCAACGCTGGAGAGCGAGCGAACGAGCGTCAGAGAGATAGAGCCGATCTGATTCCAGTCCAGCATCTCTCTCTCTCTCTCTTTCTCTCTCCGCTCCTCTCCTTCCCCTGGCCCTCCAATCGCTCGCCGTTTTCATCTCTCTCCCTCTCTCTATCCTCTTTGATCTCCCTTCGCTTTCCTCCATCGATCGTTCCCCCCCCCCCTTATTTTTTGCCTTACGCTCAACCTTCAATTTTTTTTTTTTTCAAACAAGGCAATATTTTTGTGTTGTTTGGCTTTTTTTTTTTTTTTTTTTTTTTCCATTGAATCGCTCCCATTCTCTCCATTCTCTCACTCTCTCCCTCGCCCCCCTCTCCCTGACTCTCTTCACTCACCTGGTCCAATCACAGACGTTTGAAAACCCAGAGACCCGACCGTCGTTCCTCTCAGACAAGGTCATCGAGCCCGTCCTCAAGAACATGGTCAAAAAGTTCCCGTTGATCGACAACACAAAGGTCAGTCACGCTTGCCCCCCCCCTCCACCTCTCTCACGCTGTCTGTCTATGTTTGCATGACTCTGCTATGGTGCGCTTCTTGTACGCGCCCGCTGTCTCTGCGCCCGGCTGCCACACGCTTCACGCCTTTTGTGTTGAAACTATTGGCTTTTTTTTTTTTTTTTTTTTTTTGATTTTCAACAATTTTCCAACAATCATCATCTCACCAATGCAAACAAACTGAACCAATCAAACAGACCATGTCAACCCCAATCCCTGCACGACGCGTCGAGATCGCCAAGGTGCTCGAGCCGCACTACTACACGCTCCTCGATGCACTCGAGTTCAAGGACGTGGCTGCGGATCTGCTCACCTCGCTCGGCTCGACCGTGTCGGCCTGCAACCTGGCCGCCAACTTCCACCTGACGCGCGGCTTCCTCGACCTCCTGGTCAACTACGCCTCCGCCATGATCATCTTGTCGCGCGTCGAAGACCGCAAGGTGATTGCTGCCCTGTACTGCACGACGCACGAGCTGAGCGCCAGCTCGGCCGAGCCCAACTATGGCCGCCTCTCCCAGTGGCTCTCCGACTATGAGCTTCCCATTCGCCGCCTGTCGGACGACTTTCAGGGCATTTCGCGCTTTATCGCCTCGGCCATCATGTCGTGCCGCAGCCACTACGGCCGCTTCCACATCCAGGCCGCCCTGCTCCGCCAGTCCAACATTTTCCACATGCTCACGAGCCGCACCGACCTGCTGGTGCCGACCCACACCACCGAGGTTCTCAGCGACGTGTTTGTCTCGCTCGATCGCATGACCAGCTGGATTGTGATTGGCTTTCTGCTGTGCCCAGCCGAGCTCGACCACTCTGAGACGAGCGATCTGCTCCGCGTCGCCCTCATTGACGGCTTTATCACGCCTCTCTTCCGCGACGAGGTGCTGCACATCCACGCAGAGTACGAAACCACTGCGGCCTTCTACAAGACCACCGGCCGGTTGACCAAGCTCAAGCAGCTCGTTTCCGACTGCGCTGCCTTCGCCGTTCAGTCCAGCGGTGGCTTTCACCGCGAGCGTCGCCACTTTTTCCGCCAGAGCATCCAAGACCTCCAGCTCTTGTTCACCGACAAGCCGGGTCTCCTGGGCCCAAAGCTGCCCAGCCTGCTGATTGTCATGGGCCTCGCGCGCGACGAGGTCATCTGGTACTTCCGCCACTGCGAAGCCGCTCCTCCCAAGACCCGCGGCAAGTACAAGGACACAGAGTACCGCGACAACACGATTAGCGAGCTCATTTTCTGGCTCAAGGAGGCCGCCGCCCTGGTCAAGTCGTCCGAGACCATTCTGCGTCAATACTATGGCGAGTTTTTGGCCGGATACGATCTCGAGCTGCTCCGCGACGCAGTGTCCAACATTCCATGCCCGGAGGAAGAGTCGACTTTGATTACCTCGTTTGTCGACCTCCTCAGCGGCCTCTCGCCCGCCACGCTGGCCTCCAATCCGCCCTCCTTTGCCGGGCTGCGTCTCGACTGGTTCCGCCTCCAAGCCCTCATGTCTGTCAACAAGGCGCCCGTGCAGCTGGCCAGCTACCCAGAGCTCACCTTGTACATGAATCTGATTTCCTTCCATTCCTACGGTGTCGACGCTGTGGACGAGCTTGTTCGGCAAACCTCGTCGCTCACCGGACTGGTCGCCTACCGCCGCGAGCTCATCAAGCACTTTGAGCCGTGCATGAACACGCCTCGCCAGTCGCGATACTCGTTCGTCTTCCCCGCCATTTGCGGCGAGTTCCCCTTGGCAGCCCACGAGTTTTTGGCCGAGGAGCGCGCCCTCCTGGGCCAAGTGAGCGTCAGCCTTGCAGACAAGTTCCTGGAGCACATTGCGTCGAACACGGCCCGCACCGTCCACCAGTACTGTATGGAGCACGTGCGGATGGGCCACGAGCTGCTGCCCGTCACTGGCACCCAAACCCTCATTGCCGCCTTCAACGAAAAGGTGGCTGCCGCCAAGGAGGCTGGCCGCAAGCCCACGCGCAAGGCGGTCGCCCCGCCGCAGCTGCTCGCGCGCAACCCGACCGTCATTGCGCACTTATCCGAGTTGCACTTTTCCCTGGCCGATCTGTGCTGGTCCATCAGCCACGACAGAACGCTGCGCGTCTTTGACACTGACTTTTGCCCTCGCGAATACCTCGTCGAGGCGCTGCAAAAGCTCTTTTCCGGCGCTGTCGTCGGTCTGATGGGTTTCCGCGACGAGGAGCACCGGATCAACCGCCCCTCGATCCTTCTGCAAGCGACTCTTGCGTACATGGAGGGGTTGTTTTCGCTCGAGAATTATGGTACAAGGGGGGAATGCAGTTTTTTTTTTTGGATGTATTTTGTTGACTTGGCTTTTTCACTCATTTTGTTTTGTTCGTTTGGCGCGCCGCAGTCGATATCAATATGCTCGAGCTCTTCTACAACGTCCTCCAAGAACAAACGCAGCTGAAGGACCGCAACGGCAAGCCGACAGTCGCCACTGGCTACTCGACGTGGTACATGGACTTTTTGACGCGTCAGGTGGACACTGGCCACTATGCCTACTCGGCTCTTCGTAAGAGCTTTGTGAGCCGTCAGGACGTTCCGTTCAAGGCCGAGCAGTTTACCGATCTGCCCGGTAAGTTTGTTGTGCAGTGATTGTCCGTCAGCTCGTTTTTGTTCTCATTTGTTTTGCTGTGTCGACTCGGTCCCAGAATTGATGTCACTCTGCCAGCTCATCGGCCCTTACGGCGTGCGAAGCTTGGATGAGATGATTATGAAGATTTTGACTGCCGAGGTTGGTCAGATCAAGGTAAAGCGAAACAGATAGAGCAACAATGATTAGTTTGTGTTCATCATGACCCTCACGGCACACCTGTTGCTTGGGCTCCACAGGGCTATGTCATGAACAACCAAGACGGCCTGCAGATTCTCCAAAAGTCATGGCACGACGCTGCTCGCTGCGCTGACGTGCTCAAGAAGCTGAAGAGTGAGTTTTTTTTACTTTTTTTGTGTGACAGCATTTGGCAAAGGCTGGGCGTCTTTTTTTTGTGGAGCATGCAGCTCAGTTCGTTCCTCTCCATCTCGGTTCTGTCTAGACGTCGACGAGCTCATTGTTCGCTCGTTGCGAATTGGCGCCCTGCTGAGCTTCCGTTCGCTGCTCACCGAGGCTCTCTCGCTGGTGCTTGCCACGCGCGCTCCTTTGATCGCCAGTTGCGTGAAGGACATGCACGAGTTCTTCCCGGATGTCCGCGATCCTTTGGTTTGTTTTATTCGCAAGCAGTGGTTGCATGTTGCACTTGTGTCGTTTGGCGCTCGCTGACTGTTTGTGTTTTCCATTGCGCAGTTTGCCCAAGCTGTCGACCGTATTGCGTTGTTGGCCGGCATGACCATCGACATTGATCCTGTTATTTCCGACGCGCTCAAGGAGCATTGCAGTACGTTCATTTCTCATTTTGATTTGAGCTAAACAACAACAAACGAAAAAAAAAAATCCTGCTTCACTCACCCCCGACTTGGAACACTGCCACAGTGAACCCTGACTACGATTTCAAAGTCTGGAACCTCCTGCTCGTCTTCTTTGCCGCTTCGTTGTGCACCCTTTCGACCCGCGAGACGTCCATCTACAAGCCGGCGCTCGAAGCAAACGCAAACAACGCGCACTGCCTGCCGTTGGTCATCCACAACCTGTCCTCCACCCTCTTGTCCCTGACCGCCGAGGCCGATCAGCACATTCCCGAGTGCCAGAAAGAGTTTTTGACGGTGGGGCGCCAAATTGCTGCTGTTTTTTGCTTGCTTTTTTGCATTCATCGTGACTCACGCATTGCCGTTGTTTGATTTCTTTTCCATTTTTTTTTTGATTCCGTTGGCAGATTGCATCCGTCTTGTTGATGCGACAGCGCGCGGACGCCAACAGCACCAGCAAGGACGCGCCGAAAGAACTCGACTCGATTGTCATTATTCTCGACAAGTTTGTCCAAATGTCGCCCTTCCTCAACGCCGAGGAGCTGGAAGAGTGCCTGCCCTACACGCTTCTGCAGGCTTCGTACAGTGTTCTGCATCAGCGACGGGCTCCCACCGGCAGCAAGAATGTTGGGTTTTGATTCTGCTTCTTTTTGTGGTTTTGTTGTTTTCGGTGCGAAAATTACTGGTGCGAAATTTTGTCCTGGGACTAGCGTTGTAATACAAATGTTTTTTTCTTTCTTTCTGTTGCCAATGCGAGGTCGCGGAGGTCTGTTTGTGTGTGTGTGTGAATGCGAATGACTCTTCGGTGGGTGTGTGAGAGAAGTTGCGTGAGATCGCGTGTCAGGGGCATGTGAGAGAGACGCAAACGGTGTTTTGGTGTGATGGCGTGGGGCGCGGCGAAGCAAGCGTTTGAATGCGCCGGCCTTCCTTCGCGATTCGGCTTGCGCAATTGCATCGTAAATCTGAGATGGCTCAGTGCATCATGCACGCGAGCGAGTGTCAGGGACCCAAAGTGCTGGCTGGCGCTGGCTGGTTGTTATGAATGCGACGCCAAAACCCGCAATCTCGCCTCACTTTGTGCCACCTCGTCCTCGTGAACGCTTCTTGATCACCGATAGTATTCTATTTTTGACCAATTACCGAACTTGATGAAACAAAAAAAAATTACAAACAAAAAAAGCCCAACAACAAATCATGACGCTGCACCCTCTTTTCCTGAAACCACAAAAACGACCCAAACCCGCCCCTGTTCGCCGGTTCGCTGGGAGTTTTCCAGCTTTCCAGGGGGGTTTGGGCTGCTTGTCCCTGCCCGCACAGCCCCAGCCGTATGTGTCACGTAATTACGTCCTTCTTTTCGGTGATGCACGTCCAATAGCGATGCTCCCCTGTCTCTCGTGTGGCAGCAGAACGTCGTCACAGCCCGCATCTGTGAGTTTTTCCCCACACTTGATTTCCCACAATCGCGTTTCGCATCGCGGTCAGATTTGTTACTTCCCCCTGCTTTTTTTTTTCTACTATCGACACACCCAATCTACCACATCTCGCACTCTCTTGGAATGCTCATCCGCATCCAGTTTGCATTCTGCGCCAGTTGATTGTTTGGCTTTTTTGCCTCCTTTTTTTCATTTACCGGCAAATCGTTTTTTTGTTTTTTTTCCTCCAAACCCGCCTCCCTTTTTCTCCTTTGGCTTTGGGTTTCTTCGACTTTTCCCTTTCGTCTTTTTTTTTTTCGGTCTTTTTCTCTTGCTTTTTGGCGGGCCCTTCGCAAGTCGCACATTCGCAATGCAATTTCCCTCTCGTGGCTGTTTCGCCCCACAGACTCGCACTTTTTGACGTTGTTGTTTTTTTGTGTTTTTTCCGCTTGCCTTTTCTTTTCTTTTTCCGCCAAACAATCAATTGCTTTTCCATTCGTCGTTTGCACGTCGCTTGCCGCTCGCAACCAAGCCTCGTAATTTTTCCTTGTTATCTTCTTGTTTTCTCTTTTCTACGCAAAATGCTGGGGCACCACGCGCTCTCTTTCCTGACACGCATCACGCACTGCTGGATATTTTTGACTTTTTTTTTTTTTCTTTCAATTTTTTTTTTCTTTCAATTTTTTTTTGCCTTTCAATTTTTTTTTCAGTATTTTTTTTTTTTCGATAATTGTATGGGATTTGCATTGGCCAGTCCTCAATTTTATTATTTTTTAAAATCGATTAATTTTTTTTTTTTTTATCCGACACGACAACAAAGTTTGATAATTTTCTCCCTCCTTTTTTTTTTTTTTTTTTTTTTTTTGCCGCTGTTTGTATCACCCGCTCTTTGTATCACCCCCACCACTCTGTCCGATCTGCTTCGTCTGGCACAAATGGACACAGCAACGCTTGTGGACGCCTCGCCGGTGGCGGTGTCGTCGCCGACGTACTCTGCGAGCGGCAGCAGCGTTCTTCAGAAGCAGCACGCTGCTCCTTCTACTTTTGCCCCAGCCAGCCAGCAACGCTCGCCTCCCCCAGCCTCATCGCAGCTGCGTCCACCCACCGCGACACCCATCTGCGCCACGTCCACCTCGACCATCCTGATGGAGCTCGGGCTGGCAGGCACCGCGATGGTCGACCCGCCGCTGATGGGGACCGTGACGACAGACTCGATCAGTAGTGACCCTTCACCCTTGATTGCTGCTGCTGCTGCTGCTTCTGCTGCGGGTCTGGCCCCTCCGTCCGCCTCCTCCTCCGCCATGCTGATGGCAAATTCAAATGCAAACAGGGAGTACAACCAGCTGCTCATCCAGCAGCACCAGCAACAACAGCACCAACAGCAACAGCAGCAGCAGCAATTGCTCATCGCGGGTGCACCTTCCTCATCGGGACGTAGCCAACCGCAAGGCACACCTTCACCGCCCCTCTCTGCTACCACTACTACTACCACCACGACTGCTGCACCCTTCCAGCACCAGCTGCTGCAGAGCACCACAGCTTTCAACAACAGCGCAACCTCATTTATGGCGGATGCGCTGGCCTCGGTGGGTGGCAGCACGGCTTCGTTTGGCGGTGATCCGGCCGGCGAACAATTGGTTGATCCCACGACAATGCTGCTGGCCCAGCAGCTCAACCTCGCGACATCGCACCCGCAGGTGGTGGCACAGATGCAGGTGCTGCAGCCCGCCGAGCGAGAACGCTACCTCAAGCAGCTGACCTCGTGGGTGGAGCAGCAAGTCCTCCAGCAGCTGTTGGTCCAGCAGGCGCAGCAAACAGACCAAATCGAGCAGCAGATGCAAGCGCAGGTCGCGAGCATGCCGTCGTCCAACCCGAGTGCCGGGGCTGCGGCGCTCCGAGCGTCCCTGAACAAGCGGAAAGCAAACGCGATGGCCATCTCCGACGCCGAGCTCGACTTTGCGCAGTTTGGCGCGGTGAGTCAGCTGCTCTCCCCGACCACCACCGCCTCCACCAGCATTGCCTCGGTCAGCCCTGGAGGGCGGACGGCGTCGTCCTTGACTTCGACTGCCTCGCTGAGCCCGGCGTCGGCCGCGTCCATCTACGCCATGACCCAGTCCGGTTTCCCTGGCGACGACCCGGCCTCCTTGTTTGGCGACGCGCTGTCCGGCTCTGGCTTGCACAGCGGCAGCGGTAGCGACTCTGACACCAAGGCGCCCAAGTCCGCCTCCAAGCAGGGCAAGGTGGCCAAGTCGCACCAACAGCAGCGGTCGGCGCTCGACGAGCTCGACGAGCTGTCCGACCTGGACGCCTACCTCGAGGACGACGAGTCCAACTTTGGGGCACCGTTCAGCGCGACCAACTCCAAGGCAGCCGCAAACTCGCGCAAGCGAATTTCGCACATTGCCTCCGAGCAGCGTCGCCGCAACGGCATCAAGCTCGCCTTTGAGCACCTGCGCGATCAAGTCCCCTCGTGTCGCCCTCACGATGCCAAGGCCATGATTCTCCGAAAGGCGGCAGACTACATTTCCGCACTCAAGAAGGAGCGCACCGACCGCGGTGAGGTGGACGACACCACCGAGCTCCGCAAACGCGTCAAGTTTGCGACCGACTTTATCGCGTCGCTGACCAAGCAGAAGGCGCAGCTCAAGGACCAGCTCGACCAGTCTCAAATCCGCATCTCTGCGCTCGAGAATGCTCTGGCATCAGGCATCGCTGGCGATCGCCTCGAGTCTCGCAAGCGTCACATTTCTGCTGGCCCTTCCGGCGAGCCTTCCAATCAGTGGCCAACCCTCGACGACGGAGCCTCCGCCATGTCCGGCTATGGCGCCTCCAATGGCATCGCCGGCAGTCGAAACTCGCAGCCGCCTCGGCCATTCATGTCGACGTCGGTCAGGCTGATGTGCCTGTGCGCGCTCTTCACCTTCTCCGTGTACACGCCGCAGATTGTCGCCCACGTCAACCAAATGCAGGGCTCGTTTGATGCACCGAACGCTGGATCGGGCCGGACTCTCCAGAGCTTTGAAGTCGACTCGGACCAGATGGCGCGCATGACCTCGTTCTTTTGGCTTGTCATTCGCGGCATCATGTTTTCCCTGGCCATCTTTGGTGGTTGGATTACGGCAATTGAGCCGTTCAGCTCTGTCACGCCCAACTCGCGTGTCTTTACTGTGGCACGCGAAGCGCGCAAAGCTGGTCGCAAGACGTGAGTTCATGTTGGTTGTTTTTTTGAGCGTCGTTCATGCTTCTCATCTCACTCACTTCCACCTCTGCTTATTGATTGATTGACGCGTATGATAACCACACCACACGCACAAACAGGCTACTGCAACTGGGACAGCCGGCCATCGCTGAAAGACACCTGCTGAGCGCCCTAAACCATTTCGGCGCTCGACCGCCACCGGCCACCGAGTTTGGCCTCATCTGCGGCATCATTATCGAAGCCCTCAAGCAAGTGACGCACATGCTCTTCTTTGGACAGTGGCTTGCTCGCTATGCCGTGCGTCACTCTGGCTCTGCTGTGGTCACGGCCGAGGTTGCCAAAACATACCTGCTGCTCAACCAGTTGCACTTTGCTGACGTACACGATCTGCCGCTGGAGGCATGGTACTATGTCTTGCGCGCCATCAACTTGGCCGAGTCTGTCGAACCGAGCCAGACCTTGATCAAGGCTTATGGCAATCTCGCCTTCATGTGCGGCTTCCGGATGCCCAAGTCCTGGATGGGCTTTGCCATCCAGTACATTGCCTTGCCCTACCACTTCCGCTCTGTGAGGATTCACTCGGGCATCAAGTGCTCGACGAAAACGAACGGCTACCTCCGCGTGTTGCGAGCCTGGGGCGACGTGGCCCTTGGCGACTTTTCGGCAGGCGACCGACGCCTTGGGCGCGCGGCTGCCAACTTTGAGCAGAGCGGACTGCCCAACATGGCTTGGCAAATCAAGGCATTCCACGCGGTCATGCACATCATGCAAGGTCGCTTTACGGTCGCGAAAAGGTTTTGCCAAGAGTCGCTCGTGTCCAAGGAGCCCGACCAGCAGCTGCAGCTGTGGTGGCGCAGCCTCCTGCAATGCGTGGCCAGTGCTCATGACGAGTCGTTCGACGCCTGGAAGGCCACCTTTGAGCAGCTCGTCTCAGAGGAAACCGAGGCGACCAAGCTCTCGTGGCGCGAGAGCGGTTTGCTTCGCAGCGTCTTGACAAACTCGCTGCTCGCCTGGATGCACTTCCGACAGGGCGAGCACGACACGTCAGTCGAGTTTGCAATCAAGGCGATCGACTATATGCGCGGGACCAAGCCCATCTCTGCCGGCGCCGCCTTCGTCGGGCACAGCCTCGTTGGCCAAGCGCTCTTGTCAATGTGGGTGCGCTACGAGACTGCGCTGTCGGAGAATGCTGCTCCATCCATTGGCGGTGGCATCCTCCCCTCGCCGCGTGTCGACGAAACCGCTCCAGAGCGCACCGTTCCCATCCCAGACCAGTTCAAGCGCATCCAAGATTTGACCGTGGCAAACAACGAGCTTGTCTGTAACATTTCGAGAACATTCCCTGGTGTCAAGCCTCTGGCAGACTACTTGGTTGGCCGGACGCACCGTGTTCGCGGACAAAACGACAAGGCCACGCGAAAGCTGCGAGACGCCTTGTATTATGCCGACCGATTCGACATGCCTTTCGACAAGGCGCTGATCCAACTCGAGCTCGCGCAGCTTGATCCGTCGTTGGATGAGGGCATTGCCTACGTGCAATCCGCGCGCGAGCAGTTTGTTGAAGTTGGTGCGCTCTACGAAGTTCGACTTGCTGACGAGCTCCACGCCTCGCTTCGTCAACGGCATCAGAAGGCTGGCCTGTAAAATGACGCATGAATTTTTTTTTTTTTTTGATGTTTGTGTGTGTGTGTGTGTGTGTTGTGTTTGCGTTTTGTTGGTGTCTGTTTTGTCTTAGGTGCATGTTTTGATTGCTTCCCTCTGCTTCATTACCAATTGTGAGAATTGAAAGAGTCATCATAGTGAAATAGACTACTAATTGGTTGAAAGTGTGATGAAAATGGGCAAAAGAGAGGAAGACCAAAAACAACTGGGGTCACTTTCGGCGCACCTTCTTGTCTTTGGGCGGGGGCGGCGGTGCCGAAAAGACAACAGGATCGTACTTTTCAAACAGCAAGAGCATGTCGTCCAAGCGGCGCTCGCCGCTGTCGGTGGATTCAAACGCAGTACTCGATCCGCCAGAGCGGGACATTTCGAAAAGCTGTCGCGAGCGCAGGTTGCCCATCATGCGAAGGAGATCGCGAGTAATCATCACGCGACAGCGCTCGAGGTCGACGCGCCACAAAAAGTACGTCCGCGACGGCGCCCGCTCCGACCCACCCCTTGGGACTTCTTGGAGCACGACAAAGTTACTCGTCAGCAGCTCGTTCATCTTTTCCTTCATGACCTTCTGGTGCTCAAGGGCTGTTTCGGTCAGGGGCTTGAGCTCCATGTGCCCTTTCGCGAGGAGGATGCGGAAGAGTTTGGCCGGAACTTCGCCGAGTCGTTCCAGAACAATGTGCTCGAGTTCGTAGACCGTCATGACCGAGATGGCAACAGCAAGATTGATGGAAATTGTTGACTGTCGAAGAGAAGGGGGTGGGGAGGGGGAGGGGGAACGTGAGCTCAATCTGGAACCGTTCAGAAGCAACTCCGCGTGCAAACATACCATGTCTGGTACGCTCAGCAGAAAAGGAGTCGCGCGATCGTCATCACCGTGCCGTAGAATATTGATGATGCGCTTGAGTTTTTCGTGGTTGATTCCTTGGCGCGCGACAGTCTGCGACCAGTTCAAGAGAAAGAAAACAAAAAGTGAACTCAAACCCAGAGTACAAACAAGATTAACAAAACCGACCCACCTGCTGCAAGTCACGATAGTCGATGCTTGGCATTGGGGTGTGATCGTGAAGAGATTGGGCGCTTTCGGCGTGGCCGAGCACGCAAGCCACCACATCGGCAAAATCGCGACCGTATCGATGTTCGGTAAACCGCTCAATGGCACGGTTGCGCAGTCGGACATGGAAGCGGTCTGTGTTTAGTACCCAGAAGATCTCGTTGGCATTTGCGCCATAGCCCTCTGGAAAATGGTGTCAAGCATGAAGGTGAATGATTGGCATGTTCGGGATGAAAAGCCCCAACCCAACACCACCACTCCTTCTCGCTCGCCTTACCGCCAAGCAAGATGCGCTTAGTACTGTGGCCAAAATCTTCGTCGTCGTCGTCATTCTCGTGGGCGCGCTTCCCTCGAGAGGCAGCCCCGCTCGTGCTTGCTGCACCGGTGGTCGCAGCGTCTTGTGCTGGTCGGAGATCGCTCAAAGCCAACGGCACCACAGAGGATGGCAAATCCATACCAATGTCAACGTCCATGCGATCTGTTTGGCGTTTGAGATTGCAACCAGGGTGAGCATGCTTGAAAACGACATCGACAGACAGCACACACTCGGTCCGCGCCTCTTACTTTTGGCTGCCAGCAGATGCTCTTCTTCGAATATTTGACGAATAAACCTTCGATGTGCGAGCTGTTGGAAGGCCTGGTACACGGCTGCGGGCAAGCGTTCCTCGTTTGCGTCGGGGAGCTTGGTCAGTGCATCAAAAGCAGCCCGAGCAATCTGTCGATTCGATGATGTGGGGCAGCGACAGCAATGAGCAAACAGGGGTAAGGGGGTGGGGGTGGGGATATGAATTCATCGTTGAAGCGGGAGCTGAAATATTAAGTCAACTCACCGTGCGGTATGTCGCTCGGCCAAGCTGCATCATGCAGGAAACAACAACACCCTGATCATCATCATCATCAAGCAATCATACGCAGTGTGACTTGCAAAAAATGAGCAACAATGGGGGTGCGACACAAATCCCTTTGTTGGATCAACTCATTTTTCGTACCGCGTCGCGTCCGTAAGACGTCTCAATCTCGTGCAAGTACCGCGGGAAGCGTGCACGACGCAAGATGGCATAGTCGTCGAGCTGGTACATTGTGATGGCGCCTCGCACGTCGCTGGGCTGCGCAGGGCCTTCCTTGATGCCGTGCTTGGCAACCTGGTAGGCCTCCTTTGCGGCAGCCTCGTCGTTGCGCCCGCGCGTGTGCTCCGAGTACGCATCAGTGGGCTCGTTGTCGTCGCCGTCGCCGCCTGCGCGCGCTTTACCCCCGCCTTGACGGCTTGACGATGCGCTCGACGACTGCACGCGGTGGGCGTTGGACGGCGGCTGCTCGCGGCTGTCTGGATCGCGCCGGATGAGCCCGTGCTGCAGCAGAATGGACAGCACTCCGATGACCTACAGAATGGCCAAAATAACGTGTGTGTTGGATGAGTTTTTCGTGTTGAGGGGGTTGGTTGGATGGCGCTGCATTGCAAAGAGCGCCTTACCTCTGACTTTTTGAGCTCGGACTCGGCGAGGATTCGGTGGAATGGCAGACGGCCGTGGCTGCCGTGGCTGGCGAGGACGGTCGCAACACGCTAGCGAGCGCAGCGGGTGTGTGAGGGGAGGGAGGGGGTGAGGGAGTAAGAGGGGTGAGCAGTGATGCAATGGAAACGCAATGGAAACGCAATGAACAGTCAAGGTCAGCGTCGAGGTCAGTGTCGAGATCGTTCTTGGAGATCATTGGATGGTGATATCTGATATTGTTTGAAGAGGACCTTACATGGACGATCGGACCAAAGTCGCTCTTCAGGATGAAGCAACTGAGGCGACCGCGCGCAGTCCACGTCGCCATCGGTGTTGTGGATTGAAAGATGAACACAATAGAAGAATGAACTCACATGCACAACGAAAACAAAGAACAGAACCTGGAATTGGAGACGAATCGTTGGACCTTCTGATAAACACGGAACTGTTTGGATTGCCTCTCAGTCCGAGCATGCTTGACCTGTCTACCGAAGTCGACATTTTCCAAACTCCGGTTTAGGTTTAGCGCTTCCCAACGAGAGTTGTGACCTCGTTGTGTTCTTGCCGGCCCAGCTTTTGTTCGAGCATTTTTTGACTCAATCATTTTATTGTACCATCCTCCGATTCCATTCTACTCTCTTTATTTTTGTCTCCTTGTTCATTTATGACCATGTTCGTTTGTCATTGCAATGTACTCGTGCTGCTCTACTGTCTCTCCTCTTTTGTTCGGTGATGCGTGGGCTCGAGAGTGTTAGCAAGGGCTGGTCTGCCTATTTCATGGCTATATAAAGTGCGGTGGTTGCTGTCGATCATCAACCATCCCTTTTGATCAAACTCTCAAGTACAAGGGAGCTATCGTACGGTTTTGGTTTTTGTCCACGACAGACGTTTGAACAAGCTACATTTTGGTCGTTTCTTTAATTGTTTCGTTTCTGGAATCAGGAACTGTATCAGAGCAAGAACAAAACGCAAGGAGCCTCATAAAACCATCAAATACACCATTGTATGCAGTGAACGGCGCCTGTGACATCAAAATGAATCAATCACTTTGCTATTCTTTCAACAATTCACCAATGTCGCGGACAGCTGTCCCATCCTCGAAGGCTTTGAGAGCTTTGACGAGCTGAGAAAAGCTCGGTCGGAACTCTGGTATCACGTTCCAGCAAGTCATCATCACGTTGTAGAGCTCCGGCATGCAGTTTTCTGGCATGGGCAGACGACCACCAGCCGCCACATGAGCCAGGGCCTCAGCGCCGTTCACCTTGCCGTACGGCACTGCGCCGTAACTGCAGCATTCCCCTGAAACCAAGCATCGTCGCAATTGAGAACAAGGTTTGGCCCCACCTCACTACGATAGAGCCTTCGACGTACAGACTGTCACACCAAACGACCAAACATCGGACATGGACGAGAACTTGGGGCCAGTCATTGTTTCCGGCGCCATCCACTGCATGAGCAAAATCAACTCATCAGCATCGAGAGAACAAGCAAGTAGCAGCCATTTTCCTCCTCTCACCCTTCGACCCACCTTCAAGGGAAGCTCGCGGTTAGTTTGCATTCGATAGTACTTTTCCTCGTCTTCCAGCTCGCGAGAAAGCCCGAAATCAGCAACCTTGACCACCATTCCTTGTCCCACGAGGCAGTTGCGTGCGGCGAGATCACGATGCACAAAGTTAAGCGTGCCAAGATACTCCATGCCGAGAGCAATCTGGCGAATGACATGGATCTGCTCGTTGTGCGTCCACTCGAACGACTGCTTTTTGGACTTTTGTAGCAGCGTGCGCAAATCGCCATACTGCACAAATTCCAACAAAACGAGATGAGGCTCTGACGCTACAAGAGCCGCAAGCAGACGCACCACGTTCGGATGCACAAACGGCGTCATCGAATCCGCTTCGATTTCAAAGTCCTTGCGGGATTGTTCATTTGCGTTGGACTTGAGCGACTTGACTGCAACTTGCACAGTTTGGGACGTCGTGGGTCCGAGCAAGCTTTGAGCTCGCGGGGGCAAAACGTTGAACGGCAGCTGACCCAGCGCCACATCGCCAAAGTTGCCACTGGCAAGATGTTTCACGATGGTCAAACTTTCACGAATACGACGAGAAGCGCTGCCAGTAACGAACGCGCGATCATTTTCGTAGATCAGCTCTGCAGAGGTCGTCGAAGTGGTTAGGTGCAAAGGCTGTGGATGGCTTTGACCAACCGTTATATCCTCATCATTCTGCGATCGAGTCGAACGGGTCACAGGAGAGACCGACATTTCAACAGCCTCGAAAGTAGAGTCATTTGGTCGCGCAACTGCACTTTGCAAGCGCCGGCGTATGAGCTCAAGTATCGCAATCGTTGCGACAGTCACAACAGCAGTGATGGCAGCTTGGGAGCCGCCGCCGAGTTGTGCAATGAATGATGTAACAGATGCAACAGATGCCACTGCGATTGACATGAAAGATGCGGCAGATGTCGACACAGTTGAAGCAGCTGCGGCAAATAAAGCCGAAGGAATGGCAGCACAGGAGCCATCCATCATGATATAACCTTCATAGCACTGAGTGCACACTGAAGATGAATTGCAGGTCAGACAATTGATCCCGCAGCACGCACTTCTTCCTGCGACATAGCAGGTGGCACAGGCTGTATCACACGCTGCAGTACAGTTGTCAGTGACATGACGATCACAATTGGATTGCAGTCATCTCGAACCTTACGGTATGGTCGGGATGCACTGCCGTACATGCTGGGCGGAGCGACAGCGTTCCCACCAAAGGTAAAGTTGTTGGGGCTCAGATATGGTAGCCCACCCGCCGACAAATATAGGTCGTTTGGCAGGCCCGAAAATAGACCGGGTGGCAAAGTAGTAAAGGGATTGGCATTCAACAACCTGCAAGTCCCGCAAAGTAAGAAGCGAACTGAGATGGTGCATTCAGATCGCTTGCGTACAGGTCAATCAGCCCAGTCAAGCCTGAGAATGCCGAGGAGGGAATGCTGGTGATCTGGTTGTCTTGCAGATTCCTACAGATAGAGTGCAATCGAGTGAGCCGTCTGTGTGCGATTCGTGCATTCAGATCGCTTGCGTACAGGTCAATCAGCCCAGTCAAGCCTGAGAATGCCGAGGAGGGAATGCTGGTGATCTGGTTGTCTTGCAGATTCCTACAGATAGAGTGCAATCGAGTGAGCCGTCTGTGTGCGATTCGTCATGTCCTTGCTTGCTTACAAGTATTGCAGTGCAGTCAGGCCTGTGAATGCGTTTGCAGAAATGCTAGTGATCAGGTTGCGATCAAGATCTCTACCAGTGGAGTCATAAACGAGTGAGCCGGTTGTGCGTGGTACATCGTGTTTTTGCTTGCTTACAATTGAGTCAGCGCAGTCAGGCCGGTGAGTGCGCCAGCAGGAATGCTGGTGATCCGGCTGCCACCGAGATGTCTGCAAATAGAGTGGCCAAAAATGAGCCGTCTTTGTGCGATTCGTCATGTCTTTGCTTGCTTACAAGTACTGCAGTGCAGTCAGGTCTGTGAAAGCGTTTTTAGGAATGCTGGTGATCCAGTAACCACTGAGAGCTCTGCAAATAGAGTCGCCAAAAATGAGCCGTCTAGGTGTGGCTCGACCTGTCCTTGCTTGCTTACAAGGTATTCAGCGCAGTCAAACTGATAAATGCATCAGCGGGAATGCTGGTGATCCGGCTGCTTTGGAGATACCTACATGAAGTCGCCAACAAGTGAGCCTGTTGTGCGATTCGTCGTGTCTTTGCTTGCTTACAAGTGTTTCAGCGCATTGAGATCCGTGAATGCAGAGGAGGGAATGTTGGTGATCGGGTTGTAGTTTAGATCCCTTCCAAACAGAGTCGCAAATAAGTGAGCCGTTTGTGTGACTTTTGCTGTCGTTGTGTTGCGTGCTTACAAGGTAGTGAGCGCAGTCAGGCCGGTGAATGCATTTGCAGAAATGCTGGTGATCCGTGTGTGACACAGATGCCTATCGACCGGATGCTAGTGAGGAAAGGCAATGCTTCGATGCAAATTCAGCACCACGGCAGCCAATACAGTTCAGTGGTGTCGGCAGGGATTCCGCTCGGAATAGATGTGAGAGATTGGCTTTGGCAATGGACAACGGTTCCCGAGCATGTGCACACACCGCCAGCTCCACAAGCATTGACTGCTTGTGCCAAGTGGACGTGATTCATCACGCAGAGCAGCAGAGCGAGAATCAGAACATGGCCAAACCCTTTTGTTGCCATCTGTGAGGAAGGTAATTCAGAAATGTTTACAAAGTGAGCTCGCAGTTTTTCAACAACAATTGCAATGCAGAGAGCCAATCGTGTGTGGATGCATGGCTTCGGGCATTGGTGGTACGTGTTGACTGACGCGCTCACCGCCACTAGCTCAGATTCTCAGTGCGTTGCCTGTCCTTTCCCTCCCCCTCCTTCGCGCCCCCGTTCATGACCAATTGCAATACCGGTATTGCGTTGACACACTACGCCTTCAAGCGAGAGCGGGGAAAGAAGACGGGGCAACACCCGTTGTGTCAGACGCTATGCTGTGTGATTGTGCTGTGAACTTTCAATGCCAACCTCGCTGTTCCTCCGCCCCTCCCCTTCGCTCCATTACTTCTGTTACTTGATCTGATCAGCTTGTTGCATCAGACCTCGTCAAAGGATCAGGAGTGAGAGAGACAACGACGAGAGTCGCCCTGAGCACCTTTGGCTTTTTTTTTTTTTTTTTTTTTTTTCGTTTCACTCCCTCGCTCGCTGAGCTGTTCATTGCCCAACTGTCGAAATCCAGCAGAGATCACTTCAAAAGAAGCTAGAAACATCGAATGAGACGAGTGGAGCGCTCGTGGATGCGCGATGGCTTACTGTTTCACTGAAAAAAAAAAAAAAAAAAAAAAAAAAGTTAGACTGATCAGATCGTCCATTTGTCTGCGTTCGAGCTGAATCATGATGTAGATCTACCCCGTCTCTTTTTGTGTTTATCGTTCAGTCCATTACATAGTTGTGTATTAAACCAGTTGGTGCCCTGCCAGCTTGTTCGCAACAGCGCAGCAATCTTTCGCTTTCGCACAACCAAACGCTCAGCTCAAATCAACCAAACAACAACCCCTGCAATTTATTTACACATACTTTATTCAATGATTTTTTGGTCTGAGCAAATTCTGAGCAAACTCTGAGCCTTCCAAACGCGGACCGTTTTTTGACAGCAGTCTTCCTTTCATTCACAGTTGTCCCCCCGGTGTTCACTTCACTCGGCTCGCTGCGATTGCCCTCCCGTTTGTTTCACTTTGCTACTGCTGGGCTTGCATTTCTGGGTATTGGGAGAAAATGGCGCTGCGTGGACTGAAAGTGATTGAGATGGCTGGTCTCGCGCCGGCTCCGTTCGCTGGCCTTGTGCTCGCTGACTTTGGCGCGAACGTCATCCGCGTCGACAAGCTCGCTGACTTTTCAGTCGATCGGTGAGTTTTGAAGGCTTGTTGACGTCGTCCATGGACTCGGATGCACTTGATCGGGTCTTGCATTGAGCTTTCGATTGGACAGGGGGGAGTCAGCAACTCTCTTCATTCAGTCGCTCCGTCGGAATCGACAATGCAGTCCCCTTCCCTTCATCCTTCATGGGATTGTTGTTAGAGTCGCTTTTGTCTGATTGACTGTTGCTGTGTGTTTTGCTGAAAATTTGTAGACTCTCGCGCGGCAAGCAATCCGTTTCCATTGATCTCAAAGTACGGTGTCAACAACCGATTTTCTGAGAAGGACCTTCCCAAGGCGTTGCTGCTGGAATTCCCGTCTCATCTCCTCATTCATGTGCTTGACGTTTGTGCATTTTGGGACAGTCCCCTCGCGGAGCTCAGGCGGTGCGCGACTTGTGCAAGAACGCCGACGTGTTGATCGAGCCCTTCCGCCCTGGCGTGATGGAGCGGCTTGGTCTTGGACCGGACGACTTGCTAAAGACAGTGAGTCGCTGCTGCTGAGCTTTGTTCGTTTTGCTTGGTGCGCACAGAGAGAGGCTTACAAAATCACAAACAAAAACCTCGTTTGCGGACAGAATCCTCGCCTGATCTACGCCCGCTTGACTGGCTATGGTCAGACAGGCAAGCTCGCTCAGCGTGCCGGCCATGACATTAACTATGTGGCTGTTTCCGGCGTCCTGTCGGCACTGGGTATGTTCCGGGCAAAAAAAATGTAGTAGTTTTTGTTGCTTTGTCTTGTCTTCGGTGTCTCACTGGTTGTTGGGCAACTCGCATCAGGCCGACGCCACGAAAACCCAGCCTTCCCGGGCAATCTCGTGGGAGACTTTGCGGGTGGCTCGCTGATGTGTGTGATTGGCATTCTGACCGCGCTGCAGGAACGCGCAAGGTCTGGCAAAGGCCAAGTGATTGATGCAGCCATGGTGGATGGAGCGTCCTATCTTGCTTCGTTCGTTTACGGCGTGCGCGAGACTGGCATGTGGGACGGTCCTCGCGGCACGAATTTGCTGGACGGTGGTGCTCCGTTCTACGAGGTAACGTCATTTGTCCCTTCCTTTTGTTTGAGCTTCCGTCGCCAGTCATTGTGCTGACCCTGCTGTTTGCTTTTGTAATCTTGCTTCCTTCTCTCTCTCTCCCACCCCTCAACTCCCGTTTTCTCTCTTCCCCCCCCCCTTTCATAGACTTACAAAACCAAAGACGGCAAGTACATGGCTGTCGGCTCGATTGAGCCCCAGTTCTACCGCTTGCTGCTGCAAGGCCTCGGTCTTGATGGCGACTCTACTCTGCCAGAGCAGCTCGACAAGGAAGGATGGCCACAACTCAAGGAACGCTTCACGCAGATCTTTGCGTCAAAGTCGCAGGCAGAGTGGTGTGCGATCTTTGACCACACGGATGCCTGCGTGACGCCCGTGAACGAGCTGGACGATCCTCTGACCGACGCAAACAGCCATGGTGCCTCGCGTGGCATTCTCTACCGCTCAGAGGAAGGAGTCATGCCCGTGCCAGCGCCCCGTCTTTCGCGAGAAGGCGCGCTCGACGTGCAAAATCTGACGATGCCTCGCGTCGGCCAACACACTGTCCAAGCGCTCACCGAGGCTGGCATCAGCCCTGCGGACGTTGCCAAGCTTCTCAAAGACGGCATCATCAACGACGCCTCTGGAGCGGCCAAGTTGTAAAAAAAAAAAAAAAGCATCATCGAATGTTCAATTAGAACCTCATCCACTCTCTTTCAGCCAAGGAAAAGAAAAGCGTTTAATTCATTCAATCAGATGCAATTAATATCGAAATCGACATGCAAAAATGTTATCCACACCGGAGGGGGAAAGGGAGTATGCAAAAGTATCAACAAACAGCATTGAGCAGCCAAATCTACCGCTCAAGCGTTGGCATTGTGGCAAAGTTAAACCCTTTACGGCCGAGCGCTGCATTGTACAGACGATAGCATTGGAAAGCTGGAGCAGTAAACACAAACAAAAACAAAACAAAAAAAAAAAAGCGGTCAGTCACGAACACAATCTCAATGCAGGGCATGCCACGTCAAAATGACAATCTCCAAAACGCGTTACCTCCTGGAAGCAGGCAGACACCACCAATAATGAAGAAAATGTACCCGTCGGCGCCGAGCGATCCGGAAACCTCGGCCACAAGGCCAAGAATCAACAGAACAAATCCAGCAAACACGAGAAACAGTGCAGCTGCTACCGTGCGCCAGTGCTTGCGAAGTCTTGGGTTTCTCCAAATGCTGTCGAGCGAGAGAGAGAGAGAGAGAGACAAAAGTTAGAGTTAGAGCCCAAAACGTTGTTGGTTTTTCAAGCAAACTCCAAAAACAATCAATAAAGCATTGAGCCAGATCAATTAATCTATACCTGAGCTGGCTGTAGTCGCGCTGCCTTGGAGCACTGCATTGGGGGTTTCGCATTGGGATTCGCATTGTCAGAGCAGAGACCCGGCTTTTCCGCATTGAACGGGGCAGCACAGCAACCCAATCCAAAAACCCATCATTTCATAGACTCACTTTGGATAGGTTCGAGTGGCATTGACAAGTCCGCTGTCGTCCTACAACGGGAACACACACTCACAGGTAAGTTAATGCGGTCATCATAAAAACGCGCTCTCTCAGACAGACGTAAGAGACTCCGCCGCAGCAACCTCCACTCAAGTCAAGTCAACTCCATTTCAACTGTCATTTGCTATTTCGTGAGCATGTTTGACTCGACAGAGGGTGTTCCCCAAATGCAGCAATGGAGAGGAAGAGGAAGAAGAGGAACACGGAGTACGAACTTCGACATCAGGATTGACAAGCTCGTCGTCCTCAAAGTCATCGAGCGCGGACGTCGACGCGGGTGGCGCAAAGCGGTCCTGTGACAGAACAAGCCAGAGCGAGAAGTGTGAATGTTGGAAGCGAGCAGAGGTGAGTGAGAGGCCGGTTTCAGCAAGGGGGGTGTGAATTGGAAGGCGAACTTCAAAGCACAAACCTCAAAGTAGTCGTCGTAGTCGTTGCGGACCATTCCAAGTGTGTGAAGAATGAATGACTGAAGTGGCTGCTGAGTCAAAAATGAATCATGATACGTTTTTGGAGTGGTAACAAAAACTAAGAATATGCATTGTGTTAACATTGAGCGACGAAAAAAACAATCATCTATTGCCCGTCGTCGTTGCCTTTTCGTGCGTGCGTGCCTTGGTGGTTGTTGGGGTTTTGTCGGTGGGGCTCCTTGCTTCGCGGCTGATGTGGCTGATGTGGTCGGTGGTGCGCATTTCCACTGTGGTGATGTTGTTGCTTCTCGTGCTGCTGCTGCTGCTGCTTGTGGTGGTTGGGTTTACCAGAGCGTTTCTTGGAGTGCTGCTGTAGCTGGAGCTCGGCATTATCCTGATCAGCGACAGCAGCAGCAGCAGCGCCTTCAGCTTGGCTGGCACCATCCTCGCCCTGGCTCGGGCGCCGTTTCTTGGTGTGCTTACTGGCGGCTGCCTCTGTCGTCGATGCCTTGCCAGAGCGCGCGCTAGGCCCACTCGCGGCGGCTGGAGCGCTGCGGATTGGATAGAGAAACGCAATGTCGGTCGCAAACTCGAGCCGAGGAACAAAGCGAAAGTCAATACACGACAAATCCGTCGCACCGGACGACGCGTTCTGCTCGTGCAGGTTTTCGGCTCCGCTGGGTGCGGCCGTCAGACCGGCCGCGTTGCTCTCTGGAGCAATAAACGAGTGGAAGGTGACGTTTTCGGACTTGGCGAGATAGCGAACCAACCCGGCGCCTTCAAATGGCAACTGCAACACCTCGTCAACGAGCTTTTCGAAAAATTTGAGCGCCACAACTGGCTGAAACTCCATGGCCAAGGTCTCCCTCAGCATACTGGGCCCATCGCGCATTTCCACATCCACCACGGTGTGAGAAACAACATCCACAGAGCCAATGCCCAGACGCGCGCCTCTTCGCAGGTATGCGCTCGTCCATAACTTGGCGATCGCGCTTTGGGAAAACTCTTCCTTGCCGACATGCCACAAGAGCTCGGGCTTTGCCTTCAAGTAGATTGGCACCAGCTGTTTTGTTGTTGCGTCACGACGAGGATGGGAGTGAGTTGTGTACAAGCCCAAGCACAACAAAGACAAGAATGAGAAAAAAACTGACTCACCTGCCCTTGAGAGGACTGGACACATGTATCAGTGCGACTGCGAACGAGAACTTTGACTCGGCCAATTTGCCACAGATCGTACGAAACGGGCCCGTCAGTCGAAGCCTCCGATTCATGCGTTTCCGACGTCGAAGCTTGCTTGGCAGGCGTGATGAGCTGACTGCGGAATGCCCATGAATAAAACTTGGTGGATTTAGCACGAGGCGTGAGACGATGAGGAATCAGGGGTTTATCAAAGACGAGGAGCCGCTCGACCAGCCCATCCGGCTTGGTCACGTTGGACAACGTAAAGGGTATGTCCCAGTCGCTGTCAAACCGCCCACGGACGTTTGCTGCCAGCATGGCGAACGTTCCAGCGGAAACGGCGACCTGGAATGATTTGTCTTGCGCAAGAGCGGCCACATTGGCGTCAGCAGACATTTGGGGCAGAGACGACTTTTGCCAGATGGGGACTGGTGCGGCGGCCGCAGCCTCTTGAGGAGCTTTCAATGTGTGATAGGGTTGGTCGAGAGGTATCTGTGGAAGCTTGTGCTGGAACGAGATTTCAACCGGTTTTGGCCCAACCTGCAACAAATGGGCAAGATGCGACGGTAGGCGGTCGGACGGCAGCGCAACCGTTCGCAGCGAGCTTATGCTGTGTCGGAGCATGAACGGCGGTGTTTGCGAGACTAGCGCAGCTCGCTGCAGACTCAGCACACGATCCACAAGTCCAAGCACTTCGGTGGGCACATGCCAGTAGCGGCCCAAAAAGTGGTGGAGCGCCCAGGCTCGAAACTCGCTGCGAAACTCGGCTTGCTCTGCCGTGATGGCTGTCGTCAGCTCCAACAGTTCTTTCACTTCGAGCTGGGTGAGTGGCGCTGGTGGTTGTTGCTGCGGAGCGGCGGAGGAGGCTGCTAATGGTGCGCCCGAGGACGACGCTGCAGTCGCAGCAGCAGCAGCAGCAGGAGGAGGTGGTGGGGGTGGTCGGTAGGATGCTATTTGCACCCTCCGATCACACAGCCGAGCGTAGCGGCCCAAGCGGTCTTGCGTGAGGGCAGAACGGCGCGACGGAGCGAACGCGAGTTTTGACGTGAGCTGCGCGCTTGGCGCCGCCGGTAGCGCTGTCAGCAACGGCACAACCATTGGAATATCGCTTGGGAAGTTGGTGACGGGTCGACTTGGCGGTGCTTGGTGGGAAGCGGACGCCGACGGCAACGACAAGGACGACGACGACGACAAGGTCGTTCGCGCAGACTGGGCTGCCTGCTGGCGCGCGTGCTCGTCGCGCTGCCTGATGAATGTCTTGATCTGCGCGAGTGTCTGTGCGATGGTCTCGTGTCGCGTGCCCGTCGCAGTGAAGCGAAAGAACTCTGCCTGGGTGAGCCCGAGCGCGTGGTGGCCAGGCTTGACTCGCCCCTCCGCCGCGTCCCTGTGCAGAAGCAGACGTTCATAGACAAGGATGAAAGCAGTCCAGTGTTAGTTGAGTTTGAGGTTGCGTTCGGTCACAGTTGTGTGCTTTACCAGTCCATGCTTCGCTGGCTTTGACCATGCTCAGCAGCAACTGTTCCATCGCCGCTGCTACTACTAGCACGACCATGACTCGTATCGTGAATGCTGGGATTGAAGAACTGCATGTCGATGCGATGTGGCGACGGCGGCTCGTCGATCATCATCATCATCATCGTCGTCGTCGCTGTTGATGCAGATTCGAGTCCTTCTGCTTCATTCACTGCTTCGGCTTCATCATCATCACCATCAGCTTGAGCAATGGCTGACATTTGTCGAGCTGTTATTGGAGTGGGGACTGAGCTGGGTTTGGAGTGCATGGTATGTTGACGCTCAGACGCTTTTTCCCCCAAGTTTAGAATTAGTTTTAACCTGTCAATCTGAGATTTGGCAAATTTGGTTCATTCGCATCGCTGTTTGAACAGGTTTTTGAGCTCTTCTTGTAAGACAATTGAAGTATGTGCGTTTTTGTGCAAGTTGAGAAGATTCTGCACCTGTCAATCTGAGCGCGCTGACAAATTTGGCATTGCAGCAGTCTGTGTTTTGCTGGCAGTCTGAACCGTTTTGAGCTTTTCCTCTCTTTTCGCTGCTGCATCCACATTCCCCGTGATGCTGGCCATTGCTGCTTGGCTGCACTCGTTGCTGCCAGAGCGAGGCGGACAAGAGGCAGGAGGAGCCACAGGAGGACTGATGACGGGCGCTTCAAGCGCAATTCGGAGCTCAGCGTCGACCCGCCTCGCGTCCACTCGCCCACATCGACCCGTTCGCATCGTGCTTGGACTCTCTGGCTCTGTTGCTGCCATCAAGGCGCCGCTGCTCGTGCCGCTCATCAAGCAACGCGTCGCCGCTGCGTTCCAGCCGGCAGATTCCGCCACATCCACCTCCGTCGAGGCCGACATCAAGGTCGAGCCGTCACACGAGGACTCCAATAACCTTGAAGTAGTGCCACCAAGCGCCCCAATCCAAGTGGAAGTGCATGTCGTTGCAACGGAGCACGCTGCGCACTTTTTCAATGCCGAGTCGCTCAGAAGCGAAACTGCCAACCAGACTGGTGTATTGACAGATGTACATGAATGGGTAAGGATATCTGAGCAACTTGGATCCGATATCATGTGCATCACACTGAACGAGAGCCTCGTGTCGAAACGCTCTTCTGCTTTTTTGGTGTACTTGCGTGTGGGCTACAAGAAATGGTCAAAAATCGGCGATCCAGTGTTGCACATTGCTGTAAGAGCCTGTCTGATGCAGGTCAAACAAAGCGCATAGGAATATGAGGGTTAACTGACGCCGATGGTGTGCTTTGGACGGCAGTTGCGCGGCTGGGCAGATCTCCTTGTAATTGCTCCGCTAGACGCCAACACTCTTGCCAAGCTGAGCCATGGCATGTGCGATAACCTGCTTGTACGTATCTCGAAGCGTCTGCTTGAAGTTGTGTGGTGAGGAAAAGAAGCAGCCTTCACACATGCTTTGTCTTTACCATCTCGCTGATTTTGACCTGGGTGCAGACTTGTATCGCCCGGGCCTGGGATTACACCACACGCCCACTTATCGTCTGCCCAGCAATGAATACGTTCATGTGGGATCATCCCGCGACTGCACGGCAACTGGATATGCTTCAATCTCTGGGGATGGAGATTGTTCCTCCAATTGCAAAACGGCTTGCGTGTGGCGATCTAGGTACGCGATTGCAGCTTCTGAACAAGAATACCAATGTATCTAATCATTGTATGGCATCCTGACGGACATTGCGGGGTGTTTGGTAGGCTTTGGCGCCATGGCCGAGGTTCAAACCATTGCCGATTTTGTAGCAGAGCGAGTTCGCACTCTCGACCTCCATGCTATCGACGCGGCCAACGAACGTGCAACAGGACGCGCGAGTTCACCACAGCTCCCGTCCTTTGACTAGTTTTTTTGAAAACAAGTCTGTCAAAAAGTCTTTTTAACACAAAAAAACCATTGGTTTGATTTCAATTGTTTCATTGTTGTTTTGTAAAAATACACACATCACTCATTGCGATGGCAAAACCTGAGGAACATTATTCGTGTCACAACGCATTGGGTCGCGTTTGATAAGAGAGTGGACTGCGCATCAGGTTGCGCCCAGGGGTCAGGGCTTGGTTTTGAGTGTAGCGTGATTGCAGCTTGAACTGATCAGGAGAGGCAAATTGGCTGGCGGAAGCAGTCAAATCAGCAGGGCTGCCTGGCGATGAAAGCACGCGAGAGGTGACGAGCGGCGAGCTAGCCGGCGACGTGCCAGGCCGTTGCGGGGTGCGCGGGGGTTGACGGAGATTGCGATTGGCTTGAGGCGCGTTGATCACCAACATGACGGCAATGGCAAGAACAGCAAACGCTCCAAGCAGAGCTGCGTAATAGAGGTAGGTCGAGAGCGCAGACGCCTCAACTTGCGTGTCCGTCCGCTCCACGATTGGGGCAGCCGCTGCCCTGGGCGCGTCCATCCGCTTTGAAATGTATCGGGGCGAGGGCTTTTCAGGCGTTGGGTCGGAAGCGTCAGGCTGGCTTTGTTGCTGTTGCTGTTGCTGTTGTTGTTGCTGTTGCTGTTGCGAACCGCTGCAGTCGACGTGAATCACGGCGCGCTGACCGGTGAGCAAGCTCGAAACCATGACATCCACCACAGCGTCCGACTGGCGCAGGCATCGGATTTCCAATGGCGCATTGCCGTCGCTGTTGACGACAAGCGGCGAGGTCAGGACTGCGGCAACTTGCGAGTTATCAGACATGGTTCGCAGCTGATGAACGTGCGCACCTGCGCCATAGATGATCAGGCTGGATGATGCCGAGACATTTGCAGCAATTGTCAGACTCGCGTCGGCGACGATGGGCCGCACGCTCGAAGCAAGCGCCACGACGAACGACGGAATGAATGAAATGTCCACCGCTGCTTCCACGTCCGCTTTGCTGGCTGCACCAGAGCCTGAGGGGACGCGCACAATCAGCTTGACGAACTTGTGGTCGATGGCGGAGGTCGAAGGGGCCAGGGGGTGCAGCTCACACGAAGTAGCACCCGTCTGAGGATCAAATGCGTCGTTCGCCGTAAACCAGCTCGAGGATTGCGTGTCCAGGCTGCATTTGAACTGGACGTTGCGCACAAACGCGGGTGCTGTCTCAGACGACGAGCAGTCCTGCAGATGGCTAAACTGCGAGCCGGAAGCGTCCTGGAAGGTCACAGGGATGCGGTACACGGACTCGCCATGCGCGAGCGGCGCGTTGGTAATCCACGTGTGCTGGCTGGGGTCAATCACGACGGTTGCAACAGGCTTGACAGAGATGCGGGCGACCTCGGTGTCGCCATCAGTAATCACGGCGAGGCCATGCGCTTTGGCAGTCGCGCGAGCGCCATGGACCTCGACCTCCGCAAGGTGCTTGGACGCAAACGAGCTGGGTCGGCCCGCGCGAGGGCTGACGCCAGATCGCGCGACAGTGCGCAGACAAACGTTCGAGCCCGGGAACATGGTCAGCTCGAAGTGGTTGCCAGATCGAATGCGAATAAAGTCGGCGATGGCAGGCTGGCGGGCAAGGTGGACGTGCAAAATGGTGTCGCCCTCCCCGACAGCCGTGACATGGAATGCAAGTTGTTCTCCGTAAAAACCAGGAGGGTTGTTGAGGGGCATGGTCGCGACACGCACTGCATCAAAGCGGTTGAGCGCCAGTTCGACCTCGGTGCCTGCAGTGGTGTTGAAGCGCTCACCGGCCTCGTTGTACAGCTCCAGCAGGAAGCCGGCAGTGTCTCCGACCGGCAAGCGCAGGCGCACGCCGCCGCCATTTCCTTCAGCGTCGACCAATCCGGCGTTCTTGTTCGGCGCTGGAACAACGGCAATTCCGACAACGGGGCCCACCTCGACGTGAACAACATCAGACTGGATGAGTCCATTGTCGTCCGAGGTGACAAGAATGTCCACAATACCACCAATACGCGAGGTGGTAATCACACCCCGCTCAGAGACGGTGATGGGCTCGCGCGTGGTCGAGACGGCACCAGTGCAGCGGGCAATGATGGTGTAGCGCAGAGGCACTCGACCATCCTTGTTGGTGACAACCGTGAAGCGGGACTCGAATGGCAGGAGCAGGCGCTGCGGGGAGAGGATGACCAGGCGTTCGACGGTTTCGAGCTGGATGGAATCCGAGTAGCGCAGCACGCCGCCAGGAGCAATCGACTCGAGGTCGTGCTGGACTTCAACGCGCACGACAGAGCGGCCTGGTGCTCCTGCACGCACGCGGACTGAAAAATCGGAATCGTGGACATGCTCGCCTGCGGCCTGATAGACGGAGCGCAGACTCAGCACGGAAGGACTGCTGTTAGACCAGGCAAATCGCAGGTTGGACGAAGCAAACGTGAATGGCGTGTCGCCCGTCGTCGGGCCGTGGTAGCCCACTGAGGTCTGGACCGGTGGTGCCACGCTGCCGGTCGCGGTTGGCACACCACCAATCGTCGATGCCGCCGCCGCAGCAGCAGCAGCAGCAGCAGCATCTTGTGTGTGAACGGATGCCGAACCAGCCTCAGAAGTCAGCGGAGTGACGTTGGTCTTGCCAACGACCTGCATGGTCATTTCAGTGCCCTCGAGAATGCGCACGGCAGGGACGCTCAGACGGACTCCGGAGAGCAACGTCACAATCACAGACGCAGTGTCCTGAGTATGGACGATACGCTCGCCAGTCAGCACATTGTAGCCCAGTACCTGAGCGACAACTGTCGAGCGACCAAGCTCGGCGGCAGTCACAATGCCGGTCGCGCCAGTCACGCTGGCCACGGTTGCATTGTCGATCGTAAACATGGTTGCGACTCGGCCGGTCGGTCCGCCAAACTTTTCAAGCTGCCATGACGCTCCGGGGACGAGAATAATCTCCTTGGGTCGGAGCTCGAGTCGTGGGAAGACCTGGATGGACACGGGCGAGCTCTCGACGACGACGTTGAAGCCGGACGGGTGCTGCTGTTCAGTGTGGAATGTGAGAATGCTGACACCCAGCGCGACGCCAGTGACAACAAAGTCTTGGCTGAGGAAAATCTGGCGAAGGTGGGCGGCGGAAGAAGACGTCCGCGCGGCGGCGGCAGCAGCAGCAGCAGCAGCAGCAGATGATGAAGAGGCCGAGGTAGTGGGTGGCAGGTCATCGTCGGTACCGTCGCTGTTGCTGGCTCCGGTGGCGGATGAGGCAAGATAATCACTTGACGCAGGACGAGAGGCGGCCAGCGGCAATGCTTGGATTTGAATAAAGTCCGTGCTTGTGTGGTGTCGCAGCTGCATCAACGAGTATTGACGCGCATCAAACACGCGACCAGCATTGTCCAAAACCTGCACCCTGGCAATAACGCTACGGCCCAACTGAACCTTGTCGATCACTTGGACTTCAATCATGTGCACATCGGACACGGCCACTGTCGCGGTTGCTGCAACCGAGCCTTCGAGACACTCGTCGACAACCGTGAGGGAAATGATGCCGACATGCCGAGCGCGCACAGACACTGTCGAATTGCGGCGAACGTAGGTCGTGGTGGCCACGGTAGTGTCGTTGGACGTGGAACGAAGATGGCCCGAGCCGCTCAGCACGTCCAACGAGAGCACGTTGTTCGGGTGGTTGAACATGGCAGCCGTGTCGGTCGCAAGACGCACATTGGCAACGACAATCAAGTCAATCTGCTGCACAAGCGGGGCCGAGCGAGCGTTGGGCAAGCTGACGTGACGACCGTGCGAGTCGTGCACTTCGGGGTAGTAGCCGTTGACGGCGACCTGAATGCGCACAGTTCCCTCGCCAATGCCCAAGAGCAGATAACGCTCCGTCCGTCCTCGGGTGGCTCGCAGCCACCAACGATGCTGCTCGGCGGCGGTCGCGTGACGCGCGTCGTTGGCGTCCGGAATGGACAGGCCCATCGAGGCAAGCTCGGCGTCCACATCGAAGGAGGCCAAAGACGAGTCCGACACAGACCAGTCAATGTCGGCCGACGAAAAGTTGGTAAAGGTGCGGTTTTGGGCGTCGAGCACCACCAACGAGAATGTCAGTTGGCGGTCGTTGCGCACGTGGTACAGTGATGCGCGCAGCGCGAGGTTGTATGACGAAGGGCAGGAGGCAACAAAGTTGGGGTTTGGCGCGACAGCTGGCTGGACGTGAATGGTGTGCGGATGCTGGCAGGCAAAGCGAGTCGTGGTGGTCGACGTGGCGGGATACGGGTGGTTGGACGTCGGCTCGTTGCTCACAGCAATCTGCAGCGTGTACTCGCCAGGCTCGAGGCAGGTGACGCGATATGCACGTAGACGCTGGTACGGAGTTGGTGCCTGCAAGACAATGTCCACGGCGGCAGAGTCGGCCACGCTGGCCACTCCTGCTTCGCGATCGAGCGCGCTGAGCTGCTGGCGGTAAGCCGACGGCTCGCTAATCCAAGGCAGCGGACCTCCGTCGTAGAACACAACAGCGCTGGAGCCGATCGACACGATAGGAAGCGGCACGGGCTCGTTCGGGTGGGCAGGGTGCACCACCGTCAACGGATTGTAGGCAGCGAGAACCGTCTGGGCCGAAAACTCCAAGCCGTCAACAGAGTAGGTGGCCGTCAAGGTCGCATAGCCTTCTCGGAGCGCAACAAGGCGCACGGCGAGGCAAGCTGAAAGCGCTGCGGCGGGGAGCGCGTCGGCAATCTGAGGCTCGCCCGAGCTCATCAAGCGGAAGACCTCCTTGTCCGAGACATGAAGGGTGATGGCGAGTCCCGAGCAGTTATGGAAGGCAACTTTCTCGTGTTGCTCGTTGCTGGCGCTTCCGGCGAGACCGTAGACCGCGAGAGGGACGGAGAGGGTGTTTGACACTTCGGCCTCGACCAGTGAGGGCAAAAAGTCCATCGACTGAGGCAGCAGCACGTGAATGTGCGATGAACCGTAGTGCAAAAGATTGCGACGATCCGCAGCAACGATTTCGCCCACTCCAAGAGAATGGGCAAGTGCCACTCCAAACGCATTGACCGATGCGATTGCCGGAGCAGATGCACGCCATGCGTACTCGCCGCTGCCTCCCGTTGCCTGTGAGCAAAAGCAAAAAAAAAAAAGTCACAAAGCCAGACAAGAGTTAGGTGGAAGGAGAAGGAAACGCATCGCGGAACAATGATGCAACCAGGCTCGCTTTACCGTTAGTCCATATCGGTGTTGAACAACGCCATCATAGGGAAGATAGACGTTCTGGGGGTGAACTCGGATGGGTGCAAAAATGTCGATCGAGTGCATTGCGGTCAAGGGAACTGGCAGAGAGTACGAGTCGCCTGTCAAAGGATCCTGCAAGTCGTCGTGTAGGTTTAAAGGAGGGGGGGGGGGACGACGAACGGTCAATATGCGCTGGTTGCAAAAGGTCATGAAGCAACTCTGCCAACCGAACTTACCGAAATGACAGCAAGCATGCCCAAAGCAGCAGTCGTGCCAACGCGCACCGTCCGCACGTGAAAGTACGAGTTGTTGGCAGATCCGTGCAGAATTTGAAGGTATCCCTTGTCCAAGGTGACGTCGAGTTGCATATTCTGAGGCGTCAAAGAAAAATGTGAGCAACGAGACCAAGAAGAAACCCGTCGCCAGGTCGCTCAGTTCGACACTCAACAAAGACAAAGCGTATAAATATACCTCGGACATCAGCAGGGCATGCCAGTCAGCGTCGACAATGGTCACGGTGATGATGTACTCGCGATCAATCTCGAGCGTCCAGTTCGGTTCGTCTCCAACATATTGCAAATCCTCGGGCGCAACATGAACGGGGTGGATGTCAAAGACGAGAGCGCTGGGGTCGACCACGTACAGGGAAGCTTTGGCGGCGTTTTCAGACATGTTCTTGTCCGAAACGATGACATCAACAATACCGACGCTGTTTGCACGAACAAGACCAGCGTTGTCCATGACGCTCGCAATCTTTCCGTCACTGGTGGTCCACTCGTACGCCGGTGCAGGCAAGGCAATCTCGCGCACGCCAGAGCCGTCGTCGTGGAAGCGCTCCATGCGGTATCGCAAGTAGGTCAGTGGGGCCAAGAAAACGCCCGATTCCGGAATGAGGCGGAATGGCTCGATGATGAAGAGCTTGACGGCGGACGGTGGGACGTGCTGGTTTGTCCAAAACAAAGACAAAGTGAATGGTACAAGAACACGATGCGACAAAGCAGTCGTCGTCTCCAAGAAATCAAAAGACCGAATACCTCAAAGCTAGGTTCGATAATGCGAGCACTGAGGAGCGCCGTGCCGGTGTGGCGACCACGCAGCAAGACGGAGCTTCCAAGATAGCCCTGAACGAAAAAAAAAACACCAAGCAATCGCAGTGAGAAAGCTGTGCTTGTTTGCAAAAAAAAAAAAAAAAAAAAAAAGGCAGCAACGCTTTTTTGCTCACCTTCGACTCCATCTCAAGAATGGCTTCGGACGCTTTGAAAGACGAATCGCGGAAGGGAACAGTCTGCAGAACGTCGGTGCCAGTGTGTCCGGCGGAGGTGTCAGGATCGGGTAGAATGCTCCATTCGAATCGCAGACCCTCAAGGCTGCTGAAGATGTTGCCTGTTGGGATTGTGATGGAGTTATCGAAGTGATCAGTGCACGACGGGAAAAAAAGCAAAAAAAGACATCCAAGCACACAAAACAAAAGAAAGCAGGCAGCACCTTCGCTGTCGAATGCTTGCACGACAAACACCTCTTCGTCGCCGCGATGGAGAACGCGCGTCGTGGTGAGAATGTCAATGTTCTTAATCTCGTCGACAAAGACATCGCAGCGAAGCTGTAACTTGGCGACTTCAGTACACACAATAATTCAAAACAAAAAAAAAAAAACATCTCAACCAGTTACGTGAGTAAATCCCAAAAGCCATACTGTTCGGCACTGATTCCAAAAAATGCGCTTCGCGACATACCTGCGTCCTCGGCAGTGATCACCGTGGATGCACGAACGCCAGGAACGTTAAACCGCGGAATGACGAGAGCGGAATTTGTGCAGCGTTTGCCGCTCGCTGAGCCTCCCGCAGCTGCGTTCCGGCGCGAGCTCAACCAGCGAGCACGGCCATCGCTCGCAGATGCATCTTGGTGCGCGGCGGGCGCAGACACACCATCGTCAGCAGCGTTCGCAGCATTGTCGTCGCTGCTCGATGTCGCAAACAGGCGCTTCTCGTCGTCGTTTCCGCACAGCTGCTGCGGGTCCTGCGCAGACACAACCACCACTGGCTCTGCAATCGCAACATGCGGCGACGTGGACGACCTGTGAAGGAGAGGCGCAGTCCGTGTGTTTTGAAAAAGTGAGATCTCGCGCCAAAAAAGCCAAAGCCAAGAACCAAAGACAAAGCCAAAGCCAGCGCTCACCATGTGTAACAGCCGTTCAGCGATTCGAGGCTGAACGAGACAACCGACGCCGCAGAAGAGCCAGGAGACGCAGCATCGGACGACCCGCCCGCGCTCGGTGGAGATGGAGCAGGAGCGCGTGGAAGCAGAATCTGAATGGCGTTCAACTGATGATCGCCACCCGGTGCGGACGCAGCTGATGACGATGAAGACGACGATGATGATGACGATGATGATGATGATGATGATGACGATGATGATGAAGCAGCGGCGGCGGCGGCAGCAGCAGCAGCGCTCTTTCGAATCGCAGCAGCTGGAGCAGCATTCGAAGACACCGCGTCGACCCAAACCGCACTGCAGCTCACGGCGACCACAACAAGCAGCGCCGTCGCAACCGCCCCGAATGGGGATGAGCGGCGCTTGGTCATTGGACTCGCTACCCGGAAAACAAAAAAGATGCTGAGAGAAGAAAAAAAGTTACTGAGAAAAAAAAAGAAAGAAACTGAGAAAAAGCAAAAAAGGACTGAAACTGTCAAGTACACGTATTGCTAGAGAGAACCCTCCTATAACGGGACAAAAAATGGAGACCACCCTGCATCTAGCTCTCTTCATATTCTTGTTCAGTATTATTAATATAGACGATGTGGAAAATCGACAAACAATTACAATTTTCATGGAGAGGTGATGGTCGCAGATCGGTGCGCACGGCGGGCCTGCAAGCTCTGCGAAATGGCGCTCATTTTGATCTTGGACTGCGCAACCACACCAGTGCTATCGACAGAGGAGTGGCTGGAAGCACCTCGCTCGGAAGGTGGTGCGCTAACGGCAGAAAGGGCGTTTGAGAGTCCAGCAATGGCTGCCTCGGCATCTGCGGAAATGGCAAAGTTGTTTTTGAGCAAGTCTCGCTCCTGTTGCTGCTGCTGATAATGCTGCTGCTGCTGCTGCAAGTGCACATGCTGCTGAAGGGCGTCGTGCATGGAATGCCAGTACTCTACCTCGCGCTGAGCTGCATTGCCCAGTTGTTGCGTGGCTTGCAGAGCTGCTGCGTGCTGAGCCGCCTGGCTGGCAAGCGTGTCTGCGTGCGACTGCTGAGACTGCTCCAGCTGCGCCTGCAAGGACTGAATCTGCCGCGCTTGATCGGCCAGCGCAGACTCTTGCCGTGCTGCGTGCTCTTGAACCACGCTCAGCGCATCCAGCCGTGTTTGGCCGCGCTCTTGCTCGAGGTGCGTTTGTTGCTCGAGCACGGCATGCATGCGTTGCACTGCCTGGACTCGAGCGCCCTCGCTTGCCGAGCATGCAGCCTCCTGCGTGGCAACTGACTGGGCAAGCTGTAGGTTGGAGGCAAGGGCCGCTTCGAGCTGGCGCACCACATCGGCACGCAGCGCACCTTCTTCCGCAAGCAGGCGGAGAGCCTTCGAGTGATCGTTCGACACGGCGACGACCTTCTGTGTAATCTGGTTGCCTCGAACCGACTCGGCATGGAGGCTCTCTTGCAGCCCAAGTTGCTCGACTCGGGAAGCAGAAAGCTCGGCATTGGTCGCCTGCTGCTGCTGCTGTGCCGAGCTCAGCTGGGTCTCGACGAGGCGCAAGCGCGCCTGCAAATCCTCCACTCGGGCCTGAGCTTCTGCGACGCGCAGAGCGGCCTGCGCCGCCTCCTTTTCGCGGTAGCTGGCTGCCTGCCCTGCCTCGAGCAACTGCTGTCCAATCGACTCGCGCTCAATCCGACCAAGCTGCATCGACTCTTCGGCTTTGGCTTGTGCGGTGCGTAGCTCTTCGCATTGCGACCTGAGAACGGACACTTCGGTTGTGGATTGATCGAGCTGGCGCAGACACTGCGAGCAGGCATCTGCAAGTGTGGCAATCCACAACGGCGGCGACTCCTTCATGCCGGTGCCAGAGTGCGGCGGGAAGGCAGATGCCAGACCAGACGCCATGGCGATGGACTGGCGAAGCAGCGGATGGGAGGCAAACGAAGAGAAAATGCTGCGCAGTCCAGCTTCAATCTGCTGGCGGGCAAGGCCTGCTTGGTGACTCGCCTCGGCTGCGGCGCGGGCCTCTGCCTCGCGAATGCGGACGGGCTGCGACGCCATCTCAGCCTTGAGCGCTTCCTCGCTGCTGCGCATCCGTTCGTTTGCTCGATCGAGTTCGGACTTGATGCGAGCTACTTCCTGTGTTGCGGAACTCACGTGCTGCTGCATGCGCAAGGAAAAGTTTGCTTCGGCCGACACGCTGCTCGAACGGAGCGCTTCCACCTGAGCGACCAGTTGTTTACGATCATCGGCGTGTCGCGTGGTGGCAAGGGTTGCTTGGGCTGCAGCCTCCTTCAGGTCATTGATCAAGCGCGCATTTGTCTGGGCCAGTTGCTGATTCAGTGTGTTGATTTGCTGCTGGAATTGCACAGTGGCGCGAGCCAGCTCGGCCTCGCGTGAAGAAGCAACTTGGCGAACGTTGTCCAGTTCGCGCTCCAATGCGCGAAGCCGATCTTGCAACGCAGTCCGCTCTCGCTCGGCTAGAACAAGTTGCATTTCGAGCTGGTTTCGCGTGTCGAGTTGCTGTGGCGCGGACACGGCGGCAGGTGCAGCTGGAGTGCTGGTAGGTAGGGTGATCGAAGGCGCCATCGGCGTTTGCTTCTTTGCTTGGACTTGTAGCTGCTGTTGATGAGCTAGTTTCGACTCGTGGAGCGCAAGCTGGTTTTGCAACTCTTGAGCGTGCTGCTCTTGTGCTTGCAGCTGGAGTTGCTGTTGATGAGCGAATTTCGACTCGTGAAGCGCAAGCTGATACTGCAAGTCTTGAGCGTGCTGCTCTTTTGTTTGCATCTTGAACGCGTGATTTTGCAAGTCGATCTGAAGCTGCTGCACTTGCTGGTCTTTGAGTTGCAACTTGGAGAGAGTCTCGACGTGAAGTTGCTGCAGCTGCTGCTCCTTGGCTTGCAGCAGAGCGGAGCAGTTTGTCAGTTCCGCCTGGAGTTGTTGCAGTTGCTGGGCATTGGAGCGAAGCTGCTCTTGCAGTTGCAAAAGCTGTTGATTCTTCTCCTCGAGCAGGTGCGCTTGGATCTGAGCTTGCTCCTGGCTGTGCTGAGCTTGTTGCCGAGCGCTGAGCTCCAGAGCCTGAATCTGCTGCACGTGTGCCTCCATTTGACGCGAATTATCAAGGAGGGCGTGTGTTTCGTCAGACGACTGTTGCTGCTGCTGCTGCTGCTGCTGTTGTTGTTGTTGTTGCTGCTGCTGCTGCTGCTTGGCTTGCTGTTCTTGCTGCTGCTGCTTGGCTTGCTGTTCTTGACGGTGCGCCGCCTGGGCAGCAAGCGCACGCTGGTTGGACTCGGTTAGCGCCAGTGTCAACGAAGAAACGGACGCTTCCAGCAGTTTGATCTGGCCGACGAGCTCGACCCGCTCTCTGCTCAACAGATCAATGTCCTGCCGCGCTTCGGCTAACTCGCGAATGGCAAGCTCGCCTTCAGACAGGTGACCAGCAGTTGCTTCCGTCGTGCTACGATGGGCAATGTCAACTTGAACCCCCCTTGCACGAGCAACCTTGGGCGGGTCGGAAGCAACGCTCAAGGCATGCGTGGTTTCAATGGCACTATGAGCAAGAACGGCCAGAGCTGGCGCCGGTTCAGAAGGAGGTCTCGCATCAGCGGTCGAAATGGTTGACATCTCCACAGATACAAGTCGCCGAGAGAAAGGAGCAGGCATGAGAGCGACAGTGGCGTTGGAGTTGGTTGCAGCGGAGATTGCGGTGGTCGAAGCGGAATTCGACAGAGCACTCACGGGCTGTGGCAGCAAATAGCTTTGTGTGCCTTTGTCACGTACATCTCGAGTCAAACCGGCTAGAGCGACTTGGTTTGACGGCAAGGAGTGGGGAATGGTCGTAGGCACGGGAGAAACGAGCGGATGCACTTGATTGGGAATAGACTCCAGCGTGGCCGGACGAGCGGGCACCTCGTGCATAGGCACAGGGATAGGAGCTGAAGCGGCTGTTGCGGAGGTCAGCGCTGATACCGAGAGTGCAACAGCGCGTCCAACAAGAAGGGGTTGCTGCTGCTGCTGCTGCTGTTGTTGTTGCTGCTGGAAAAAAGAAGCAAGCTGCTGTCGCAGCGCAGCCACCTCGCGCAGCGCGCCGTCCACACGTGAATCGCTGGCGCGCTTTTCACGTTGTAAAGATGCAACAAATGTGCTTGTTGATGCTATCTCTTGCTGCTTTGCCAGCAGATCTGAAGCCAGTTGGCTCGATTGGCGACGGGTTGCGGCAAGCGCCTCTCGCAGCTGTTGCTGTTGCTGTTGCTGGTGCTGTTGCTGCTGCTGGTCAATCATGCCACCCACAGCCAACGGGGAACTCGACAACGCAGACGGCAATGGTACCGGAGAGGAGAGCGGCTTGGATTCGCTGGCGAGCTGTTGCGTTGGCGCAACGGGGGCAGGAGTAGGAGCGCTGCTCACAGAAGCCGGAAGCGGCAACGGCGGCGGGATTGACTGTTGTTGAATCAGAGACAGGTTCAACACAACCTCGCGCCCAGGTGGAGGCGGTGCAGAGCTTAACGACTCGGGTACAGCGGCAAGCAGTTGGGCAATACGGTCGCGGCTGTGCGCAAGCTCGGCATCACCAGCCAGCTTGGTCTGAAGCAAAGCCGCATGCTCGAGTGTCAACTCATTCAAATCGCGCTGTAATTCCGCTTGTTGCAACTCGAGAGTACGGATGCGTGCCTTCTCTGCGTCAGCTTGCGCCGACAAGGCGACAATCCGATCCTCCGCAACTTGAAGCATGTTGGTCGCATCAGAGCACATGGTTCGAAGTGTTTGCATTTCGATCGAGTTTGCAGTCGTTGCGGTCGGTGGAATGCCGGTCGTTGCAGTCTCGGACGCGGCCAAAGGCAGCGCATGAGCGACAAAGACGGACGACCGCACAACGTTCGTGCCAATCGTGCGACCGGAAACCATCGGGGCTGCGACGGTTGCAACTGGAGAGACGAACAGAAGAGTCGTAGTTGGCTCTGTCGATTCCGTCTGCGCAAAGCTATCAGACAATGCAGGAGATGCACGCACGATTGAAACACCTGACAACGCCACAGGTCTTGCAATCGGTGTGGGAAGCAGCGCTTGAACTGACTTGTCCGCTCTGGGTGGCTGGCTTGTTTGAACGCCGGAATCAGAGCCACTGACTGCAGTAGATGCATGCACGATCGAAATGCCCGACAACGCCACAGGTTTTGCAATCGCTGTGAAAGGCTGCGCTTGAATTGACTTGTCCGCTTGGGGTGTCAAGCCAGCGGCTTGAGTCGTGCGATTAGTGACAGCGCGAGGCGGATTCGAAAAGCTACGAATAGCAGATCGTCCAAGTGGAGCAGGTGGGCTGCTGCTGCTGCGCTGTTCGAGCTCTTGGAGCTGTTGTCGCAAGCGAAGGTGTTCTGCTCCCTGGCGCTCGGCCATTCGTGTCTGTTGATCCAGGTCGTGGAGGTGGGAGGCAATCTGCTGGTCTTTTTGCGCCAGCAACTCTTGATGTGTGCGTGACTCTTGGGTGAGTTGCCGTTGGCGCTGCTGATCTTGCAAGTGCTGCTGTTGATAGACTTGCTCATTCTGCTCAAGCGCTGACAGCTGCGAGGCCAAATTACGCTTTTCGAGCTCGAGAGCGGCCTGTGCTTCCGTCGCGCGCTGCAGCTCACACTCTGTTTGCCCCAATGCTTCACTAGCGGACTGGTGTTGCTGTTGGGTGCGTTGAAGATCGCTTTTAAGATTCACGATTAGAGCATCGTTGACAGACGCCTGAGTTGCTGCAGCTTGTAACTGCTCTGTGAGCCTGGTCAGCTTGAGTTGTGCATCGTCCAGCTCTGCTCGGAAAGCTTCTTCCGCGCGAGCATCCGTCGCAGGGGCTGCCGCCGCGCTCGGGACACCAGAGGCAGCAGCAATGTTTGGAGAGGACACAGACGTTGTGACAGGAATTAGATTCGGCAGCGAGGCTGTTTGCTGTTGCAGGGCTTGGGGATGCTGAACCGCTCCGACTGCTGGACGAGGGCCCGACGATGCATCCGGAGCTTCATCCGGCGGTGACACCATCTCGAACTCGTCCATCACAAACAAGCCACTTTGTACGCCCCACCGGGCTGGGCTGTCGTGCAACGAAGAAGAGATGGTTACGGAGGACGGGACGCGTCGTTCTCCCGGCGCGGTTTCGCTTGTTGATGACGACGGAGCCGAGGTCGACGCCACACTCGTGGAAGAAGCGGAACTAAGAGTCATGACGGCGGGGGTGAGAGCAGCGTTTGACACTGAGCTCGGAGGAGACACAGCAGAACCGTTCAGAGCGGGAGACGGAACCTCGGATTCCGGCCATCTAGGACTCGACGACACAACAGGAAGCAGGACTTCCTGGCCACGCTGCAGCTCGGCATTCGAACGTTTCAAGGCGATTATTTCAGCATCGCGTTCCTCAACCTGAGTCGTTAGCTGAGTCACCGCAGCTTGAGAAGATGCCGCGGCGTGCTTCAATCGGGACACTTGTAGGCTTTCGGCAATGGACGCTCGATCCATATCGAGAGCTGTCAAAGTGGACTGGACTGAAACCGCGTGCGCGGCTGGTGGTCGGGCAGAGAACCCGCGAATGGAGCTTCGCACAAGAGCGGGGGTCTGCACTCGGTGCGCGATTTCCATGCTCGCTGGTATGACTGCTACCTGTATTCGTGAACGAGCGAGGGAAACCTGCCGCGGGGGTCGTGATGGTCGTTCAACTGGTGGAGATGCTTGCGAAACATGCGAAAGCTGGGAAATCGACAACCCGCCGGAAGCGGGTGGTGCATTTGCAGAGATGCCAGACACGCTGGAAAGCACCAACCGCCGTTGCTGCTGTGCGGGCAATGTCGGACGCAACGGCAACTGCTGGGCCGCACTGGATGATGATGATGGAGACACAACGCTATCCGTGTGGCAATTGCTCACAACAAGCCGCTTGGCGACGGCCACTCGCTTGGCCATGTCGGACTGATTTGCAACTCGCAACTGCTCTTCGAGGGTGTACAAGCGTGCGATGGTGGCAGAGCGCTCCTCTGTCCATGCCTGCGCTCTTGCAGACTGCAGGGAAGCGGTTGCAACACTCGCTTCAGACTGCTGCAACGATTCGAGTCGATTCAAGGACTGCTGCGATTCAAGTCGATTCGAAAGTGACAAAGCTTGCAAGGGCTGAGCAAACTGCACGTTCGTCATTTGTGAAGCGTAGCCGGCAGTGACATCCGAATCGGCATTGAAGACGGCCACCGTCTGGTAGTCCAAGACGGGTGCAACTGTCGGTGGTCCAGCATCATCGGAAACATTGACAAAAGATGCCGCTGCTGTTGGTTGCTGATCGGTAATGTCAAACTCTTCTTCGGGGGACCGTGCCTTGAGCGGAGCAGAGTAGGTACTGCGCGGGCCTTGGGAAACCGGAACAGACGGAGTGACGGGAAGAACAAAGGCCGTCGCTTGCTGGCGCAGCAAATGTGCAGGCGTTGAAGGAGCAGAGTCTTGCAGAGCAAGAGGCTGAAGCGACCATTTGGGGACCAACTGGTCGTTGACGGCCGTTGCCGAAGGGGTCACTGCGAACGCAGCCAACTTTCGCTCGAGTTGAGCGTTGGATGCGGCAAGCAACGACCGCTCCCGCTCAGATTGCTCGAACTGGGCCTGCAACTGCTTGAGCGCCTCCTGTTGAAGCTGCAGCTCTTCGCTCATCGAAGCCGAGCGCTGCCGTTCTTCAAAGACTGCCTTCTTGAACTCAAATAGGTATTGGTTGACTTCTTCGACATCCGCAGCAGTACTTCCCGATGTTGCAGGTGTTGTTGAAGAACCAGCGTCACTTTGACCGATGGATTGACCGGTGGGCGCTTGCCGATACGCGACGTCAAACTCCCCTTTGCTCGCAATGCCAATCGCAGACTCGTCCGCTTGAATGGCTGCAAGACTAGCGTCGATGGCGCCAAATACGCTGTGAGATTCAGGAATGACGGCGACGTTGGTTCGGGAGAGAAGCTTGAGATGTGCGTACGCCTGCCGCAACGAGACTTCCAAGTCGACGTGCTGTCGCCGAAACCGCTCGAGCTTTGTCCGATACACTGCCTGCACGGCCAGACACACGGTCGTTTCAAACTGTGCAATGTACAATCGGTCAATCATGTCCAGCAGCAGGGTATTGTATGCCGCTCGAACTTCACGAACTTGGCCAGCGTTGGAGTCTTCCTCAACGCCATTCCATCCATGCTCGTCAAGCGATCCAGCCCGGGACAAGCGGCGAAAGGAGGATGCGGACCGACCCTTGCCTTGACTGTCGCCTCGGCGCAAACCCAAATCCACAAACGCGTCGGGAGATGGCGGTTGCTGCGAGAGTTCGGGATTTTCTTCCTGCCAGAGACGCTGCTGCAGCTCGGCCTTCTGTTTGAGCAAGGCGGCGCGCTCGGTCTCAAAGTACTTGCAAGCGCGCTCGTACCGATCTTGACAGCGCTCGAGCGTGAGAATGAGGAGCTGATTGTTGAAGCAAAACGCGGTGAGCATCAAGTTGTCGAGTTAGTTGTACATTCAACATGCGAGAGACACACCAACTCCTCATCCTACCTTCTCGTTCAATGCAAGGGGAAACACGGACTGGTCGTTGACAGTGTCATAGAGAATCGCGTCTGGTTGCTGGCTGGCTCGCAACTGGGCGATCGCAGCGTCCTCTGTCGCGTCGTCGTCACCGCCTTCCTCCGCCTGGCTGCTGTTCCATTGAGCAGTATGACGCACGAGTGACTTGTTGGGCTGGGTCTTTGTCATCAATGAGGATGGCAACGTCCCCGTGGCTTGGCTGGATGATGTGCTTGAAACCGGCCGCCCAATCATTCGGCGCAGCGCATCCAGGGCTTCGGGACTGATGAGCCTGTACCGCTCGTCTGTCTGCAGCAGTTGGCTCGACTGATGCGTTGCCATGAGCATCTGCGCAGTGGACGCGACGATCTGGTTGATGAGCGCGGACGACTCGACGAGGGCGGCGGCTGGTTTGAATCGTGCAGCAGCAAACGGTGGGCGATGATGACTCGTTCCGCCGCCGTTGTCATCACTGCCATCACCGGCATCATGATGGTGGCGTTCGTCGTCGTCGTCGTGGCTGTATGTGTGCTCTTGCACTGCTGCTGGGTGGCGGACGACGACTCCCGCCATGCCCCCCAAAAAAAAAAACGACAGCTCCTCTGCTGAGAGACTTTGCTTGTTGTGAATGGACTGAACGTGTCTCAGCATTCTCAGAATTCCCGAGCTTGACGATGCAATACTTGACATCCCGACTTTGAGGATTGCTGAACAACTTGAACGAAACGTTCATTTCGTCCGAAATCCCGACTTGCTGTTGCCGACACTGCACCTTGAATTATTTTTGTTTTGCTCTGTGGAACTCGAATTTCAGTACATTGACATCGTATCGAAGGAAGAGCTACTCTCCCTTTGACCATCCGATCGATGCCACCATCGTCGTCAACAAAGGCGAAATCGGCGAACGCTGTCAGCGGCAACGACACCGGCAAGGCCAGCTCCAGCTCCAGCAACTCCAGCAACTCCAGCAACCACGCGAGTTCATCAAACGCTGCATCTGCTCACAATAGTCGGAAGAGCGGTGGTCTGAATGCTGGCAGTGGTGCTCCTCCACGAGCGAGCGTCATCCACCCAGCGCGCGGCGGACTGGCGCACGAGCTGTTCCGACTCCTCGATCGGGGCATTCTCGGACTCGTCTTGCTGCTGTTGTTTTGCCTTTCATTCGAGCTGCTCCTGCCCAACTCGCTCCCTGCACAGTAAGCGTCGTGCGACTTTGATTTGCGGTGCATGTCGCCCGCTCCGATTTGTCGTCTGGCCACCCCTTTCGCCTTGTTCGCCGCACGCCCGCAGCCGATTCGTACTGGCGCGTTGAATCCTGTCCCGAACATGGATGAGCGGAGGGGGGAGACGGGGGAGATTTGCTGCTGTGTCGTATTTTATGGTGTGCGCGTCAGTAATCGTTATGACAATCTGACAATGAATTTGACAGGATGCTCCTCAACCCTCCAACGCCGCTCAGCGACAGCTGTACGGGCAAGCTCGACCAGTACAATGCCCTCGGATCGCTCTGTGGATTCCACAACCCTGTAGATCTCGGTATGTCGTCCATCTATGGTCGTGGTTGCCACCAGCCACGCGATAGATCTAAATCTCAAAACGAAGAAGAAAAAAAAAAAAGTCGTGTAAAGTTTCACGCCCTCCACTGAATCATTCAATGCAAAGGCTGCAATCTCATCGTATTGCACACTTGGTTTGTCGACTGTATATTTCAACTGATTTATGATACCAGAGGCAATCCGACTTGCCAACAACAAGACGCTGCTGCTTGCCATCCGCCACGAACATCCGTACTTTGATGGGAGAACAAGTACTGACGCCGAAGAGTATGGCCTCCAGGCGTATGTGGATGGATACTCTCAGCTGCTATGGCCGACGCCTTCATCTCAGACTCAATTGAGGTTTGTATTTTCACTGACGGGATTGTGCGTGCACAGCTTTGACCGATCATTTCTAACACGCCGCTTTTGGATCCACCTCGCAGTGATTTCCTGCTCGGTGTGCCAGGGTGTGCTTCTCCTCCAGTCGGAGCAGAGTTTCGACCACTTTCGCTGGGCGTACAAGTCTTGCCCGCCACATCTTTTGCTCGACGACACGGCCCTTTCATCGCCGAGCAACATCGCGGATCAGTCACAACCGTTGTCGTTGTCAACCAGGCCACGGCTCGCTCGGCCATTGAAGTGTTTGAGCTGATTGGCGGATGGGATGGCTCTGCAGACAACGTTGGACAATCGGATGCGCTCGGAGGAGCCCACCAAGCCCCGCTGAGCGCGAGCGTCGAAGAATCGTCGTTGCGTTGGATGGGATGCGTCCCAGTGTATCGGCAAATGAATGCTGGAGATGTCGACATTCTCGATGCGGTCACGGCTGGACGGCGAAACAGCGGAGGCCCTGCAGTGGTTGTGTCGGGAAACGACCAAGGCCCGCCCAGCACGATGGCCACGCTCATGGGACGGATAACGGGTGCATGGCTCGGTCTCTCTTCGGGCCATTTGCGCATCTGGTCTGCGCCTGCACCGTTTGCTGCCAGCGACAACGTGACCACCGCTGATGACATTCAGCCGTTGCACGCATCGCGTTCGGCGTTTGATGCGGCTGTCGCACAGGCGCGATGGAGGCATGTTTATCTCGGCGAGCCGGTGCCCCGTGTCCCAGCTGGGATCATGGTGGCCGCCGGTCGACTCGTGTTTGGCAACTACCACCAGCTTTGTCGCGTTGACTTGCCGCAAATCATGCCCAACTCTCTCCTTCAGCAAGCCGATTGGCCGCCAACCGAGCCCGTGCACACGAGCGATCTCAAATGCGTCGCAGTGTCGGAGCAGAGCGCCGTGGAAGTTCAGCTCATCTCGCATTTCGGCGGCTCGGCGGTTCTCGTTGTCAGCCGCTCCAACACGCTCGCGAGTACCCTCAAGGCCGCATTGTGCGCCCTAGGGCGAGATCCTTGCGACATGCCATGGCAGCTTCATGTCGTTCATCTTCCAACCATGCAAAGTGAGTGGGTGCGAGTGCTAGCTACGTGGGGGGTGGTGGTTTCTGACTGTGATGCTTGGAACATTTTTTGCAGGCTTTCCGCTATTGAAGTTTGACGGAACCTCCCTCGGGTATGCCACGTCTGTCTCCTACTCTGATGGCTTCATGTACTTTGGGACGCAATATGGCGAACGTGTTGGCGTTGTACGATTAAGCCCCAGCCATGACAAACTGTTGCGCAAGCTTGCGCGAACCGATTAGTTTATTGTTGAGTTTGATCTCGGTCGATTTTTTTTTCTGATTGTCCCATACAATCCAAACAACACGGAATTAATACAACAAACTTCGGGTGTGCGTTGTTTTCGTCTCATTGTTGTGTGGACAACGTTGATTCCATCAGAGTACGGCGCGGTGCACAAAAGCGGAAATTTGCCTTTGCGCAATTTGCTGCTACCCCATAATTACTGTATCGACTTTGAGAAACGCACTGTACTCGGCCAAGCCTTGCATAGGGCTACTGCACGCCTCGGCAACGGTGCCACTGCTCTCGCCTCGCCAGGATTCCAGCAGCACACCAGACCGGAAAGCATAGCATTTTGCTGTTTACTTTTTTTTTTTCTGCTTTCCAGTCGCGAGATTTTTGTTTTTCGACATTTTTTTTTCTTTTCAGTTTTTTTTTTTTTTTTTGGAAGTCTTTTTTTTTTTCAATTCCATCCCACTTCCCAACAAACATACAAACGTGACCAGCTGAAATACAGCACGAGGAATGCAGGACGACGCTGGGCGGCCTGGCGCACCGCATCAACAGCAGCAGCAGCAGCAGCAGCAGCAAGAAGCGCCGGCTTCGTCCTCCTTCTCCACTTCCTCGCTGTCGTCCAAGGCCGTCATCGCTTCTGCCGCCGCCGCCGCCACAGCACGGCCCACACCCGCCGCCTCGCTTGCCCCACTCGCAGCAGCAGCAGCAGCGCCCGCACTTGAGACTGTAGTGGCGGCGCCGTCGTCGTTGTCGTCGGGGCTGGCTGACGAATCTGGTACGCAAGTGGCGGGTTTGGCAATCAACACCCATTCCGATGATGCACGACCCGCCCTGATGACTCGACCAACGACATCCATGTCCGTCGACGCGGCGACCGTCTCGGACGTACACGGCGCCGGCAGCACCAGCACTAGTACCAGCACCAGCAGTGCGAGTCCCAGTCGACCGGGCAAGCGACATGCGCCGCTGAGCGTCATCTCGTCCAACGCGAACGCAAACGCCGACAATAACGACGCCGCCGACGACGACGTTAGTGCTTCCGCTCGCGCTACTGGCTCGTCCGCGCAGGTCGCTGGACCGTCGCCACACCAACCACAGCAGCACCAGCCATCCCAGCAGGCAGTCGAGCGTGGCCACCAACCCGCCACCGAGGCAGACCAATGTTCGCCATCTGAGCGGCCACAACAATCCCAATTTGTCGCTTCGACCGCCATTCCGACTTTGACTCCCTCTGCCAACACGACCACCACTACCACCACGACCACCACCAACAACTCCTCGGCAATAACCAGCACATCCAATCCTAGCACGGGCAGTAGCAGCAGCAGCAGCAGCAGCAGCAGTGGAGAGCGCAGCCCTGTTCGCCGAAGAGGCATCAAGCCGAGGTCCAACACGTACTCTGGCAATCCCATTTCCTTCTTTGACGGAGCAACTGCTTCTGCCTCTGCCGCTGCCGCTGCTTCTGCCACGCCGAGTGTCGCAGCAGCTGCACATGCCGTCACGGACATTGATACTGTACCATTGTCGCCTCAGGTGATGGGCTCGCCTCGCATGGAGTCGCAGCACGCGGCGGCAGCAGCGGCAGCAGCTGCGAGTTATGCGCATCAGCGCGAGCTCTTACTTCGCCCTCTCGAATCGATGGAGTTGATGACGCCTGCTGCTGCTGCTGGTACTAGCGCAAACATCCCACCAGGTGCCGTTGCTGCTGCTGCTGCTGCTGCTGCTGCTGCTCCTGCTGTTGTTACGGCGGCTGCTGCAGCTTCAACTCCAGCAGCAACTTCCTCGACGCAATTTGTCGATCAAATTGTGCGCCAGTACCATCCTGGAGCGAACGACTCGCCACCCATCAGTGGTCTCAATAACGGCATGCTCACGGCGTTTTCCGGAGGCAACGGGTCTATCCTGTCGCTCACCAGCAGCAGCTCGAGCCAGACGCCAACCAACTATGCGTCGCCTGTCGCCACTGCCAAGCAGCTCCCTTCGCTGAGTTCGCCGACCATGCGAAGCGTTTCGCCAACGTCCCGATTTTCCTCCAAACGGATTTCTTTGCCAACGATGCCGACCATCTCGACAGAGCAGCCAGCGCCGTCATCATCCTTCGACCAACACCAAACCACGCCGGCACAGCAGCCACCATCGTCAGCCCCTCGCTCGTTACATTCAGCCTCTGCATCGTCGCAGTCACTGCAACTCCCAGGGTCGTATGCCAACAGCAACTTGTCGTTTTCGTCCGCCTCGCTTTCGTCCATGTCCTCCGCCAGCACGGGCTCGATCAATTCCCTCTTTTCCGAGATGGACGGCCCAGCCTCAAGTCAGTATCACCAATCACTCGACCCCGTGCCAGAGTCCGAGACCCCGGCGCCTCCACGGTTTGGTGCAACGCTCTTTGCGTCAGACCGAATGTCACCTTCAGGCGGAAACATGTCGCCTGCGCCGTCTCCTGCATTTTCAGACGAAGAGCGCAGCTGGCGGCGAAAGCAGCTCCTCGGTCGATCGGAACCCTCCTTGCCCAGCTTGCAGCTCGACGCCCCGCCGAAAGCCTCCACTCGGCCAAGCAGCAGCAGCAACACTGGCGTTGGCGCGGGACTGCGCGGCGCGAGTGCCCCCGGCTTTGCCTCTCCATCCCCTCGATCCGCCGTGGAAGTAGAGTCCTCGCTCAGCTTTTTCCCATTCGATGGGCTTACACCCGGAGCTGCAATTCGCCCTGCGGCAAAAGGCGCACCCGCAATGGGTGGTGTCACGAGCGGAATATCCGCGAGCAACTCCAATCTCAGCACGCTGGGGCGGCGAAGCATGCCTGGGCATGGACGCCAAGCATCCATCACGTCAATATCGAGCGACTCGCCGCCTCGTCGGTCTTCGGGGGACAGCGGGAGCAGCGCTGCTCTGGACGAGGAAGAAGGTGGCAGCTTCCGTGGCCGCTCTCACTCGATCGAAAATCGACGTCGTCTACGGCGGCCGTCCGAGGTAACATTGACAGGTTGATGGGATGGAGGCGAGGTGGTGTTGTTGTTGTTGTTGATGTGCTGCCACATTCAAAAACACGAACACAAAAACCACTGCTGCACCACTCACACAGGGCGAAGACACTGAGCTGGGCTCGCCTCGAGCTCGCAGCCTGAGTCCTGTGCGACGACTGGATGTGGATGCCGGATTGTCCTTGTTTGGCACGACGGTAAGGCATCGCGCATGAGTTTTTTGTTGTTTGTGATTGAAAAACGCACCTGACAAATGTTATTTCTACTTCTCCCTCTCTTCAGTTCCCCAAGGTGAAGCTTCACCTTGAAAAGCAACTTGGCCAGTTCATTGTGACCACCGAACACCGGTCGCAGGCTTTGGCGCAAACGATGGAAGAGTCGGCGTCGCCTGCCTTGAGTCGGAGTGGAAGCCTTTCGAATCTTTCGCCGTACGGACCCTCACCGCTCACGCGCAGTGCCACGGCTGCAGGCACCGTGACTGCCCCGTCTGCGATTGGGACGGCCGTACCACCCTTGACGTCGTCCACGCTTATCAACAACTTGCTTGGCATGACCGGGCGAGCCACACCCCCGCCACCGGCCTCGGCGCCTGCAACAACTCAGTCCGTTCCAATGATTGGCGTGGTGGCTGGGTCGCCTGTTTCCGCCGGTACGCCAACCGGTAGCACCTCCAGGAGCGAATTGAATGTGTTTGTGCCCGCCACTTCGCCGCTTGCCTACTCGAGCGCCTCGCAGCAGCCCCTGGTCAGTCCTCGCCTCGCCCTAGGCCGTTCCAGTCGTGACGATTCCTCGCGGCCTGAGTCGCCGCTGCCAACCACGTCTTCCAGCCAAATCCACCATTTTCATGATGGCACGTCGCCCATTGCTTCGACCGGCTCGATACCAGCACTGGCGGACAACAGCACTGCCTCGCTCAATTCGCCTGTGACCTTGCGACGGCGTAGCATAACCCCAACTGCCACACGCCGAATGAGTGTTGAGGACCGACGCTCTGAAACGCGATTGCTTCAATGCTTGACGGCCTTTGCAACCGATCTTTTGGCGATTTCCACCGAGAATCGCTTGAATGGTTACGTGCTGCGTCCCTTCCTAAGCAAACTCCATGGGTTTTTGGAGTCGATTGCTGGCCGCTTTCCCCTCGTTCTCCGCTCTGCCCGCGAGCTGCTGTACATTTGCTCCCGTCCCGCTCGGCTGATTGAGTGTTTGGTTAGTTGTTGATGTGCATTTGGGTTGGTTGGGGATGTGGCTTTATCTCGTGTCTTTGTTGGAGTGTGGCGTGTGTGTTCACATTCTTGTTCTTCGTCTCGCAGGAATTCGATCCAGAAGCCTACTACCGCTCGCTCGCCTCGCCAGAACAAGCTCGACGCACCATCGATCTAGAAGCGTTCGATCCTGCCAAGTATGTTTCAAGTCGCATGATGCTGCGTCTCGAACGGTTTGGAACGCAAATTGCAGCGCTCGAGCAAATGCCAGATTATGGTACCCGCTCATGCCTCCCTGTTTTTTTGGTTGTTGATTCTGATGATGAGAATGATGAATCGCTCAACTTTCTCGTATCTCATTTGCCCGCTTCACTCTGAACAGCGACTGGACGGTATAGCAAGGAAATTGACACGCTCGAGCAGCAGCGCGATGCCATGATGGCACGCCTGAACATCCTTCGGTCGCAATCGGGGCTGAACATGCGGGAAAATCCTCTCGCCCGGCGCTTTCCTCTTGGAGATAACCCTCTTGCTGGGGTTCGTCCTCCTTCGCCATCCAGAGGGCTGGCCACCAACATTGAGCAGCACTCTGCCTCGTTCAAGCCACACTTGCGCTCTTCGGCAGCGGCGAGTCTGGGCCAAGGATACTCAAATGAACCTGCTCCCGCCAGTTTCCTGTTCCGACAGAGCGAATCCATACTTCAGTTTGCCAAAAGCGGCCTCCTTGCTGGGCTGCAAGAAGAAGGGTCGTTGGGAGAGGGCGAGGACGAAAGCACGCCATTCTCCTCTGCAACCTCCAGCCGCTCGTCCATCGCCAACACGACAGCTGCACAAGCAGCGACAGCCACATTCGCGGCCTCGCGGTCCAATAGCTTCAAGCTATCCGCTGCAGTCTCGGACTTTTCTTCGGCGGCGCCGAGTGAAATCCCTCTCGGGCGCCGTCTATTGCCTCCACGCGTGCCTCGCAAGTCGGACTTTGACTATCTCAAGCTTATTAGTAAAGGCGCGTACGGGTAAGTGGTGATTGTGTGCTGGAGATTGAAGGGAGATTATTTACAAGGTCTGAATTGTTTTACTGCCTTGTTCTTCTTCGGCTCACCGATTTTTTATTGCTTGACTGTTCGTTCGCAGCTCGGTGTTGCTGGCTCGACACAAGGAAACACACGAACTCTTCGCCATCAAGGCGCTCAAAAAGCGAGAAATGATTCTCCGAAACCAGGTCGAGAATGTTTTGGCCGAACGCGACATCTTGGCGGTGGCCAACAATCCGTTCGTCGTGTCCATGTTTGCATCCTTCCAAAGCAAAAACCACTTGTACTTGGTGATGGAGTTTGTCCAAGGCGGTGACTGCGCGACGTTGCTCAAGGCCCTTGGGGCGTTTTCGGAAGAGATGGCTCGAACCTACGTTTCCGAGACTGTGCTGGCGGTCGAGTACCTTCACACCAATGGCATTATTCATCGCGACCTCAAGCCGGACAACTTGCTCCTCACCGAAAATGGCCACATCAAATTGACCGATTTCGGCCTGTCGCAAATCGGCTTGGTGAATCGCACGGCCACGCTGTACGAGCGCAGTCTCAGCATGGAGCGAGGCCACTCGCGCCAGACCTCCGAAGGCGCCAACATGTCGTTTGACAGCAGCTTTTCTTCTGACATGGCCGAGACAGCCCTTCCGCCACATGTGCCAGCGAGTGGGGGCGCAACAACAACAACTGGCTCTTCTGCGCATGCGCAGTCGCAGCATCGCGCTGCGCCATGTGTGGGCACGCCAGACTACATGGCGCCCGAAATTATTCTCGGCTCAGCTATTGGTCCCGAAGTGGACTGGTGGGCTTTGGGTGTGATGACCTTCGAGTTCCTGACCGGAGTGCCACCGTTCAGGGGCAACAGTGTCGAAGAGTTGTTCCGAGACACGTTAAAAGCAGGTTTGTAGATCTGGGCGGATGTTGCTGTCAAGATTGTTGCAGTTGGGATGGTTGGCCATGGCTCAAACGTTTGGGTTTTTTTTTTGGTTTGTTTCTGCTGCAGAGATTGACGCTGACGAGCTGTCAGAGTGCAGTCCTGCTGCGCAAGAATTCATTTCACGTCTGCTCGCCTACAATCCGACAGATCGGCTTGGGCACAATGGTACGACGATGCTTCGGCTACATTTCTATTTGTTGGTTTGTCTTCTTCCCTTTGCTCACTTGATGATGTGTGTGTCAGGTGCCGATGAAGTCAAATCGACGGCATTCTTTGAGTTGCTGGACTGGGATTCGCTGTTGATGCAGCGCGTAGAGTTTGTGCCAGTCCTGGACTCGGAAGATGACACAAAATATTTCGATAGTACGGTTTTGGATTTCTCATTCGTGGTCGCTTCACCCCCACTGCTCAATGTGCATGGTGATCGGCGCTTTGCTTGTATTCAATGTGTGTGTTCGATTTGGTTTTGCTGAAAACGCCAACAGCTCGTTTGGACCGTTACCCCGACCGCGCGACAAGCCCGTCTCCGCACCGTCACCCTGGCTCCTCCGAGCCCAACACGGACGACAAGCTGACTGAAATGCACTCTGCCTTTTCGAGGTTTTCATTCCTCAATCCCTCCGTTTCCGCGACCATGCTCCCCGAGGCTGTCACCTCTGAGGACCGCACGAGCGACGTGTAGCGTTGTTATCGTCATATGGACGAGTTGTGGTTTCGTCCTTTCTGTTTTCGCTCGTGGTCGCTCGTGATCTAATTCTTCTCTTGTTATTTCCTTCCCTATTTTTGCCATTTTGGGAATCTGTCAAAAGTCTTTTCACCTTTTGACTCGTTTAGTTTGGTCCGTTTGTTTTTGTTTTTTCTTTCTTATTATTTCGATGCTTGAGTGGTATTGATGATCTTGTAGTTGAATTTTCTTTTTGCTACGTTTGAGTTGCGTTGAAAATGTTGTAGTTGTATCATAACACTGAATTTTTTCTTTTCTATTCTTGCATGTTGGATGACAATGCCTCTTTCAGCTCATCAAACACAATTGGATCATCGGCAACAGACGGCGCTGGTGACGGAGGAACAGGAGGAGCCTCTGGAGGAGTGGCTTCTGGCACGGGACTTGCCCTGTCGATCACTTTCGGAGCTGGGGACGGAGCGGCGGAGCTGCGTTGGCTCTTGGAGGGAGACCTCGGGGACGACCCGTCAAAATACAAATCAATGCCAATGGCCGGAGGAATCAACTGGCGGCGAACAGGCGCGCTTCCAGAAGACGGCGTGCTCGTCGGCACCGGTGACGCCAAACTGGACGCAGTGGCAGCAAACACAGAAGTCGGGGACGGCCCATTCAGAGGCTCTTGCACCGATTCCGGCAAGAGAGCATTTAACTGCCGACAAGACTCGCTTAATCGTTGCGTCGCCGCTTGCAGTGATGTGAGCGTTTTGATCATGGACTGTATCTCGGCGGCAGCACCCGCCATTCTTGTGGCGTTTTTCTGTCGTTGTGCCAGCGCAGCCGATGCGCGTGCGGTGACGACCTCTGTTCGTCGAATGGATTCATCGATTGCGTTCTATTTGCACGAAAGAGAAAAAAAAAAGGTCAGCAACAGGGCGCGACCAACCGAAACAAACCGGCTTTTTGCTTGTTGCGAACAAAGATTGGGTCATAACTCACCTGCTCGGACGACACGCGATCGGCCAAATGCGCAAAGTGCTGCTGAGTTCGACTTGCTAACGTCATGATGGCTGAAGACTCGAGCTGGACATCTGCAGAAATTGAACGATGAGTATCGAATGCCGCGTCTCCGGACTTGCTGGAGTTTGCTTTTTGACGAATTTCACATACCCACTGACTCAAAGTCTCGCGATGACAGGTACCAGTTGTTGTCAATGGCGCTTCGCAATATTGGCAGAAACTGTAACAGCAGCATGACGAGTGAGTGAGCGAGATATTCATCAGCGCGCCCCCAGGCGACCGAGGCCTCGCGACCAGCCACACCAACGATAGCAAGCAGAAACTGCAAGCATCACTCTATGACGCTCCCCGCAAGCCACCCGAGGCGAGAGGGGGGGCAGGGAATGGGGAAGAAGAGAGGGGGCTTTCGCTTTTGGTCAGTCCGCTTCGCCGCTTACTGTTGGCAGTGCGTGGAGTGCCTGGATCTCGGCGGTGGATGAGAGCGCAGCCAGATCAGCAGCAGAGAGCGACGCAGATCCAGTGACTGCTGCGTGTGCTGCAGCGATCTGCGACGCAATGATGGCGCTCGGACTTGCGGCTGGGTTGACGACAATCACACCGGGGTCGGCCGCGTCACCAGCGCCAGCAGCACCGTCGCCACCATGATGATGATGTTGTTGAGCACCGCTGCTTGAATGATAGCCTCGTCTGACGAAAAAAAAAAAAAAACCAGGGTTGTTGTGAGAAAATTGAACTTGAGTTTGACAATCTTTTGATGCTTACTGATCTGCTGGAGTCGAATTGCCTTGTCCCATTCGCGCAGAGAAAAGAGTGAATTGGGGGGTGCAACCCGACTGACGACTAAGAATAAATATCTCAGAGCTGTATCCAATTGATTCGCAACAACACAAACGAAAAAGGACTTGTTTCAACAAAAGACGAAAAACAATTGCATCGCTTTTTGGTCGCACAAAGCATGCAGGCAACCCAAAAAAACCAAGATTAAAATGCAATTGACATGTACGCTAGCAAGGCAATCGGTGATACTCGAACGTCGATTTGAACGAACAACAGAATAACAATCGTCAAACATGCAGATGGCGAAAACACAAAGCAAGCATCCCTCAGTATCCCAGATTGAGACGGTATCGCTTGTACAAGCTCATGAACTTGGCGACAAAGGCTTCAAGGTGGAAAATGGGCTTGCTGCCGAGCTGCAGACGATGCTCGTACGTGGCGGCCCATTGGACGAGCTCAATCTTGAGTGAGCGGTCGATCGAACGCAGCAGCACGTTTGTCAAGGACTAAAGCGAATCATCATCACTCATGTGTGAGTTGACTTGTTTGTGGCCATTCCATCAAAATCAAACTTGTCAGTTTCACAAAAACTACTATACCTTGATGATGATGTCTGCAGGAATGCAGTGACTCAACAACTCGTACATTCGGCCACGGACGGCCAGCAAGCTGTGTGGTGCAGGAGAGCCAAGCCAAATTGAATGAGCCCCAAAACGTTTTGAGGCGCTTTGTGTTTGGAACGAACAACCAAAAACAACCGCACACTCACCACTTTGGAGATTGCTCGCCAAGAATTTCGCTCGCAGTTTGCTCCACATACACCTCCCAGTCGGCCTTTTGGATGGGCTGGTTGGACACAAAGGGATACTGCTGCACGCGGCACGCTTCAAACGACAGAATGGCTTTTCGCAGATTGCGATCGCTGCTTTCTGCGATACGCGTCGCAAAATCGCCACTCACGCTAATGCCCTCCTTGCGCGCGATTGACTGCAATACGGTGACAATCTGCCATCACGAACCCGAGGGGGGGAGAGAAATCAGGTGATCTCGTCGCAAAAACAAAAACAACCAAAAAAAGCGGTCTGCTGGCATGAAAAACAACAAAATGAAGACAACCCATACCTCTGGAACAGTGGGGGCTGGAATTCGAATACCGAGACAGCGACTGCGAATGGGAGACAGGACTTTGGAAGTGCTGTTGCAGAGGAGAATGAGCCTGCATGTGGAAACGTACAACTCCATCGTTCGACGCAACGCATGCTGCGCGTCCTTGGAGAGTTTGTCCACCTCCGTCAAGACGACGACTGGAGCATGCAACACGAGGAAAGCAACAAAGTGAGAGAGGCACGATCGCAGAAAACAGACAACTCGAGGTTTTCGGGGGTGGCTATTACCTTTGAAGGAACGCTGGGTCTGTGTATCGAGTTGATGACTCGAGGCAATTTCTTTGAGAATGTCCTGAACAACCAGGCGATCCTGGGTACCAGCATCGCTGAGGGAGAATAACAGAGTAACGACATGAAACACTGTCAGCATCGCAATCCATTGCCTCCTCGTTCAAGCTCCATCGTATTCTAGCAGAACCCAGCAGTCATACCTGGGATTGAGTTCAATGTGATAGTTGCTCGCAATGGTAATGATTTCGAGCTTGGCATCGCTAGGAGTCTGAGTTCAGCACAAACCCAAAGAAAAAAAAAAAAGTCAGAACTTCGCACTCGGATGCTTTTTGCAAAACAGCCGCTATGACACATACCTTGAACGTGCGATGTTCAACCTTGAGCTGTGGGAATCAATCCAGCATCAACAAGAGTGAGCTCAACTTGAACAGACTGTCGACGCTCGTTGCCCCGAGCAGAAGCACGCTCGCCTTACCTTCTCAACACCGGGGCCGTACAGCTCTCGGAGCAGACACATGACGCGGGTCTTCTTGCCTGCGCCAGGTGGTCCGTACACCATCATGTGTGGAAAGTCGCCCGCAGAAACCTGCATCAAACCAGGAACAGCGTGCGCAGGTGAGTCTCGAGCCAGCGCGAGCATTGCGCAAAGTCGTCAAACAAGCTGGTTTTGTGCTGCGATGTGCTAAGGGCAACAGAGCCGTCGAACAGCTTGTTGAACGAGCAAGCGCCCGCGGTGAGGCGAGATGGCGGATTTCCCGCCAAAATTTCCTCCCCGCCGTTTTGGGAGCTGATCTCACACGATCGCCGCATCCACAGCAGCCCGCCATGTCGAGCAAAGCAAGCGCTTTTTCTGATGTGTGCCGACGTACCAAGTGCTTGAGCTGCTTGGAGAGCGTCAAGTTGTAGTCCAGCTTGTCGAGGTTGGTTGGTCGGTACTTGTCCACCCAGAGCGCCATGGTTCAAATAGAAGAGTGCATTCATGATGATCGATTGCTTACAATTTAGAATAATAACAGTGTCGCTGGAGTTTGAGGTGCTCTCGATTGTGCAGTGCATGCTGCATGTCTGACGACGTGGATTTGATCTACGCGGGAAATTCGCAAGTTGCTCCCGCGTTCGACTTCAAACCCCCGTTTCATCCACAATTGACAGTCAACCCACAGGTCGCATTATTCTGCGCATCAACTCTGCTCTAGTTGTTTCATACTTTGAGTTTGCTCGAGTTTTCATTCTAGTCTTTATTTCGTCGTATTTTCGTTGAGGATTTTGATTTTTGTCTTTGTGCACGAATTTCCCGCCAAAATCGCTCAATTTCCCGCCAACTTTTCCTCTTTGTCATTTTTTTTTCTGCTTTCTCCATCACTGCTGCTTCCCTGCCTGCCGTGTTCAAGTCTCATCCCTGCTAGCTGACAACATTCTGTCATGGATTCTACACCGATGGAACCCGCGTCGACCAAGCGCAGAATGGCCGAGATCGACGATGCTGGCTCAAGCGATGCCTGCTGTGGCAACGCCGACCACACGCACACTCACGCGTCCCAAGACGGCTCGAGCAACGAGACGAGCATGAACAAGAAGGTCCGCATCGAGTACGAGACGAGCACTGACGATGCCGCGCCAACCCCGATGGACACGACGCCATCCACAGTGACGGACGCGCCTGCTCCTCCGCGCAAGTCTGCGTTTGCAGCCAGCTTTGCGCGTACGCAGTTCACGCCTGCACCGCCGTCGAGCTCTTCCACGGCTGCACCCGCGACTGCAGCCCCGCCGCCGGTCGCGGCCAAAACGTCGGCCTTTGCAAGCGCAAAGCGTGCGCCGTTGCCTGCCGCTGCTGCCTCTACTTCTGCTGCCGCAGGTGCTGCTACAGGCTCAGCCAACAAGCCACCGGCACTTGCGCACAAGGGATCGTCCTCAACGGGTGGCGGCTCGTTCGAGAGCGAGTTGGCTGCGTTCGATGAGGAGGAATTCGCCGAGAATCGCGTTGAGAACATTGAGAACGTGTACGTTGATCCGACGCAGCTCAACAGCGCTGCGCTCTCCGAGGCTGTCACGATTGGTGGCGGTGGTGGTGGTGGCAGCGGTGCCTGGCTACGTCGCCCCGTGCCGTCGCTCTCGCCAGCGACCGATGCGCTGATTTTCCAGCAGCTCGAGATTGACACGTACATGGGCGAGCATCTTGCCGGCATGCCTGGTGCTGACGCGAGCAGGGTGCCCATCCTGCGCATGTACGGCGTCACCGAGGCGGGCAACAGCGTCATGTGCCACGTCCATGGCTTCTTGCCGTACTTTTACGCACCTGCCGCTGGCTTGACGGAAGACCTGCTGCCTGGCTTTATGCGCGTCCTGAATCAAAACCTGCAACAGCAGCAACGCGTGGCGCGCGACAACCTGAGCGAAGTGGTGCTGTCTGTCGAGCTCGTCATGAAGGAGTCCATCATGTACTTTCACAACAATCGCAAGCTCCCTTTTGTGCGCATCACCCTTGCTCTGCCGACCTATGTGACGGCCGCTCGCAAAATCCTCGAGCGCGGCCTGGACGTTCCGAATCTTGGCTTCCGCGCCTTTGAGACGTACGAAACCAACATTGAGTATGTCCTGCGCTTCATGATTGACACCAAGGTGACGGGTTGCTCGTGGATTGAGCTCCCTGCTGGCAAGTGGCAGCTTCGCACGCATCAGGGCTCGGAAGAAAACCACGATGCGTTCGGCAAGAAGGGCAAAGGCAGCAGCCTCTTTTCAAACACCTATGGTGACAGCGCTGGTGGCTCTGGCAAGACTGGCCTGGCTGCGGCGGTGGCTGGGGCGCTGGCCGTGTCGCGCACGTCGCATTGTCAGATCGAGGTCGACGTCGCGTGGGACGCCTTCATCTCGCACGGGGCGGAAGGCGAGTGGTCCAAGATTGCACCCATCCGCATTCTGAGCTTTGACATTGAGTGCGCGGGTCGCAAGGGCATCTTCCCCGAGCCTGAGGTGGATCCCGTCATCCAGATTGCAAACATGGTCTCCATCAACGGCGACAACTCCAAGCCGTTCGTCCGCAACGTCTTTACGCTCGGCACGTGCGCAAACATTGTGGGCTCGGACGTCATTGCGTGTGCCACCGAGCACGAGCTGCTGCGCAAGTGGGCAGACTTTTTCCGCGTTGTCGACGCAGACATTGTGACTGGCTACAACGTGATCAACTTTGATTTGGGCTATCTTCTCAACCGCGCCGCAACGCTCAAAGTCGCCTCGTTTCCGTTCCTGGGGCGCATCCGTGGCGTGAAGACGACCGTTCGATTTGCCACTTTTTCGTCCAAGGCGTACGGCACGCGCGAGAACAAGGTCATCACCATGGAAGGACGCTGCCCGTTCGATGTCCTGCAAATCCTGCAGCGCGACTACAAGCTGCGCTCGTACACGCTGAATGCCGTTTCGGCGCTCTTCCTTGGCGAGCAAAAGGAAGACGTGCACTACTCGCACATTTCCGAGCTGCAGAACGGCAATGAGCAGACGCGCCGCCGCCTGGCCGTGTACTGCTTGAAGGACGCCTACCTGCCGCTCCGCCTGCTCGGCAAGCTCATGTGTGTTGTCAATTACATGGAGATGGCTCGTGTCACGGGAGTGCCGTTCAGCTACCTCCTCTCGCGCGGCCAGCAAATCAAGGTCGTGTCGCAGCTCTTCCGCAAGGTTCGCGAGCAAAATCTCGTCATCCCGTTCGTCGAATCGGGTGGCAGTGGCGACACCCAGTACGAGGGTGCCACGGTCATTGAGCCAAATCGCGGCTACTATGAAAACCCCATTGCCACGCTCGATTTCGCCTCGCTGTACCCATCCATCATGATGGCCCACAACCTGTGCTACACCACGCTCGTCAACCCTGGCATGAGCAACCGCCCAAGCGAGGCCGACTGCACCAAGACGCCCACGGGCCACATTTTCGTCAAGCCCAACTTGCGTCGCGGCGTGCTGCCCGAGATTTTGGAAGACTTGCTGGAGGCACGCAAGCGCGCCAAAAACGACCTCAAGAAGGAAACGGACAAGTTCAAGCGCGCCGTGCTCGACGGCCGTCAGCTCGCCCTCAAGATCAGCGCAAACTCTGTCTATGGCTTTACTGGTGCGACGGTCGGCAAGCTGCCCTGCCTCGAGATTTCGTCGTCGGTCACCGGCTTTGGTCGCGACATGATCAAGCAAACGCAGGAAGCCGTGGAAAAGCAGTACACCATCGCGAATGGCTACCAGCATGATGCGCGCGTCATCTACGGTGATACCGACTCTGTCATGGTGGAGTTTGGTGTGCCAGACACGCACACGGCCATGAAACTGGGCACGGAAGCCGCGGCGCTGATCTCGGCGCAATTCATCAAGCCCATCAAGCTCGAGTTTGAAAAGGTGTACTTCCCGTACCTGCTCATCAACAAGAAGCGATACGCTGGCCTCTACTGGACCAACCCGGACAAGTACGACAAGATGGACACGAAAGGTATCGAGACGGTTCGCCGCGACAACTGCCCGCTCGTCAAAAACCTGATTGGCACCTGCCTCCAAAAGCTGCTGATTGAGCGCGACAAGGAAGGCGCCGTCCAGTTTGCCAAAGACACCATCTCGGATTTGCTCTGCAACCGCATCGACATCTCGCAGCTGGTCATCACGAAGGCTTTGAGCAAGACCGCCGACGACGACGACGACGGTGAGGGCGACGGCGGCAAAAAGTCTGGCGGTGGCGGCGCTGGCAAAAAGAAGGCGTATGCCGTCAAGCAGGCACACGCGGAACTCGCCGAGCGCATGCGCAAACGCGATGCCGGCTCTGCGCCCACGCTCGGCGACCGTGTTCCTTACGTGATTATTCGCGCTGCCAAGAACGCGCGTGCGTACGAAAAGAGCGAGGATCCGCTGTACGTGCTCGAGCACAATCTGCCCCTTGACACTGCCTACTACCTGGAAAACCAGCTGTCAAAGCCTCTGCTGCGTATCTTTGAGCCCATTCTCGGAAGCCGGGCGCAAACCTTGCTCGACGGCGACCACACCCGCACGATCGCCGTTGCCACTCCGACCACCGGTGGATTGAGCAAATTCACTGTTCGCAGCATTCGCTGTGTTGGTTGCAAAGTGCCCTTGGCGCGGAATGGTGAGTGTGGTGTCAGGGGGAGTGGGGTTGTTTTGTGAGTGGGGTGTTTGTTTTTGTTTGTTTGTTTGTTTGTTTGTTTGTTTGTTGTCAGTGCTAACGTTCTACGAGCGGATGTTGCAGAGGACGCCGTGTGCAGCAATTGCAAACCACGCGAAGCACAACTGTTTCAACAAGAGGTAACTCGAGCATTGTCATGTTGTTTTTTTGCGTGATGCTGGGTTGCATTGTTTCTCACACGCTGACCAAAATCATTGTAGATTGCGGGCCTGCATGCGCTCGAGATGAAATTCTCACGCCTTTGGACCGAGTGTCAACGATGCCAGGGTAGTCTCCACGAAGAGGTTATTTGCACCAGGCAAGTTCTCCTCGTATTCAATTGGAATGATGATTTTTTTTTTGCGTTGTATGCTCACAGCTCTGATTTGCTCCGTGTGCCGTCCACAGTTGCGATTGCCCTATTTTCTACATGCGCCGAAAAGTGCAAAAGGACTTGAGCGATCAACACGAGATCGTGCGGCGATTTGACTCGTGGTGAAGCGCGCATTTTCAAAAATAATTGTGTTGATTTTGTTTTTCTCTTTTGGACAATGATTACACAAATTAAAAGCGTTTAGTGTTGAATCGAGGAATTAGCGTCGTGGTTTAGCACACGCATGGCAACGATCGCTGCCGAAACTGCTTCAAGATTGTGCTCGAGGGTGCGCGTCACAGTCGCCTTCAGAGAATCGCGAATTTGGTTGAAGGCCAGCATATTCTCTGGGTTGACTTGGCGCCACAGCCGGCTAAACTCGCAAAACAAAAAGCCTGTGCAGACAAAAGAGAGAATGCAAGAATGCGGGGGGGGGGAAGTCGGTCAGCACCAAAGGCTCGGAAAGCGCGCCGGGAAAAAAACCAATTTACACTCACAGTAAAAGTCGTTGAAGTTGACCAGGCTGTCTTTGCTGCACTCGGGCTGATTGCTCAAATGGTACAGCAGCTCGTGTAGTTTCGGGTTGTCCAAAAATTCGACGGCCATGCTGGAAAGGTTGATGCCAACAATGGCGTAGGAAAAGCTGCAGAGCAGGGGAACAAGTAACAAGCATAACAGGAAAGTTGGTGGTCGGAATTCCATCGAGAATCCTCATTGATTTGAAGTGATTTGAGGACGAGAGGGGAGGGGGAGAAAGGGACTGCTGGAAAGGGAGAAAAAAAAAAAAGAAACATACCCGCGCTCAGGATGACACGACACGGTCAACGCGCCGCGAGCCTGGGTGTTGTGCTGCTGGGCGAAAAACAAGAGCTGCTTCAAGCCAAGCATGCCCATGCCACGAAAGTCTGTAGCGGGATCACGACCCTGGAAGCCGAGGGTCTTCCAGTCGTTTGAAACGCGCGCAGAGAGTTGCTGTTCTGGCATCATCAATTCCCAAAGCTGTCATCCGCCAAAACACAGTCGGGCAAAGAAGTGGACCATGGTGTGTTGTGAGACATGCAGAGACACGAGACACGAGAGCCGAAACAAAGAACAACGACAATCTCTACCTCCACAAGCTGCGCTTCGTTCGATTCTTGCGACGAATCGTACGGCGTGTCCTGCAGTTCGGTGACACGCTCAAAGAGAGTGCCCAAGTCTGAAATCATCTCAAGGCAGCGACGCAGCTGAGCGGTGAATCTGCGAATCAGGACGGCGTTCAAAAATGAGTTTACGAGTGAAAAAGTGCTGCTCTGATGAAAAAATGACGTACGGTGAATCTGCGGGCTCTTGGATGTGCTTCTGCGCTTTGACATAATGAACAGCGCGTGGTACATCAAAGCTCTGGTGTTGGGAGACTGGCAACGACAGATCCTGAGGAAAAAAATCCGAACAAAGATGATGTCGACAAACCGAATCGTTCAAGTTTGGCCGCAAAAGCAGATTCGGCGCTCAAGATCACACACAAAAAAAGAAATTCTTACAGGCAAGACGCGCGACCACATCAAGCTCAACTCTGAGCACATTCGAGTGAGGTTTGGCCCAGGGTGGGTTTTATGTCCGCAGGCGCAGTTGGAGTGGATGACGCGAGCAGAGTCGGACACGTTGACAGGCAGAGTAATCGTCATCGTTTCCAAAGATTAACGATTGTGGGAGATTCGAGCGTGTCAAAAGAGCGAGGATGTCGAAGGTGATGATACAAGTGCAGTGTGAAGGTTGAGAGTGCGGAACGACAACCAGCAGCAGCAGTAGCAGCAGACACAGTGGACAAAAAAGCCAGAAGAATCAGAAAAGTCAAAATCAGAAGTGAGCTCAGAGAGTATGACCGAATGCGGAAACGGTCTGATCAGCCACCAACAAAACGCACCGACGCGAGCGACAACATCGCTTGGAGGCTGTGCTTGGACTGGCAGTGCGCTGAGCAGTCGCTGGAGCTCACAGGCGCGCGTCAGGACGTGCAGCACCCACTTGAGGATGCGGTGGAAGAGCGACGGACGGGCAGCCAACCGCCGACCTCTCGCTGCATTGGACGCCACGGACGAAGATGCCGGGTGCGTCATGTGAGGGTGTGTTACTCGCGGGGGTGTGAGTGTTCTACAAAGAATGGCGACGGGCGAGGTCAGTCGCGTTGGAGTGAAGCCAAAATGCCACGTCTCCCCCGTTCCGCATGCAGCTCTCTGTCTCTCGTTCCTATCGTGCGCACTGAGGGCGAGAGTGATGAGCGCTTGACTATCAATCGATATGCGTCTCTTGATGAGTGCAAGACGAGTGCCGCGTCAACAAGTTAGGCTCCTCGCTTTACGTCCCTCGCGCTCACTCTGACCCGGCTTCGGGTCGAATCGAGTCCATTCGATTCATGCCAAGGTAACGCATGAAAGGCAAGGCACTGGAGCATGTGTGTAGTGGGTCATGTGTGAAGATTGCAACCAGAAATTTCAATGCAGCAGAAAACGCTACCGTACAATTTGGAGACTGGCTGAGCACGTAATAAGTTAGTATGTGTGCTGGATTGGGGACAATTCAATACTAGCTGACAGGACATAACAGGCCACTGGTAGTTCTTGTGCATGGGGCGATGGTCGTCTCTCAGGTGACCGCCCTTGGCGAGCAGCGCGGCACGTGAGATGGTCGTGTGGGGGCGCGGTGGCTCAGAAACCAAGATGGGTTTGCAAACAATATTCATGCCATATTCGGCTTGACACACACACACACACACACGCAAGCACACACACACATCTGAAAACGAAAAACGCTCACAACAACAGCAACAAAACTCAACAATAACTCTGATAGATTTTGACTCAATCAAGCGCGCAGCTGCTCTGAAGGAGATTTGAACTCGCTCATCGGGAGTTGCATCATGTCCACAGCCGCTTCGTCTGATGAGGGATGAGAGACGTGCGAGTGAGTTTGACGAGTCTGCGACCCCTCGTTGTTCTGCGAACCCCTGGGCGAATTGATTCCTCCGGCTCGCGCAGATGCTGCGTTGGTGTTGGAGTTGGTGGGCCCAGGCGTGTTTTGATCGCTGGAATTTCGCATGCGAGCGCTGTGCAAGGATCAAGAGAATACAAAATGACACAAATCAGGATTCGCGAGCGGTTGGGATGAAGAATCCAAAATAGCCTTACACTCGACGCTGGTGAATTGCTGCTTGCCAAATCTTGGGGAAGAACAACAAGCCGACAGTGACCATGACGGCGAAAAGAATGCCGACACTCTGCGCGGGTTGTTCAAAAAGGGGGGAAAAAAAAACCAAAAGGCTGAGTTTGATTTGTTTTGTCTGTTGCAAACGCCTTCGAGAAACCATACCTTCATCACCAGGAGCGCCCGAACATCGGTCGTAAAGGTCACCAGCGGAATCATAATGATAGTCACAAAGGAGACGTTGTAAATGGCAACCGAAATGAGCCTGCTTTCATTGAAAGCATCCTCCTTGATGTTGCGGGTGCGGATGGCCAAAATAATGCCAAACAGCATCATGACGCCCATGTAGGCAAACAGAATGCCTTGGAAAGTGGGGTTGACATAGCAGGACGCAAAACCCTCATCGTCGATCTGCACCTTGTCGTCGGCCGTCCCCGTCCAGACTGCAAGAATAATGATCATGATACCAACCACAAAGAACAAGGCGATAGAGAGACGAAGGTCGGTCAGGTTTTTCGACGCTGCTTTGTCGAGCTTCTTGTTCTGCAGGCGACACGAGAAAAGTGAGCCATGTCATGGACGGCAACACATCTGAGTGACACCAGCAACACAAACAGTGCGCTCGAGAAACTCACATTGAAGATGTGCTGAATGCGCCAGTTCTTGATAAAGAGACTCGCAAACATGAAGGAAAACGACAGGAAAACAAACCAGATCCCCACCGTGCATGATGCGTCGGTGGGAGTGGCGAAGAAGGCAGAAACCGCGCCAAAGCCAAGGTACGCGCCAAACAAAATGAATTGGCCAAACAGAGGCGCTGAGGCCTTGACAGCCTTGTCATTGCGATGCACAAACAGCCAGATATGAACAAAGACGACGATGGCAAAGCAAATGCCCATAAAGATGGCAATGCCGACCGCTGTGGTTTCCACAACAGACCACTGATCGAACAGAGTAAAGATGACCTGCGAAGCGGGCGAGGTCTGTCCTTCCATGGTCACCGAAACGACCACAATTTCACCGGAATCGGCGGGTGGCGGGTAGCAGACAACCTGCGTGGGGGTAATGGACAATGGCACGGACGCGTGACTGCCAAAAAGGCAGCGGAACTCGGGAGTCGAGATGAATCCACTGCCAAAGATCGTCACGGGAAAGGTGCTGGTGAGAGGAGCCTGGGTGGGCGACACGCTCTGAATTGTGGCGGGCTGGTAGTAGGTGAAGTTTGCTGCTGCCACAACAAACTGCTGGTTGTTGTTGGAGACAAACAATTGAATGACCAGGCTTTCCGAGCCTTGGGAGCAGATCGAGTACGCGGGCGAAATGCACGTCAATGTTGTCGAGTTGATAAAGTTGGCGGGAGTCGGATCGGCCAAACCAAAGCGACATGAGAGGTAGGTCGAGTTCAAAAATCCGGTGCCATAGACGGTGACAACGGTACCACCCGAGGTGCGGCCGTGTTGGGGAGCAAAGTCGGTGATTGTCTCTGGGGTGTAGTACAAGAATTGCAGACCAGACGGGGCCGCAGGGAACTCTGCAAAGGCAACCGCCTGGACAATCTGGCCGGCAAAAAGGGCAGTGCCGCCTCCCATGTTCAGCTGGTACGGGACGGTTGGGTTGGAAGGGGTGGTGATAAAGTTTGTGTACTGATGCGGCGTGACCATATCGCTCTGGTAGCTTGTGACTGAAAAGACTTGATGGTTTGGCTCAAAGTCCCACGAGACAATGGTGCCGGGTTCGTATCCGGTGTAGACATCGTGCATACCCTGTTGGACTTGTGCCTGCGTCTTGGGGTAGTCGACAATGCGCACATCGTCAATCACGCCCTTGAAGAAGGATGTGGTGTACAACGCACCAACATACGTGTTGGTCGTGCCATTCATCGTGTTGACGGTGAATTGGTACGGCTCTCCGGCAAGCTCGCCGTTCCAGTACACACGGTATTCGCCAATCGCCGGGCAACCAGCCGTTGAGCAGACCGCCAGCGTTGGATCCCAGATTTCACGAACGACCGACACGTGCTGCCACTGGCTTTGAGCCGAAAGGGGCAGGACGTAGTAGTTGTCCTCTTGGTTTTGTCCGTTGTAAAACTCGTGGCCAAAGCCGAACGCGCTCAAGTTGGGATCCGTTGCACTTGGGCGAGCAACCGTGATCCAGAATTCGCAGTTCGTCTCGGGCGTTTCGCCAGGCACGCAACTCTGGATGAGCGCCTGGAGGCGGCCACGGATTTCGGCGGGACGCCACCACGTCTCAAACGTCATGTTGAGACTCAGCTCGGCCACAGGGATGGGCGCAACTCCATAATCGTCAACGCCATCCAGGTAGACGCCCATGGACATTTGTGTGGGCTCGGTTTTGAGTTCAACATCCACGAGTCCAGGCGAGCCGACAGTGGCAGACGTGCAATGGTACGAGGTAGCGTCGATAAAGTTGCCATTTGTCTCGACCGTGCCAAACTTGCATCGAAGATCGCGGTTGTCAATGGCGCTGAAAAACAATAGGGGAAGAGCAGAGAAAGTGAGGGATTTTCGATTTTGCTGTTCTCTTCCAAATTCAATCAATCTTTACCCAACACTTGACACGGTGACGTGCGTGTTGCCACCGATTGGACCACTGTTGTTGAGCAAAATTGCCACAAAAAAAACAATCACAAAATCAGACTGAATGAGTCACAAGAAACAGGGAAACGACAAATAAACTCGTCTTGGGTGACCCCAGTAAGGTCCCAAAAAATAAACCAAACAAGTCGCCAGATCACCTGCACGCTCTCAAGTCCGAAAGCAGAGATGCAAAGATGTCTGGTTTTTTCTACTGGCAGTTGGATTGGCAAGCATTTTGGTAGTGCTGCGAGCGGCAGAGACCCTCACGCGCGCCTTTTTTTCGCACCTTTTCGCGTTTGTATTTGTTGTGGGTTTTTGGTTTTTTTGTTTGTTTTTGCGGGTTTTCGTCTCCTGTTTTTGTTCGATGTTGTTGGGTTTTTTTTTTTTTGTTGTTTTTGGAATCTGCTTCGACGTACCGTCACTCCCCACTCAGTCGCACTTCAACGTAACCAAGATCTCGATGAGAGAGAGAGAGCGCGTGCGCGAGCGAGAGGTGCAATAGCCGGAAACATAGCGAGGACGAGCGCAAATGCCCAACAAGGACGTAAACAAAACAAGGAATCAAAAAAAAAAAAAAAAAATACCGATCAGGCACGAGCCCAGAGAGACTTGTCGCCGGCGGAGTGAAGACGGGGAGCCAGCCAGGGACGCGAGTAGCGTTGCTGTCGAGGGTGATGCGCAGTTGCATGTACTTTGCGGGGAGCAGCTGATAGGTGTAATCGCGCAGCACAAAGTCGACAGATGCAGGCATGGCGTTCGCAGCAGGAAGATCGCACTGCACCCGCGTGCTGCTGATCCAGGTGCCAGCCAAGGCGGATTGCGCCGACGACCCGAGCAGGCACATGAGGTTGCTTGCAGGCACTGGCGCAGATGGGCCAAAGTCGCCAGAGACAACGACAGTCACCCCTTCGCCAGGAGTCGAAGACAAGCAGTTCGGCTGCGCAGCGTCGACCCGCAGTGCTGAAGCTCCAGCAAAGTCCTTGGCCACCACAACACACAGCGCCACCAGCATCAAGCTCTTCCACAGCGTGACAGGGATGCGGTGCGCCATTCTGGAAGGCATCAAAAAAGGAAAAAAAAAAAAAAAAAAAAGAGCAAAACAAAACAGGACTGTTGGAGCAAGTACAAATCGTTAACCAATCTGGCCATGGACACTTTTGTCATCGTCCACGTATGCCAAATGCGAGGCTGGAGTTGAAGCGTTCGTGATTTCCGTGTCTTGCCGTTATCCTTGATTTGTCTTGTTTTCAACGGTGATGTGGAGTGGTGTCGCAACTGTCGCAACTGTCACCATTCATAAAAAAAAAAAAAATACAAACAAAAACAAAACAAAATGAAAATCGACGTGAAATTTTCGCAGCGTGGAACCATTGATTGCGGCACGAGTCGCGTCACAGGGTGTTGAACTTTGGATGTGGCGGGCTGGGTCTTGAATGCTGTTGGCCAAGGTAATGGCAGTTGATGGATGCACAGTGTGCAGTGCCAACGCCAAAAGAAAAACAAAATAAAACGTAGATGCCCACAAAACTCGCGAAACCACCAATCACAAGCGACGTGCGCCAGCACTCGACTCTCGGTTCTGGCACACCAGACCGGAAATCGAGTTTTGAGCAGGTTCGGGTTGGTTGATTCAAACAATAGTGCGCAAAGACAAATCGAATTCTCGAAATTCGCCTGACAACCACCTGCTGCGCCTTCGCCAGCCGGAAGTACTTGAGTCAGAGTCCTGGCATTAAAATTGGTGAATGCCTGGGCTGAGTACTATCGAATTATGACAACGGTGTCTTGGTAACGCAAAGTGAATGACGTTTTGCATCCTTTGTGGCAAGTGGAACATTGGGTTAAAATGTTTCCCATTGAGTACAATTTGCTTGCAACTGCCGCATTAACTTTACCAAGCAGTTCAGCAATCAATCCATATAAGGAGAATTTTTGCTGTGCGTTTGAGGCGAAAAGCACCCTGCACTCAGGCACAACGAGCTGTCCAAACATCCGACCGAATGAAAAGCGCACTTTCTCGCTGTTTCTCGAGCTATTCTCAACCCCTCTCTCAGAACCGACAAGCAAACGATATTTGCTGCAGGTTCGACTGTATTTGCTGGCATGTCGATCCTCAAGCTTCGTGTTGTCGAACGCCAAACTCCACTCTTTTTTTTTTTTTTTTTTCTAACACAAACTTCACAATGGGTAGAGTTTTTTTTTTTTTTTTTTTCAATTTTTGACTGAGGACGTGGCTGCCGATGGAGAAGCAGGCTGTGTTGGGTGGCCGCCGCGTTCCGTTGTGTCTGCATTGCGAGGCTGCTCGCTTCATCTTGCATCGCTCTCGCTGAACAAAGTAGGCGGCGAACGGACGGACGGACCGGCAGGGGCGAGGTCGCTGTTGTCGCTGAAGCCTCGCTCGACCTGCAGCCCGCCACCCAACCACTCCCACCGCGCGCAGATGCTGCGGCGATCGCTCTCGAATCGCAATCGTGTCGCACCGTGCCGAAGGGGGGGTGTCGTTGCGTGCACTGAGGGACTTGGTTGAATCGGTCCGAGTCGGGGATCTCTGCAAATTTGCCTCTCTGCCTTGCTCCCCTAGCTCGACACTCATTCCGCCACCACACCATGATTCATCTTTGTGGCACAGGCAACTGGTTCTCTGGTCTGTTCTCCAAGCTGTGGAGCGACAAGGAGGTCCGCATTTTGATCCTCGGCCTCGACGGCGCCGGCAAGACGACCATTTTGTACCGGTGCGTAACCACCACCACCCGATGATGGGGACCATGAGGTCAAATAGTCAAATAGCTCACTAAGCACTGTTGTGTACTGTGCGAGGCCAGATTGCAAGTCGGCGAAGTTGTGACAACAATTCCCAGTGAGTTTTTTTTTTTTTTTTTTGTTTACGACCTGCTTGCATTGTTGATATCAATGCGTTTGCTGACGTTGATTCGATACGCCCACTACAGCAATTGGCTTCAATGTCGAGACCGTCACATATAAGAATTTGAAATTCCAAGGTACGTTTTCGGCGTCGTGCAGCGTGTCGCAGCTGGTTTTGTTGGCGTGTTACTCATCCTCTTGGCATTTGCACCCGTCCTTCTCGAACGCAATTGAACGCGGGCACGATAGTCTGGGATCTCGGAGGTAAGTGGTGGCTTGTTGTATCACCGTTTTGCGGGCTTGAACAGTGACTGATTTCACTTTTTGTTTTTCGCTCCCGTTTCTTTCGTCTGGCCTCTTTCGGTTTGATTTGTTTTTTCTCCAGGTCAAACAAGCATCCGGTAAGCAGTCCACTTTAGTTGTTTGCTTTTGTCTAATTGACAAGCACGAACGTCTCTCACTTGTCTTCTTGGTCACCCACGCTTCTGCTCTGTCTCTCTCTAGCCCTTACTGGCGATGCTACTACGCAAACACGGACGCCGTTATTTACGTTGTGGACAGCTCTGATCGGGACCGAATGTCCATGTCGAAGTCTGAGCTCGTTTCCATGCTCGAGGTGTGTATGGTTTGTTTTTGTACTTTGTTGGCAAGCGTGGTCACGTACATGTCCGGACACTCCTCTTACCACCATCATGCCCATGCTCACAGGAGGACGAGCTGAAGGACGCCATGCTGCTGGTGTTTGCCAACAAGCAAGACATGCCTGGCGCGCTCCCACCGGCACAGGTGTCGGAGGCGCTCGGATTGTCTGCGCTCAAAAACCGCACATATTCAATTTTCAAGACATCGGCCGTGAAGGGCGAAGGTCTTGAAGAAGCCATGGACTGGCTTGTGAACAATCTCAAGACACGACAATAGAGTGGTTGGTTTTTTTGTTTTTGATTGATTGCCGTTTTTTTTTTCCTCCCCTTGTGAACAACCCTCCAAACAGCGACAATAGAGTGTTGATTGTTGTGTTTGAAGGATTACCGTATTTTTGCATTCTGCTTAGACGTATGTGTGCCACACATGAAGCTTTTCGGGAAAAAGTGGACAGTTTGAAATTCTAGTGTCTGCATCGATTGAGGCTCGGACTCTCCTTGCTGCATTGCCTCAATAAAGCAGAATCGACCAACCGAGCTGACGATCGCCCCGGCAGACTGCTCCGGACCCCCAACCAAAGGAGATTTGCAGCTTCAAGTTCAGTTCAGTTCATTCATTTTTTTTTTTATTGTTTTTTCGGGTAGGTTGTTGTTTGGTGTTTTTTTTTTTTTTTTGGATTTTCCACTTTGAAAGCGCTTTGTGCATGTTTGCGGCGCTGCTGTCTGCCCTTCGCGCCGGTGCTTTGCATCCGACCTGCGCCACCAGCCAACCTATTCATTCATCACGGTTGCAATCCGCGCAGTTGAGGACGAGCAGCGATTGGAGCCCAAAAGAAAAGCCAGAGTGACGAGAACGGTGGTTTTTTTTTTTTTTTTTTTTTTTTTGGCCGCTTGGGCACCCTTCCACAAACAGCCGCACGCACGGTCCGCCATCGACCACAGCATCACATCTGCTGACCATTTGGCTGATTCGCTCGTGTTCGCGCAATCTCGGCTGCCGAGCTTTTGTTTTCTTTTGTTCAATCGCTTTTCCTTTTTTTTTTTTAATATTAACAAAAAAAAATAGGGGAAAAAAAACAATGGAAATCGGCTCAATGCTTGTTTTTTTGCCACAACACACCAAAAACCTCGGGAAACGGGGAAAAAGCGACGATGACCAAACACTTGCTATCAGAGTATCAGAGTTTGGGGGTGTGGGGTGGGGAGAGAGATACGTGAAGTGGAGTCAAGTGAAGTGGAGTACCATTGGTGTCTGCGTTTGTAAATCACGGTTGAAGGCGGTTTTTGGGATTTTGTGCCGCTCACGCACATCCGAGCTTACAGAAAGGGTGTGTGTGTGGGTGTGTGTGTGGGTGTCGGTTTGACTTGCCCTCTCTGGTTATTGCCGCTGGATTTGTGCTTCTCGACTCTCCCTGTTTGCTCAGCCTGATGCACCAGCGTTCTGGTTTGACTGACCTTGCCTGTTTCGCTTGGTTTGGTTTGATCTCGGCATTTTCCCCTAGTCAAGTCTTTCACAACCCACAGCCAAAGAGCACAACATGGGCGACGAATCGTTCTGGGAAGTCGAGCAGTACAAGCGCGTCGTCGAGCGCGTCTCCAACGCTCCAAAGCTGTGCGACGAACTGGTCGCGTGCGTGGACGAGCGCGAAAACCTCGAAAAGGCGTATGCCAAGTCGCTGCAAAGCTGGGCCAAGAAGTGGGAGGGCCAAATCGCGTCTGAAAAGTCGATGGAGTTTGGCACGCTCAAGACCGGCTGGGGCGGCCTCTTTACGGAGGCGTACGGCAAGGCCGAGGCGCACCTGGCCATCATTCGCGACCTGCAGAGCGCTGTCAACTCGGCGGTCGACAAGTGGAAGAGCGAGAACTTCCACAAGTCCATCATCCACTTCAAGGAAACCAAGCTGGCCGAGGACGGCTTTGAGAAGGCCCAGAAGCCGTGGATCAAGCACAAGCACAAGGTCGACAAGTACCGGAAGCTCTATCACTCTGCGGCCAAGACGGCTCATGTGCTGCAAAAGCGCGCGACAGAGGCGGAGGGCAACAACCAATGCTCTGCCGAAGAGTGCTCCAAGATGGCCGAGAAGGCCAGCAAGGCCGCGCAAGAGGCGGACGTGCTGCGACAAAAGTACGAGGAATACCTGCGTATCATTACCGAATACCGACCCAACTACATTCGCGACATGAAGGAGGTCTTTGAGCGCTGGCAAGAATTTGAAGGGCTTCGCATTGAATTTTTCAAACGAACGCTTCTTGACTATCAACGCATTGTTGACGTTTCCAACAACGCAGGGTATGTAACGCGCGTTGAGGTTGCAAGGAGCTTTTGCTTGGTTGCAGGGTGTCTTTTGCTCATTCCATGCCTCCACTTTTTGGTTCGGTTTTTTTTTTTTGAACACTTTGCGCACACAGCATTTCGGCAACCTCCACCGCCTTGAACAGCATTCTGAACGGCATTGACTCAAATGAAGATCTCCACTCCTTCTCCCAGCTCAAGGGTGCAGACATGGACTACCACTGGCCCGAGTTTGAGGAGTGGACACCAAACACGCCCGACGACTTGGACGTTCCTCCATCGCAAGTAACACGACAAAACTCGCACTCTTCGCAAATGTCGGCATCTCCGACAACGACGCGCGCCTCTCCGCAAGCCCGGACCTTGCCGCCCGCCGCCGGCACATTCGACGAGGATTGGGGCGATTCTTCCGTCAAGGTGCGCGCTCTCTACGACTATGTGGCCTCGGACCGCGAAGAGATTTCCTTCAGCGAGGGCGACACTATTACGCAGCTTGAAGGCGAAGATGATCAAGGGTGAGTGAATCTTTGCTGCGCTGTCTTGTTGTTGTTGTCAGGTTTTTGTTTCTTGCTCGTTCACTTTGATGAGGGTGCTTGTTTGTTTCCAACCAGATGGTGCCGTGGAACAGTCAACGGCCGGACGGGCCTGTACCCCGCCAGTTATGTGCAAGCCATCTAATTCTCGACGCCATGTCTTGTCGCAAAAGCAAGCTGGACATTGCTTTTGCCGGGGTGTGTGTCTGCAATCGATTCCTTGGAGATTCGCCTGATTGTCGTGCTATTGTCGTTCTTTGTTTTCTTGTTGTGTTTATTGCAGCTGTTGATACTTGTGGTCAATGTACTGTCGTTTACTTGCGCTTTTCATTCGCTCAGTTTCAGTCATTTCATTCATTTTGACCCCTTCAGCAGGCACAACTCAGGCACAAAACCCTTCCCCTCCCCTACAACACCATGAGGCCGTTCGTCAAGATGACTGGCTGTGGCAACGATTTCGTTGTGCTCGAGGCGAGTGACCTCGAGTCGCTGGAAACCGCATCGACGGGATTTGGAGTCACAGCCACAACGGCGAGCGGATCGGGCCAGGCAATGCTCGACAAGACAGACATTCGCGCCATGTGCGATCGCCGCAATGGCATTGGATGCGACCAGCTGCTCGTCATTGCCGCGCAGCCAGTGCAGATGGACGCTCGCAGTGGTGCGCCCGTCGCGGCCGTCTCGATGCAGATTTACAATAGCGACGGATCCGAGGCCCTGGCGTGCGGGAATGCAACACGCTGCGTCGCACAGCTGTGGATGGATCGCGAGCTGGAGGACGACGCTCGGCGCGAGCAAGTCCTCGCTGCAGGGGAGCAGGTCGTCGTAGTCATCACGGCTTCACGAACGCTGCGATGCTGGCGAGCGCTGGATCGCAGCACTCCGTCAAAGACCATTCCGTCTACGACCATTGCGCAAGACCCATTCCAGAATGTCAATGTATTCGTGGACATGGGTCTGCCCGAGTTTGAGTGGACTCGGATTCCGCTTTCGCGCGACGTTCAACGAGGCTCTGCATTGGATGCAGTGACCGATCTCGGACTTGCCGACGCTCCCAAGGACGTTGCCTCACTGCTCGCACGCGGCGTCGCTGTTGGAATGGGCAACCCGCACCTTGTATTCTTGTTGCCCTCGGAGGAGCAGCTGAATCAGATTGACGTGCGCGCCGTCGGATCCAAACTTGAAACCAACGCGCTGTTTCCCCAGGGCGTCAACGTCACATTCGCAGCAATCGGACCAGCAGCTACGACCGGCAGCAACGCAGAGGCATCGCGCCGCATTCTTGCCAAGGTTTGGGAGCGCGGGGCTGGCGAAACCCTTGCTTGCGGATCGGCGGCGTGTGCCGTGATTGCCGCAGCTCAGCGGACCGGCGTGTTGGTTGCTCCTGCTGCCACAGCAGCCGACAATGCGGCCAACCAATCCGTTTTCAGCGTCCAAATGCCAGGAGGCACTCTGCAGGTTGGAATCAGCGCTCAAGGCACCATGGTTCTCGCCGGACCTTCGCGGGTTGTCTTTGTCGGTGTGTACTCGCCACCTTCTCAAAGTGCCCTCACGGCTCCTGCATAAAAGAGTCCAGCACAATAAACGAGACTTATCCAAATTTACTGTAGGTTGAAAGTCACAAAGCCGAATAATGAAGAAGCTCCAAAAGCTCTTTGAGCACTTTTTTACTTTTGATTTCAGTTGATGGTTTTCTGCATTTGACCATTGCATTTGCTTTTGGAATCACTCTCCATTATTCTGGTTTTGACGACGCAACAGGTACATCATAACGCATCTTCCGAAAAAAAAAAAAAAAAAAAAAAAGATGACGCTGTATTGCGCTATTGCGTTTCCTTCCTTCCGCTTTGTGCGCTGTTCTGTGGCTTTCACTTCGCCTCACGACGAGGCGCAACAGCCTCGGTCACACTTTGCATGTCTTTTATGTCAACATTCGTGCCTTGCGTGTGTGTTCTGGTCCCCAATCACTTCCTGGTTATGAGAATGTTTGGTTCACGGCGCTCTTCTCCAAATTTCGCCATTCTCTCTCCGATGCTTGATGCTCGGACTCGTTCGTTCCGTACAGTTCATTTTGAGTAGAAAAAGCGTATTGCTCATCACTCTGAATACTAAGGACTTGCTTGGCGGGCCTCGTTGAATGCTGCTCGTCCAACGCTCATTCTCGTGGCTGAGTTGGCGAATCCTGACGTGTTCGCTTTTTTGTATTGTATTGCATTTCAACAGAGCTCAACATTCTCAAAAGACCTTTGATTATCATCAAACCAAACCATAAAAAACTCAAGCATGAAGCTCGCCATCGTCCTCGTCATTGCGACGCTGGGAATTGGCGCACTTGCCGCAGTCATGGATCCGGCTCGCCCGATGCGTGCAGATGGCCGACGCGCGCCAGTGGGAGCACCCAGCGAAATCACAGATCTGAACGACCCCCAACTGCTGCAGGCGGTTAATTTTGCGACCGACTATGCCAACCTGGAGAAGGGCGACGAGCTCGGGGCCGAGCTCGCATTGGCCAAAATTGTTTCGGCCACTTCTCAGGTCGTGTCAGGCATCAAGTACACCATCACCCTGCAACTGAACGCCAAAGACGACGCCACTAGGACGTTTGATCTTGTCGTCCAGGTGCTGTGGCAGGCTTGGGCCACGCCAGCGTACAAAATCCTCCAGTTTGACATTTCCGAAACCACCGTCGCGGTGCCCGTGCCTGCGCCTGAGCCTGCGCCTGAGCCCGTGCCCGTGCCCGTGCCGAGGCCCGGAAGCTTTACGCCTGTCGACAACTCTGTGAACTCGCTCCAGGAAGATCCCTCCCTTGTGCTTGCCGTCCAAGCCGTGCTCGATCGCCTCAACGAGCCGAGCAACTCCATCAACCGCATCGTCCTTCTCGACTTGCTTTCGGTGCAGAAGCAGGTTGTCGCTGGCAAAAGGTACATAATGCGCTTCCTGGCCGGCATGTCGACCGACTGTCGAAAGGACGCGGCGTCTTCCGTGTTTGACGACTTGGACTGCACCGTTCCGTACGATCGCGTGTTTGCCGTGAACGCTCAAGTGTTTGTTCCTCTGCCTTCTGCCAACGCCGAGCCTCAAGTGTCGTCGGTGGATCTCGAGGTGCCCGTTTCGACCCTTCCGGGATTTGTCCCAAAAACCTTTCGCGTGGCGCCAGTCGGAACGTTTGAAGACGCCTTGCCGTCCACGCCTCTAGACGATCCGCTCGTTATGGACGCCATTCGCAGCATTGATACGACGGTGCTTGCCTCGCAAGAAATCACTAAGTGCAAGCGGTTTGTGACCTCTGTGCGCGGCGCCACGCAGATGCCAAGCAATTCAAATTCGATTTTCATGCGACTCGTTTTGGTCGTTGGTATGGACTGCGGTCCCAACTCCAACGGCCCTCTGTGGCAGCCGTTCCACAAGTTTGCCCTCATTATGGAAGGACAGTACGCCGACCCGCAGGGTGGAGAGTCGCCGGGCAACTGGAATGCACCCGACATGGTCCTCCGATGGCACTCGGTTCGCGCGGACGACCTTGGCACCACGGTCGAGGACAACGTTGGCGCTGGTCTGCCGCCCAAGCCTGACTCGCCGCCAGAAACGACCCCAACCGACACTGACTCTCCGCCGCCCCTCCTTGGCGGGCAAGTGACCATTCCGGACGTGTCCGCGAACCCGAATGCTCAGATGGCGCTGGCGTTCGGCTTGGCGACTGTCAACGAACGCATGAACCGAGATGAGCCGCTCGTGCAGATCTCCGTGCTCAGTGCTACCATGCAGATGGTCGCTGGCCGCATTTACCGTTTCCGCGTGCTTGTCGCGCCTTCGCATGCCTGTTCCAAGGGCCAGCCGATGCCCGCGTCCTCCGACCCAGCCGACTGCCCGCCCGATGCCTCGCAGAGCTTTGTCTTGGTGCTCGTTGTGCGCCACCGTGCGTGGGAGACCAACGCGCCGATGACTCTGCAGTCAATGACGGTCGAGACTGAAAACCCACCAGACGCGTGCGCCACCGTCTACACTGGCTATGCGAGCGACCCGTCTGGCCGCTGCTACGTCTCGAGCAAGATCGACTGCAGCAATCCATTCGAGTACAAGACGCTCGAAGAGTGCCAGCAGGCGATGGACAACCAATGGTGCCTCTCTTCGCTGTTCAAGTCGAAAGTGGTGCGGTACTCGATGATTGGAACCGCCGGCCTGTTTGTTCTCTTTGGCCTGGTAATGTTCGCCCAGAGCATGATGGCCAGGCGCCGTGCCGAGCGCGCCGTGTTCATGCCCACTCGCAGCGAACAAAAGCCCGACAACATCAAGTACATGAAGTTGAACGAGCTGCAGCAGCGTCCGATGTACTAAGCCACAGTGCTCTACGCTGTCGTCAGGCCTCAAAGCAACTTGGAACGGCTTTTTGTTTGGCGCCCGAGTGCTTGTTGTAAAGAAGGATGCGTGTGTTGGCGACTTGTCAATCCGCTTTTGTTTTAGATTTGTGAATAGCAAGTGCATGCCTCCCTGCATATCCTCGATTCGTAGTGTTGGTGTGTGTGTGTGTGTGTGTGTGTGTGTGTCATTTTTTTGCTTCTGATCCCTTCAAAACTGACACGGCAATGATTTGCTTCTTGGCGACACGGGTCAAAGGGTTGCAAGTACGAAATTTGTCTCAACGCACGCTCTTTTTATCATTTTCTACACGTCCTTCATCCATTCCATTTCACGCATTCACTCTTCATTCTTTCATTCATTCACTCATTCAATTATCGTTCATTCGTCATGGTTCAAAATCGAGCACCCACTGAAGCCGAGCTGGCTGATCTGAAGGCTGCGCTGGCCAAGCACGGCCAGGAGCATCTGCTGCACTTTTGGCCGACGCTGACGGACATCCAGCGCTCGCACCTCTACGCTGACATCAAGTCGCTGGACCTCGCGCGTGTCAATCTCGACTTTGTGGCTGCCATGAAGACGTCTGGCGCAGAGTCGCAGAGCAAGCTCGACGCGCTCATTGCGCCGCTGCCAGCAGACCGCGTCGGCTCCACCACGGACAAGGCCAACGCCAAGCAGTGGCGCCAGCATGGCCTCGAAGTAAGAGAGAAGGAGAAAAGGTGCATGGAGCGCGCGTTGCTGGGGTGGCGCAGTCGGTTTGGGAGGATGTGAGGAACTGTGCGTTCACGCCTTACCGACCGACCAGGCGAGGCGATGAAGCAGCCGTCTTTGAGGAGAGGACAGTGAGATTGTATCAGTGTGTTGTTGGGGGTCGCACTTGCAGAACTATCGAAGATCATGAGCGGAACGGCCAGAACGAACGTCAAACATCGTCAAAACGTCAAAAAACGTCAAAATGACAGAAACGCACGGCCTGCCAAACCAGATTAGGACAAGATCGAGACTTGTTCCTCCTCTTTTTTTTTTTTTTTCAACTTCCTCCTTTGTGTGCACTTGTGTTCCAACCGACGTCGTTGTTTGTGATCTGAGTCATGCAGCGTTTGCAGAATGAGCACAATGTGCAGTGGATGGCAAAGTCTCGTCCTTTGAGCCCTTGACAACTGACTGATTTCTTTCATTCGTGTGCTCCTCCTCCTCCTCTTCCTCTTCCTCGTCGGGTACAGCTCATTGCAGATGGCAAGTGCGCAGTCTTGCTCCTCGCGGGCGGCCAGGGCACACGTTTGGGAACGGCCGACCCCAAGGGCATGTACGATGTCGGCCTTCCCTCGCACAAGTCGCTCTACCAGCTCCAAGGCGAACGCATTGTGCGATTGCAGCAGCTCGCAGCTGAAACTTCCAAGAAGGCATCGGTGACTCTGATGTGGTATGGTTTCATACAGCAGCTTGATGCTGACCTTTTGCGCATTCGTCTCACTTTGATTCCCTGTTTCCCTTCTCTGTTTTTTTTTTTTTGTGTGTGTTCTTCCTCACATCACAGGTACGTCATGACCAGCGACACGACAGACGCCAAGACGAAAGAGTTTTTCGCCTCGCACAACAACTTTGGCCTGCGCGCAGACCAGATCTTCTTTTTCGAGCAAGAAAACATCCCTTGCATGTCGTTTGAAGGCAAGATCATTCTGGCGTCGCCGTGGCAGATTTCGCGCGCCCCGAACGGCAACGGCGGCCTGTTTTCGAGCATGGAGCGCAGCGGGGCCCTGAGCGACATGGAGAAGCGCGGCATTGAGCGCGTGCACGTGTATGGCGTGGACAATGTGCTTGTTCGTCTCGGCGACCCCGTGTTCTTTGGCTACTGCTCGGAGAAGAAGGTTGACTGCGGCAACAAGGTGGTCGCCAAGGCCTATCCGGACGAGCCCGTCGGTGTGCTCTGCCTGTGCGAGGGCAAGCTGCGTGTCGTCGAGTACTCTGAAATCACAAAGGAGACTGCTGCGCGGACCAACGCCGCCGGCGAGCTCGTGTTCAACGCCGGCAACATTGCCAACCACATGTTCTCCGTCCCCTTCTTGCGCGCCCTGCTCACTGAGCACCGCGACGCCCTCGTCCACCACGTTGCCAAGAAGAAGATTCCGTTTGTCGACGTTGCCTCCGGTCAGATTGTGACGCCCAAGGAGCCGAACGGCGTCAAGCTCGAAATGTTTGTTTTCGACGTCTTCCCGCTCTCCACCAACTCGGGCGCCCTGCAAGTTCTCCGCGACGAAGAGTTCTCGCCCTTGAAGAATGCCCCTGGAGCTGGCAAGGACTGTCCCGAGACGTGCCGCGCCGATTTGCTCAATCTGCACGCCTCCTACGTCGCAGCCGCGGGCGGCCGCCTTCTTCCCGATGCCGCGGTCGAAATCTCGCCCCTTGTCACGTATGCCGGCGAAGGACTTGAGCCTTACACCATGAACAAGATCTTCAAGGACACGACGGTGGTTTTGCCAAAGTGAGCGCAGTGTTCCGGTTGAGCTTTGCTTCGGTGTGTTGCGTTTTTTTCCCTTGTTGTATCGATGCTTGTATGTGATCTAGTTTTTGTATCGACAATCAAACGATGCTTGTAGTATGAGCTGGTTTTTTTTGGTGTCGACCATCGTCCTGAAAGGGGATTGAGCGTTCAATTTTGGGTTTGAACGGAAGCACCCCTTTGGCTTCTTCTTCTGAACGCGATTCGAGAGTTGGAACTGGTAAAGTAGACCGTTTACTTGCTGCTGGTGTGTCGAAAAATCTTTTTTAAAAAAAACGGTGTATTGTAAAATGAAAACAATGGACGCAGGATAACCGATCCATCAAATGTACAGCCTGTGTTCGAAAACAAAAAAAGTCGCAAAGGACCTAACTCTCCTGATGATAGGAGGCAGCAATAATATAAAAATAACCAAACCGAAACGAAGAACGAGACAAACATAACAACAACAATCACAACAACGGTAACAAAATGGAACGTGCAGCAGCCATCAAGACGGATGCACTCAAACGCATAAGGGGGGACAATCACAAGTGGTGCCCGACTTTACTGGTGCGAGACGCCACTAATGTTGTGGCTGCTGAGGCTGGAGAAGCCAAAGGGAAAGTTGTTCTCGAAGGCAACCATTTCGGCGGTGCTCACGCTGGGAATGGGCTGGAAAAAGTTGCCAAAGGGCGTGAGGCACGTGGCCGTGGAAGAGTCGGTGAGCGTCGAGGCGTCGATGGCTGGCATGGAGGCCGATGTGCTCAGCAGCGTCGAGGCGGAGGAGGACGACGAGTAATCCTGCGCCAGGAACTGCTCGAACGTCATGTCGTTGGCAGCGGTCGCCAAGGTCATGCGGGCATCCGCAAACTGACCAAGCATGGGCTGGAAGAAGGTGGTGCTGGCAACCGGGGCCGGGTCGTAAAACATGGCGGGGCGATCAAGCATGCCCACACGCTGCTGGTACGACTTGAGCTGCGCCATGATGGAGGCGTAGTCCTGGTAGTCGCTTGCATCGGCCTGGGTGGGCTCCGACCGGGACGGACGCAGCGTGGACGACGCAAAGAGGTTGGTGTGGTTTTGCTCGTCGCGCTCGTGCAGCGTCTCGAGATCGCTCTCGGATAACGAGTCGGACGAGCGACGCTGGCGGTACGAGCCGCCCATCGAGGCAGCCACGGAGGGGATGACGCTGCTGCTGTGACGGCGAGCAATCTGGGGGCTGGTGGGGACCTCCTCGGCCTCGGCGGCGGAAATGTGGTTGGTGTAAAACACCAGGCGGAGGGTCGAGTTGGGGGTCGGATCGCTCAGAATCTTCTTGATCAGACCGCCAGCCTTGCGCTTCTTGGTGCGGCCGTTCGTGTTGTTCGGGTCAAACTCAAACTCGCGGTAGATGAGCCAGCCAGCCTTGGTCGAGTACGCCTTGGACCACAGGCGGTTGTCCGTCCAGCGCTCAATCTTCTTGCCGCAGTAAATGTAAACATGGCCAGTGTTGATGGCGGATTTCTCCTCGGCAGTCAAGTGCTGGCGAATAACGCGGATGGCGTTGTTGCGAGCGTGCGCAAACAGGGAGGCAGCTTCAAAAGGAGCGGCGCCTTGGTTGTCGGCCTCAGGGGCGTGCAGGGTGGGAGTCAGTTGAGCGGGCATTCTTGGTTTTTGTGTGTGTGTGTGCTTGGCTTGTCAAGGTCGAGATACTTGATCGATAAAACAAAAGAATGTTACAAAAGAGGATTGGTTGCTAGGCCGAAAAAAGATTGAGGGAGGAAAAGACGTATGGCGAAATCGTGGTTCCGGCGAGGTGGAGGTATCCGACAAAAATAAAAAATCAAATTAATCGAAAGCGAATTTGAAGGGAGCTGGCAGGACCAGTTTTGGGTTGAGCTGCTTGGCAGATCTATCAAAGAGAAACGGTTGAAGTACAAAGGAAAAAAAAAACAAAAAGAAAAAAAAAAACAGGAGTGCGATAGGAGGACAAAAAACAAAAACAACTTTGTGTGAGCAATCAAAAAATTGTCGAATGATGGCAAGTTGGGGAGGGAAGGGGGGAAGGGGAGAAGGTGCACGCTCGTTGGAGCACGCGCAGGGCAACGAGAAGAGGAAGAGGAAGAGGAGGAAGAGGAGGAAGAGGAGGCGAAGGGTGTTGCAAGAGGAGGAACCGGAGGAAGTTGCATTGCATCTGAGTATTTTGACAGTTTTTTTCGCAATGACAGGAGAAATTCGCTTTTTTCCACGCCAAACCACTTTGCCCCGCACTCGGCGCACAAAGACAGCTGGAGCGGACTGCAGTGTCAAAGCGCTGGTTGTGCACGTTCAGCTACGTACAAGAGTGGAGAGCGCGCAAGCGGAAGAAGAAAGAAGAAAACCAAAAAGAAAAAACGAAAGAAAAAAATGTGATAGGAAATCGATCAAAGAAAAATACAAATAAAAATAAAAATGGAGTGACATGTCCCAAATCGGACGGCGTTCCGTTTCATACTCGAATCGATCCGATGCCGATGGTGTTAACAACAACAACACACATTTTTGTGTTTCAACAAAACAACCAGCCAACCAGAAATCGGGCTTTCCACTGATCTACGCCAACACCGACCCCACACATCAGACACCTGGAATCTGGCGTCTTTTTTTATTGTTTCAGATGTCGGTGTGGTTTTTTTAATTGACGGTTGTCAGCAGGGCGGGGCGGAGAGCGTGGGGAAGAGTGGAAAAAAAACAAAAATCCCGCGAGCGCGAGTCAATTTTGAAACGCACTCTACGACTTGCTCTCGCCCATGCAGCAGCGGCCAGGGCTGAATTAAAAAGCGAATTCCGGTGACACCGGAAAATAAAAAAAGGAGGAACTGAATATCAAATAAAAAACGCTCGAGTTGAACGGAAAAGCCAAAGAAGAAAAAAAAGCAAAAACAAAAAACACAAACTCGCCTCATCAGGATTTGATGAGTTTGAGAGGTGTTGCTGCCAACCCACAAGAGCAACAGGTGATGGGGGCATGTGGGGTCGGTGAGCGCTGCAGGCGAGCGACAAAGTTGTGACTCCAACCATGGCTCACACGAGCAGCTCGCGGAAATGTCAGGAACGCCCTCGCTTGGAGGGTGAAGCAAGCCGTCGATAGGATGAATTTGACAGAATGTGTTTGCGTTTTTTTTTTTCTTTGTGTTTTTTTTTTTTTTCTGGCCGATTGGCATCGGGTGGCGACCATTGCGAATAGCAATAGAAAAAAGGCATGACGCATTGATGACGCATCGTGTAGCAGGGTAGAGGGGAAGAGCGAGAAGAAGCGGGGGGGGGAGATGGCGAGAGAGCGGAGGCGGGGGAGAGGGGAAGGAAGGTGAGAGGGGAGGGAATGGGAGCTGCGAACGAAACGCCCTCCAAAGATTGTCCGCTGCGAATGCCGCGGGATCTTTTATGGCAGAGGAGAGAGGAGAGGGAGGCAGAGATGTTGAGAGCGAGGGTGTAGAGAGAGAGAGAACGATAGAGAGCGCGAGAGAGCGCAAGAGAGTGGATGGAGCGCGAGAGGGAGCGAAATCAAAAACAAAACAACTCGCTTCAACTCACTGTCAACGCTTGTCAAAGAAAAAGCAAAATGCAAGAGTGAGCGTCTTCCATCTGCGTAAATTCATTCTTTTGACGGAAAATGGGATAAATCGCGAAGGCAATTGCCCCGACCCAGGGGCAGGATGGAAGTTGAAAGGACGATGCATCATTTCGATGCTGCGATTTGGCTGATGCTCTCTCTCTCTCTGGCGCACGCCCCACTCCATCCGTCCTCGGCACAAGCTCACTTTGGACAACAGCGTCATGCGAAAATCGCGTGAGAGGGACCCGATGGGATTCCAAGCCCCTTCGCTGATCGATTGGTAATTGATCGATTTGACAATGATCGATTTGACATGCGTTCGGGGGATTTTACACGTTTGGAATTGTTTGTTTTTGTTTTTATCCCGATTCCGATGGTCCATCGCAGCTCGGGACGATGATGGGAGCAACAACAATGCGCCACACCATCGTTGGGTAACAATCATGATGGATGGAGGAGACAATGCGGATTGGAATCATGGGCAGCGGCGCTTTATGATTCAATCGCGGGGCTTATTCCAATACTGGCAACCGCATTCTTCCCGGAAAATGTTGAGCTCGGGTATGTCGCTCCACTACCCTGCATGAACTGCGCAGAACGCTCCACGACGGCTGAGGGAGCGCGACCAAACAAACCGAAACGAAAGGAGGGGTCCGCAAGGCACCGCGAAGACAAATAGAACGTTCGGGTTTTTGGCAATCCATGTTCAGGGCAGGTTTACTCATCCACATGCCGCTCGTCTTGCGCTGCAATACCGTCAAATGGTTTGTCAAACTGGAATTTTCATCAATCCATAACATATTCAGCAACTCAGCAAAACCTCAGCAAATATCGTTTCTCTCTTGTTTTCTCGTTTGCTGCGTTTTCCGTTCTCCGTCTTTCGATTTTCTTACGCTGCGTGCAACCAAACTCGAACAAAAAAAATGCCTCCATCCAAAAGCAAGAAGAATGGCTCGACCAGTGACGACAGTGATGACTTTGGTATCTTTGCAGTGGCCGGCATCGCGCTCGCGGCCGGAGCTCTCATTGGAGCAGGACTGAAGGCGGTCTACGACAGCGTCACCGCTGCTCCTGAGCCAGCGCACCAAGTACGCCGAGACCAGCCCCAGCGCCCACCCATCCCCATCCCCAGCAGCATCAGCAGCATCATTCTCCTCGTCATCACCATTGCATCGTGCACAGAGCCAGCACGCCTTGTCCGAAGTGTTGGAGGCCTTCAACTGCCCCATCACGCAGGAAGTCATGTCCGACCCGGTCTCGACCCCGTACGGCCACTGCTTTGAGCGCGACGCCATCGAAAGGTGGCTCCAGACCCACAAAACATGTCCGATGACCAAGAAGCCTCTCACTCAAGCACAGTTGTTTCCAAACTACACTGTCAAGGCAGCCATCGAGAGCGCCCTCGCGTCATCAACATCCTCGTCGTTGCCATGCTCTTCCTCAGCGTCTGCGTCTGGCGCTGAACGGGTGCCACGCGTGGCAGACGATGCGGTGCAGGTCACACTCGCCCCTGAGGCGCTGCGAGCGGGCCTGCGTTGCCTCGATCCAGACACGGTGCGCGCGCTGTGCACTGGCGCCAATTGGAACCCGGCCATGGCCGAGAGCGTGTTTCTGCTGCTGGATGCGCTTCCGACGTCGAATCAGTCAGTCCCGTTCGCAGTGACCAACCGTGGCACTGTGCCGCTGGTGCTCGTTGCACAGCGTCACCGTCCCTTTGCCTCTTCTAACGTCCACGACGACGATGGACGCGAAACTGGTCGTCTGACCTTGGCGCCTCAACAATCTGCTCGACTCGCCATCTCCAGCACTTGGCGACTGAATGTGCAGCTCCCCACACAGGATGGCTTGCCCAAGACAGTGCTACTGGCGGTTGATGAAGCCGCCGCCCTCGATGGCAGTCCATCATCGTTGCCGATGGTGGAGTAGCCGTTCGTCGTCGTGTGTTATCGTTAGTGTCAGAGGAGCCAGACTCAAATTGTTGTTGATAGATAGTAAACGTTTCCAAAAATGTGTTCATCCGTTGTATTCAAAAGCCAGAAGAGGGGCCGTCTGCCACACACAAAGCTAGAACGAATAAAACAACCAGCTCAAAGCTTAATCACGGGTCCGCTGTAGGGTTCGCGCTTGACACCGACAGGCAGGTTGGCGCGGTCGCGAACGCGGATCTTTTCGTAGACAAAGTCGCTGTAAGCACCGCGAGGGATGAAGCGGCCTGCACCTTTGACGGTCATCAGCTTGCCGTGCGCGTAAACGACCTTGCCTCGGCTGATGGTGACGAGCGGCACACCGTGGACGGTCATGCCTTCGAAAATGTTGAAATCAACGGCCTGCGACAAGGGGGCAAAAAGGTGGAGAAATGGATATCAAGGCCAAAGGTGAGCAAAGAGAATCATACAGCAAGCACCCAAAATAAATAAAAAGCTCGAGTTGGCTGTACATGGTGGTGAGTCTTGGCAGAGATGGTGCGCGAAGCTTCAGCATCCCAAACAACGAGGTCGGCATCCGAGCCAGCCTCAATCCTGCCCTTGCGAGGATACATGTTGAAGATGCGCGCCGCGTTGGAGCTGGTGGCGGCCACAAATTGGCTCGGGCTGAGAATACCAGCATGGACACCCTTCTCCCAGATGATGGACATGCGATCTTCGACACCGTTCACGCCTAAACGCGAAAAAATTGGCACCAAAAAAGACACGAGGTTGGAAAAAACCAATCAACCAAAACGGATCAAACACACGAAAACGGAATCAAACACACGAAAAAGTACAAACTCACCATTGGGAATCTTGCGGAAATCGTCCTTGCCAAGCGCTTTTTGGTCGGCGTTGAAGGTGCAGTTGTCAGTGCCGGTGGCCTGCAAGTCGCCATTTGCCAGCATGTGCATCAGGTAGCCAGGCGTCGAGTCGTCGTTGCGCAGCGGCGGGCCCATGACGTAGGCTACAGCAATCAGTAACCAGCAAGGTGAGAGGAACAGCTACAGAAAAACACGGGGATTGCGTGACTGAATCAAACCCAAAACAAACCAAACCATACCCGCGGCGTGACGCCAGTCGTGGTGCCAGCAGTGATGGCCGGTGGTGCCCAGACCAGCCGCAATCGGCTCGCCAAAGACAACACAGCCACGGCGACGAGCTTCGGAGATGCGATCGGCTGCGCTCTTGGACATGACGTGCACAACGTACAACGGCGAGTTGAGCTGTAGATTGGAAGTTAGTGTGAGAGTTAGCAGCAAACCAATGGACAACAAAAAGCGGCGCAAAGTCGAGAAGGGCTGTGCGCCAATACCTGATTGGCGAGCATAATGGCGCGGTTGGTCGCTTCGGCCTCCACCTGCGCCAAAACGATTCGAGCAACGAGTCAAGACAAAATCAGGACAACACAAAACTGGCACGCCAGGACGCTCGACTGCTCCTACACCAGGACGCTCGAAAAAAAAAGCTTACCTCTTCCGGTCGGCACATGACGTGACCTTCCGGCCCTGTAATGCCGAGATCAATCATGCGGCGCGATTGCTCGTCGATAATGTCGCCATTCTCGGCGTGGACTTGCATAATGGCGCCAATGCTCTTGCAGTGCTTGAGAACATGAACAATCTGCACATCAGAGCGTAGCGGGAAGGGTTGAGATCAGCTGTTCATTGCGGCAACCCTACGTTTCGCAAACCTTGTCGTCGGGGAGCTGGAAGACGTTCTTGTAGGCCATAAACACCTTGAACGAGTTGATGCCTAGTGCAGTCAATGGAGGGTGCAGTCAAGTTGGTGATGCGTGGCCTGAATGCAATAAAATCATCAAGCTTGAGGCCTACCCTTCTCTCCAGCGATAACAGCCATGTCGCGAGCCACAGATTCGTCCCACCAGGTGATGGCACAGTGCAGCGAATAATCGCAGACCACTAGAAATTGTCGTTGGGAGCATGTGAGTTTTGCGCCACAAACCGAGTTGAAACGGACTAAAGAAAGACGCAACTTTCTCGTACCTTTCTCGTCCGCCCAGCCACGCCACTTTTCGACGGCAGCAAGAGGAGATTCGCCAGCCATTCCAATCGCGAAATCCACTACACAGATGGAGCACAGCAATGTTAGAACATCAACAAACCTTTGAAAAACAAAAAACAAAAAGCAAAACAAACACAAAAAAAAAAAGAACGGCTTGTTTTACTAATCATGGTCGTCCCGCCAGCCACTGCAGCCTGAGTGCCAATGAAAAAGTCGTCCACCGAGACGGTGCCCATGAATGGGAGCTGGAAGTGGGTGTGCGTATCGATACCGCCTGTCGATCACAACAGAAGATCATACAATAAATACAATCCATTCCAAGCCGATAGTGACGAGAACAAGTCGAGCAACAGTCCCTCGTCCACCACCACCACCACCATCTCAGCAACCGTATCAACTGCGCAGTGCTACGAAAGGGCAAGCGAGCGCAGGCGCAACGACGCGGAGACGCACCGGGAAGAACCAGCTTGCCAGTCGCGTCGACGACTTCAGTGCCTTCAGGAACAGCGAGGTCGAGTCCGACTTGCCTGTGTGCGCGTGTGTGTGTTGGCAGCAGTCCCAAAACAGCAGATGAGTACAAGCGCACATGCAGGTGCCACAGGACGCGTCTGCGCAATGCATCTGGAGCGGGTGCAGCTCACTGCCGCAAAAACCCAAAACCCGCTCAACTCGACTCAAACAACAGCTCGACCAGTCTGTCACTTTGTACACTGCACTCAAATCAAACAACACCAAAGAACAGGAACACAACGATAAAACAAGACTTGTTGCACTCACTTGATGATGCCGTCTTCACAGTGGACATCGGCGCGGAAGCTGCGATCGTCGTTCACGACCGTGCCGCCCTTCACAAGCAAATGATGAGGCATTTTTTTTTTGTTTGAAATGTCAACAATGGAGTGATCCAGATGGGAATTGGATTATTCCGATGCTCGTATTTTGATCTGCGGATGATTGAGTGAAACAATGTCCAAATGCAAAAAACAAGGGTTGGCTTGGGATGACCAAGTGAAGGTCGAGCGTCAAACAACGCATTTGGCAGATGACACTAAAACGCATTGATCATCACGCAGCAGCATTTTGTGAGCGAACAGGCGAACACGATCGGCAGCAGCATTGGAAGCATGTAGAAGGGGTCGATGACTGGGCTTTGGTTTGACATTCACGTCAGTCAAAGAGTTTTGCAGTGCTGTACTTTTGCGCAAAAGGCTGGGAAGCTGATAATAATGAATTAACAACTATTCGAGCACCCACCGTGCCAAACGGTAACCCGCGTTGCGTTGCGTTGGTGTTTCAAAAATTGCACGCATTTTTGGGCTTTTCAAGTTTTCCCGCCAAAATTTGCTCTTTTCCACTCCTTTTCGATTTTCCCGCCTTTTTTCTCCTTTTTTTTTTTTTCTTTTTTCTCCATAGTTCTTTTTGAGCTGAATTGGCTTTTTGTTGGGTTGCTTTCCTTTGCCCAGTGCTCGTCTTCTTCCCGCAGCACTGCGACCTTCCCAACACACACACACACCCATACACATCTGCTCCATTCTGTTCGCCCTGCTCGCCAGTCGCTCCACTCGTTTTCCTCTTTCGTTTCGCCCTTTTGACTTTGATTTTCGAGACTCTTTTTTTTTTTTTCTTTTTTTTTTTCAAAAGACGTCGGCGTTGATTTTTTTTTTTTTTTTTGTAAAGCCACGCAGCGTGCCCGACGATGATGCGACGACGCTCGGGAAGTCGCACTGCCTCCGAAGGCGGGACTGAGCCATCGCCACAGGCACAGCCAGACCAGGCGGCAGCAGCAGCAGCAGCGTCACCAAGAGTGGCAAGGCGCCCATCACGAGCCCGAGAACCAGCAGGCAGCACCACCGCAGACGCATCTCCACTGCATGCGCTGCCGCCAAACCACGCTTTTCGGCAGCAGACCCATGCTCAGACGCACGCATTGCGGCAAGACGAGCGGCCGGCGGGCGAGCTGCACGCCTACGACCCGCACGTGCCGCCCAGCAACCGCGACACAGCCTCAGCAGCTCCAAGCGCGATGCACGGCGGCATCCGGCCCTCAGCTGGCCCCGTCGCTCCCTTCTCGATGGCACAGCACCTGCTCGAGCACCGCAGTGGCTCCAGCAGTACCAGCAGCAGCAGTACCAGCAGCAACAGCGGCGGCAGCGGTGGCCTTGGCGGCGGGCACAGCCTCTCAAACCGCAGTTTCAATGGCAACCTGCACGCGCAGCTGCCTTCTTCTTCTTCTTCGCTGCCAAGACCACCATCATCATCAGGAGCAGCGGCGGCTCCATCGGCGGCTACTGCTCCATTGGCGTGGCCGCGGTCGTCGTCGTTCTCGTCCGCGCCCACACGGCCGGCTGCTGATGATGACGAGGCAGCGTCGCCGCAGCATCCCCCGCCGACTCCGACAAAGTCGTACACACCGCTAACCCCGCGCGACGGACGACCAGGGCGAAGAGGGTTTCCAAATGTCTCGCCCAGCCCGATGCGCATCAATCCACAAGAATTGTCAAAACTGCACCAGCAACAAGCGAGCGCTCGCCAACGCTCACGCGAGCACTTGGCACTCTTTGGCACAGCTTTCACCTCGCCCATCCCCGGAGTCGAGAACGACCTGCCGCCGTCCCACGAACGGTCGCAGGCATTCGCTGCACAAAGACAGCAGCTCTTGCATCAGCAGAGCAGCAGCAGTCGCAGCCAGCCGTTCTTTGCGGGTGGGCTGAGCTTCTCCAATCACGCCTCCGGCTCTCGTGCGGGCGGCTCGCAGCCCCGTTCACAAGGGCGCATCGGGCGCACTTCCCGTGGCGTCAGCCAGGTTTTGCATTTTGACGCTGACACCGACGAGGGAGATCATGGTGCGAGCAGTCGGTTGGAGCCCACTGGAAGGCATGCGCGATTTGCCCCTCACAAGAACATCAACGACGACAACGACGACAACGACGACGACGACGACGACGACGATCATGATGGTGGACATGACGATAGGGACAGCGGCGACGAGGATAGCGACGACGAAGATGATGGCGACTCTGTTCAATCCGGCAATCTCTTGCTTGACGACGAGCGTGCCTCTGAAGAAGCAGCAGCGGCGTACATGCGCCGACGCGTTTCTACCACCAGCTCGGCCGCGTCCACCCCGCGTCGCCTGACCCAGCAAGCCGTCACACAAGCACGCTCATCTCCGCCTTTCAGCACCGATTGGCGGACCACTGATTCTCCGCAGCGTGCTCACGACGATGTTCGCTCGTTTTCCAGCTCGCCTTCCGCCTCAACCCATGCCAACGCAAGCATGTTGGATGTCTCCCACCTTTCAAGCGGACGCGACCGTGGTGCAGCTGACAATGCCGAGGCTCGAGCGATGACCAACGCCTTCTACAACCCGGAAATCGACCAGACCTACTTTGAACAATGCTTTGTGAGTCTTGAGCGGATGGGCAGCGGGTCGTTTGGCAACGTCTTTAAGGTTCGTTCCCGCGAAGACGGTCGAGTGTACGCCATCAAAATTGCCAAGCAACGGTTTCGCAGCCAAACCGACCGTCTTGAAAAAATCTCCGAAGTGTACAACATGCAATCGCTCGGCCGTCATCCGCACTGTGTGCAGTATTATGACGCCTGGGAAGAGCAGGAGGTGCTGTACATTCAGATGGAGTTTTGCGAGCTCGGCAGCCTGCAGAGCTACGCCCGCCGGTTCAACGCTCTGCCCGAAGAGCAAATCTGGGACTTTCTCACAGACATTGCGTTGGGCCTCCAGCATGTCCACGAGCGCAATTTCTTGCATCTCGACATCAAGCCCGAGAATATCTTTGTGGCCGAGGACAAGTCTCTCAAACTTGGGGACTTTGGGATTGCCTATCGCATCAACAGTGCGTCTTCGCCAAGCTCTTCCGATGCAGCCGCCGAACGTGAAGCTGCACTGACCTATGAGCAGCAACCACGAGCAGCAGCAGCAGCAGCAGACCGTGCTAGTACTTTTTCACTGCAACACCACCCGCGCCAGATGGATGCTTCGTCCGGTGCTGCTGCAAGTCGCGAAACCCCGCTCGCTACCCGACGCCAACGACCATCGACATCGACTGCCGCGCCAAATTCTCCGGGGCTTTTGTCAATGCTTAATCTCGCCTCGCCGCAGCTGTCAACCTCTTTCGGTGACAATCGCCGGGAAGGCGACTCGCGCTACCTGGCGCGCGAAGTGCTCCAAGACGAAAACTTTTCCAAAGCAGCAGACATTTTCAGTTTGGGCATTACCACTCTGCAGCTGGCGACGCACATGGAGTTGCCTTCGGATGGACCCCATTGGCGTGCTCTTCGTCTCGGCGATTTTCCAGACTGCGCAGGTGTTTCGGACGAACTCATGAATCTCATCCGGTGGATGATGAATCCCGATCCCGCGCTTCGACCCACCATTGACCAGATTCTCGCTCACTCCTCCGTTCAGCGATCGCTTAGCAAGCGAAAGTGGGTCCGCGTGTACAACTGTCTGGTGAGTGTTTTTGCTAATCTCCTTGTTTTGGTTTTGGGATGGGTTTGATCTCGTGTGCCGACGCTGACACTCGATGTTGTGGGTTGATCTGGGGATCTTTATTTTGCAGTCCGTCGTGACTTCAGATGTCTGCTCGCAATGTCGGTCAGCGTCCTGGAGAGTTTTCAACTTTGCTCGCCGGTTTTTGCCGTCTGGCCTCCTATCCCAACAACCACCAGCATCAAGCCGATTTTCAGACACGCTTTCAAATTTGTCTGGTAATGCGAATAGGCTCCGTTTTGTTGTTTTTGTGATGAGGGCAGCAACTTTAAGCACGCAAACCAATCGTCTCATCCCCAAAACTCGTTGTGCATGCTATAGGCGTGTCCGACAACGACACATGGGAAATGGAAAGTCCAGTTTCATCTCGCGCGCGGACTCCCGGTTTGGACCCCGCGTCCCCCACGCCCGCGGCCAGATCGTTTGATGTGAATGACCATTTCGTGAGCATGCAGCCGCAGGCGATCAACCGCCAACAGCAACAACACCAGCAACTGCATCAGCAGCAGCAACGACACCAACCTGCCATTTCACAAAATGAGCATCCGCAACACCAGCAACCATCACATAGCCAGAGCACGTTCGTCACTCAACAGCCCGGTGCGCAGTCCACTCATCAACTGCCAGCCGCCACAGACATGAACAAGCCAGCCCCGCCATCGCCATCACCGGCTCGTTCACGGGGTCAGTCGCTCAGGCGAGGCGGGTCTGCCAGTACCGGGCGCGATGGCTCCAATCTTTCTCACATGACCAGTCCGGCTGCAAGCCATCCCTCTGCTGGTGGCCGTCAATTATTTGGTCATTGATCATTTATCTTTTTTGAGCACTCTTTCATTTTATCAACCAGACACCTACGCCTTTTTTTTTTCTTTTTTTTTTTTTTTTCGCCGGATTGGTTGCAAGTCGCCTCGACTTTGGTGATTTTGTTATTTATTATTGTACAACAATGTGATTTTTCAACCCGGAAAAGGCGTTTTGTATTCGGTCCAAACAAGCGGCAGCGTTCAACAAACAAACAAAACAAAACAAAGCAGTCATTCCAACACAAGTATACCCTCCATGCATTGATTGTACTGTATCAAGCCACCAGCAAACCGATTCTTCTCTTTTGCTCAGAAAACCCTGCTAAAAAAGGCAATCAGTGCGACGACGAATCTTCGCTGCCAGATGCGCTGTCAGATTCGTAGCCGATTCGGTCGAGTTCGGCTTGAAGCTCCAGGATGGCTGCCCGACCTTTGAAGCGACGCTTGAATCCTCGCGGAATGCCACGGCAAGATGTCAAGTCCACAACTACAAGGTAAGGGGCAACGCCAATCAACCGCGCCAAAGGCTTTGCAGTCGGACGGGACCCCACCAGGCTCAGAATCCGGAGTGGCATCTTGTTGGTCTCTTCTCGCGCAATCTTGACCATCACATCCAAAAGCGAGCCATCCGCCCATGAGCAGCGATCCAGATACAACTCCTTCAGGTTGGTGACCCAAGCTTTGAGGACGCGGTATGTGCTCTGTCGTCGCATCTCCGGCAGCACGAAGGCAATCTTGAGTCGCTTCAGAGCGGTGGCATTCAGGGTTGCGCGGGTGTTGGAAAGATTGAGGCGCCAGATGGGACGAGTCGCAAGAATTTCGTGAAACGCCAGCGCTTGGGTGCCGCACATTCCTTCCAGATTGAGTGTCTCGAGCGAAAGACTCGGGGTAATCAGGCCCATGACCGATGTCGACACATCCGTTCTCACGCTTTGCGCAAAGTCGGGGTTCTGTGAAGTGCAGATAAAGTGTCGAAGATGGGTCAATCCTGGCTGTGGGGTGGCACGACGTCGGTCCTGAAGGAGAAGGGCGGGATACGGCAGGTGCTCCCCGAGCTCTGCGAGGAAGAGGCTTTCCAGGTTTGGGAAGCACCTGACGAGCTCCACCGCGTGAACGTACCCTTTCACGAAGCAAAGATTGAGGCTTGTCAGCAAGCGCAGGCTTTCAAACGAGCTGATTCCTTCGAGATGTGCAAAGCTGATGCTGAGCTCTTTGAGTTCTGGGTGCGTGGTTGCCAATTCGGAAAGAAACGCAGGTGTGAGGGGATCCGTCCGGCGCCACGGTGCCGCGTCCTCCGCGTTTTGCGATGACCCTCCATCTCGGCGTGAAGAACCGCTCGCATACAGACCCAGAGGAGGCTCTCCTCCGCGCGCGGTAAAACTCGTGAGCTTGGGCAAGCCCAAGAGCGATCGCAGTCCCACCGGGGAGATTCGCCAGCAGCCAGCAACGTCGACAGCCGTCAGGGTTGGGCAAGCAGCAACCAAGTTGGCAAGCGCTGAATCGACCAGCCACGCGTTGTTGGCCAGTGAGATTTGCTCGAGACGCGTCCACCGGTGCATGGCGGCGAGAGACTGCCACCGCTGCAGCGACAAGCGATCGGCACAGTTGGACAGATCGACGCTGCGCCAGAGCAGTGGATCCGAGCTCACAGCGTTCCACAGGCGACTGACGCGACTCGTGCGACACAACAGCGGCACTGCGCCAAACCGCGACACTGCGCTCTGCAGAATCAAGAACAGGACTTCGTGTGGCAGACTTGGAACGGGCGTAGCAGTTGTAGTCGCCGCCACCGCTGTGGTCGTCGCGGCGCTGGCAGTCGAAGCAGAAGATCGCGGCTCACTCGGAGGGCGCTGGGACGATGCTTTTTTGCCTTTTTTGCCAGCAGTCGTCGCAAGAGCAGCAGCAGCAGCATCCTCTCCCTCATTGGGAGCATGCAGCAGAGACGCGGGACACGTCGTTAGCAGGAGCTCGTCTCGCCTCGACTCGAGTACCGCCGCGACGCTCGGCTTTCGCGGCTGACTCGGCTTTCGCCTTCGCTTGGGCGCCACTAACAGGTCATCATCATCGTCATCGTCAGAATCGAGCGAATCGTCGCCATCGGACGGGTAAACCCGTCGTCCGGGATGCATGGCCCACGACATTTCGTGCACTGATGATATGAGACTGAGCCGAGTCAAGTCGATCCCCGAACAACGCCTCGTGCTTTGACCGTTTCGAACAAAAGCAGTAGTTCTTCTGATATTCACAACTGTTTCGAGATGTTGTTTCTTCGTCTTAGAAACCCAGTCTCACTTTTTTTCTTTTCAATCATGGTAAACAAACAAAAAGCGCTCAATGCAAAATCCAGCAAAATGGCTTTTTTTTTTTTTTTTTCGTCGATTGCTGACTTTTACATGACATTCCCATCCATTTTTTTGTTCATTCAGAGCTTCTTCGGCTTTGGTCAGACCGCGCAGATTGACATTGTGCTGGACGACAAGAGCACGCGCCCGCAGATCGAGGTCAAGGACGAGGAAGGGCACAAGAACCAGCTCTACCTCTTCCTCGACGGCGAGACGGTCAAGGGCCAGGTACCCGCCACTCTCCCTCCTCCATTCAATGATGCTCACTCTCACGCCTGCCTGAATGTTGAGTCTTGAGTCTTGAGTCGGGGGGAAAGTGACACGCGGATTTTGGAACGTTGCAGCAGCACACAAAACCAAATGGGAAAAAAAAAAAAAAAAAAAAAAAAAGTCAAATGACTTTCAATGCAACTCCCAGCAAAGCGAAAAGCCGAGTGTCGAGATAGTTGGTGTGTTTGGCGGCAGTCCCCCCCCCCCCAAAGCGAGCTGACGGACTTGCAATTCGACCGGGCTCGCGCGGGATCCTCTCGAGCGAAAGGGAAGGGGGACACGGGGGTGCAACCCGTATTGGGTGCAATTTGGCGATCTCGGGCTCTGTGGAGCACCCTTCTGTCGCAATGCTGGCTGCGACTGCGAACCCTTCCCTCCCCCAAATGGTGGCAATCCGTGTATGCCACTGTCTTTGGAAGCGGGTTGGTGGGTTCCCAAGCGAGCGACGTTCCAGAGGGCTCACACACACACACAAAAAAAAAAAAAAAAGCATTCAATCTTCATCGCACAGAAGCGACCATGACCAAGCAGCAACCCCTCACTCCAACCTCATCCCCCACCGAAACTGCTGCGATACTTGAACGCGTTTGCAGTTCACGTGCTCGTGCTGACTCGGCCATTTCTGCTGTTGTTGCTGATCAGGTTCACATCAACCTCAAAACACCCGGCAAGAAGCTCGAGCACAATGGCATCAAGGTCGAGTTCCTCGGCCAGATTGAAATGTTCTACGATCGTGGAAACCACCACGAGTTTACCTCGCTTGTGCGCGAGCTTGCGCCGCCCGGAGAAATGACTCGCTCGCAAACCTTCCAGTTTGAGTTCCAAAACGTCGAAAAGTCACACGAGTCGTACAACGGCATCAACGTTCGCTTGCGGTGAGTCGTTCCTGCCTGTGGTGTCTTTTATGAGCGCTTTCGAGTGGGGAGGGGTGGTGCGTGTGCTAGTTGGGGCGTCTCAAAAAACGGCTGAAAAATTTGGCTAAAACTGCTGTTATCGTTTTCACACAGATACCTGCTGCGCGTCACGATCGTTCGTCGCCTCGCTGACATTACCAAGGAGCTCGATCTGTGGGTTCACCAATACTCCATCTTGCCCAAGATTAACAACTCCATCAAAATGGAAGTCGGTATTGAGGACTGTTTGCACATTGAGTTTGAGTACAGCAAATCCAAGTAAGTGTGTGTGTGGTGCTTCCACGGCCCCCGTCTTGTCGAAAGGAAACGGTCTTTTGCATCTGCATTTCACCAACCCTGCTTTTTCCTCGTTGTAGGTACTACCTGAAAGACGCCATTGTCGGCAAGATTTACTTTTTGCTTGTCCGCATCAAAATCAAGCACATGGAACTGGCAATCATTAAGCGAGAATCCACAGGCACCGGTAAGACGAATAGGCCGCCTCGTTAGCGCCCATTGCGAGACTCACGGAGCTGAGCTGGGATCTGACTTGTTTGGTTTTTCTCTTATTTTCTTTTCGTTTCGCTTCCTTTTAAGGCCCGAACGTCTACAATGAGAGCGAGACCATCACCAAGTACGAGATCATGGACGGCGCACCCGTTCGTGGCGAATCCATCCCAATCCGACTCTTCCTTGCTGGCTTTGAATTGGCACCAACGATGCGCGACATCAACAAGAAGTTCTCTGTGCGGTACTACCTCAACCTTGTGCTTGTCGATGAGGAGGAGCGACGCTACTTTAAGCAACAAGAGATTACCTTGTGGCGCAAGAAGGAGGACGGTGAAACTGCCGAGCAGTACCTCGTCTCATAAGCAGCTTTAGCTTCTTCTTCTTTTTTCTGCGTCTCTCGTTTATTTGGCCTCTTTCTTGAAGAAGAACTCCAGCGATATTTCGTCACCATTCGTTTAAGGCGTGGCTTTCGCTGCTTTGGTTGCTCGAGCGGTGGCTTTGTTTTTCTTTGTCGTCGGCTGTCAATTTTTTTTTTGTTCTTGTTGATGTTGGTCATGTTGTAGTGTGATAGATGGGTTTTGTTTTGAAGTGTCAATTTTTCCTCTTTCTTTTTGACTTTCCTAGGGCCGCATTTTGCTTGTGCTTTGTTGAGAACAAGAGGGAGGGGCAAAATGAAAAATGAGCGAAAGACCAAAGAAGCGGACAAGCATGATAATTCTGTGACAAAACTGCACACAAAAACGCCCACAACAACCTTATAAAAAAGCAAAACAATGAAGAAGCAAAGAGAGGGGAGGGGGGCGGAGTGCATCCACCGATACCGACAATGATCAATGTGGACTCAGCTTTAACTTGGTTGCGCCGACAGCGGAGGAAGAGCAAAGGACAGCAACACTGGTTTGTGGTCGCCCACACAGACATCACTAGCAATACTGGTGTAGTCGCAAACATCGGAGCTCGGCTGCGACGCAGAGGCAATGTCGAAAGCGGTCTTTGTCAGGAAGATTCGGTCGCACCACGAAGGGCAGCGCGTCGTCATGTATGTCGAGCCGGCAGAGGCGTCTTCACTGAACGGGTAACTTGGAGGGAAATCAAGCGGGAACTCGTGCAGGACGGGGTTGTCCATGAACTCTGGCTCAACGACGCCGACCGTCAAAAACTCTCGACCCTGGTTGCGCAAAAAGCGGTCGGGATCCGGCACAATGAATGTCTTCTTCTCTACAATGATGGCATTGCTCGGGAACAAGAGCTGCTGATTCAAGGCGTGCGTCGACGGCGACGACGACGGTGATGTTGAGGCAAACGTGCTGCCTTCGGGTGATAGAAGCGAGCCGGTCGAAATGGTACGCTCGGTTTCGGCAAAGGCAGGCGTGGCTCCGGTGGCCGATAGCGCTTCCTCCGCGGTGGCTCCTGGCGCTGGCGAAAGCGGGTACGCTGGCTCAGAGATCGGGCTGGGTGTTCGGATGCGTGGAACGGCGATCGGTGCCGTCGTCGCACGGACCGCTCGGGGTGATTGGAGCTCGATCTTCTTGTCGGCGGACGTGACAACAATCGGTGTGCAAAGTGGGCTGCTGCTGCTGCTGCAGCCATTGTTGTGCGGTGCCGTTGGTGGAGCAGAGTTTGCTACTACTGCTGCGGCTGCACCAGCGGATGCTACGGTCGAGTTGATGCGCACAATCACCCGTGTCTGAGCTCCATTCTTGTCGCGCAGCACTTGCGGGGTGCCGCCGTTGGAAAGGTACCGCACAACGCGCGCGAGATCCAATCGGAAATTGACATCCCCGAAATACACTTGGCAGGGCTTGTCGCTCGCTTCGCAGCGCTTCAGCACATACTTGAAGGCACGAACACGATTCTCCGCATACACGGACGGGCTCTTTTCCAACGCGACAAGATTGCTGTCGTCATGGAAGAGATGCAAGTTGATCAGATCGATCGGGACGGGGCTCGGGAAGACCCATCGAGTGCGCAAAAAGCCCTTGCGGGACCATGAACACTGTGGGAAGAAGGATTCGGGGAACTTCTCGTGCTGCGTGAGCTCGTAATGCGGTGGATGGGGCGGCTGCGACTCTGCAAAGAGCTCACAGTCTTCGGGAGTGGGTTGGTTTGGAAAGAAGGAGCCGTCGTCGCCGAAAAATCCTGCACAGCGCCGTTGGCTCCGAGGCGGCATGCTGCACTCAATTGGAAGCGGGATGTACAGGTTGTGCGCAAAGTGAAAGCATCGCACCTCGCCAACGCTCCGGTGAATATAATACAATGATCCGAGCGCGGTGAAATAGGGTGTGGTAAAGTCGCGGTAGCAGTGGAAGAGTCGTCGATCAAACTCTTCCAGCGCAGGCGAAGCATCGAGCAATTGCAAAAATCCATCCACGAGCCGCATGCCCGTCTTGTAGGACTTGCCGCCCACCTCTTGCATGTGGATGGCTACAAAATGAGGCTGTCTCTCGGCAATCGCTTGCGATACGCTTGCAATCCATTGTGGCAGTGTGTGCTCGGTTTCCTCAAAGATGGATCCGACGTTTGCCGTGATGAGCAAGAGTTTGATCCCTCCGTTGCCAGCAGCTGGCACTGTCTGTTCGACAATCTCCATTTGCGCAGGCAAGAGGTGTGATGAGAGTGTGTCTTTTCTTGTGTGTGGGTCAGTGAGTTGTTGCTCCTGTTGATGCAAACTGAGAACCGAGAAACGAGGCTTTTTGTCAGACCTGTTGTCGTCGGATGAACAAAAATGAACAGCAACAATGGCAAGCAGTGAGTACCAAAATTGAAGGGCTCTCAATGCAAGGGGTGCTTTGATCTCCCCAAATAAGTAGCCGAGAGAGAGAGGGGGAAGGGCAAGGCATCCCCCAAATGCCCCAAATGGGGAAGTGGGTCCTGGCAACAGCGAAACGACGGATCGTCCGGTGAAACCCTCAACGCAGGTACTGTTGAGTAAAAATCAGCCTCCAACTTTGTTTCAGCCCAAAGTGCGTGCCCCCCCCCCCCCGTTGCGAGCTGGGCGACCGAGACGAGACGAAGGAACCTTTTGTCTGAAAAAAATAAAAAAAATTGAAAAACCGCACTGTTCCCGTCTCGGTGTTGCGGGGGCACCGTCTGGCCACTCGCGCCACCTCAAACCTCTCGTGTACATGATCAACACCAAAGCAATGTTGCCGCGCGCGATGTTGACATCGACCCCGAAACAACACTCAAAACAGAGTAAGGTAAAAGTTTTAAACAAAATAATAAAAAATAATCATCAATTCAAAAAATCGAGCGAATGCCGCTGTTGTGTATGTGGAGAAGAGCAGGCGAGACGAGGAGAGCGCGACGACCGGCAGTTGCAAACCAAGGAGGGACTCGCAAATCAACTGGCAAGGGCGAAAAAAAAAAACTCGGCTCTGAACGCCGTCGTCGATAACAATCTCAATTCAAAAAAAAAAAAAAACGAATAAAATCGTAAAAATCCCTATTGCACCGAAGCAAAAAAGCCAGTCCCGTGGCGCCAAGCCAGACTGCTGGCGCAACGGGTGATGATAGACGGATGGAAGGATGGGCAACACAAAGCGCGGGCGATTGGACAGCGGGAGAACAGAGAGCGAGGCAGCTTGGGGGGGGCGGTCTGATTAGCGAGCGCGAACAGTTGGAAGAAAAAAAAAAAAAAAAGACCCAGATGGATTTCGAATCGCCCACACAGCAAACCCCCGCGCCTCGCTCTCCCCGCCAACCCCCCACTCGTAGACACTAGACGCATTCAGCGTGTGTGACGAGAGGCAGGGCGGGAGATGCGCGGGTTGGCGATCGCCGAGCCCACAAAAACAAAATGCGGTGCGAACCAGAGTGCCATCTGTTCCCAAGCCGCTCTGCTCTCTCACGCACGAGTCCTCTCCTCTCCCCCCACTGACCAGCACCAGCATCACACCCATATCTTTATCCAATGGTCTGAATCTTATGCTGATGAGGGCACGCACAATCAAGTCAACAGCGCATGGAAACCCCAAAGGATCTAACAGAATTACACACAGAAAAACACCGAACAAAAATAGAGTGCCCAACCTTTCTTCTCGATTGCAGATTTACAGCATTGCTGCAGTTGTGTGAAGACGATGGTGTGTCATGATGAGGATTTAAGCTCGGTCAGCGTCAAAATAAACATCTAGCCCGACTTAGACTGCACACACACAACAGCCGTCCCCTTTTCGAGGGTCCCGGCAGATTGTGAGTGTCCGGATTATCTTCCCACTGATTTTGCACTGATTTTGGGACCCCCCCCCCCTCTCTGGAAAAAGATGTTTGAATTTGTTTGAAGCTTGGTTGATCAGTCAAACAGTGCAAGTCGGGCTAGCAACCAACCAAAATGTGCTCGCTTTGCTCGTTCGTTCGTTCGTTCGTTCGTGTTTCGATCTCAAAAACGCGCACAACTTGGACATGCCATGCCGCGTGCCATCAGAGCATCAAGCAATCACTAAACTGTCCACCTGCAACAATTCAACACCCGGCGATGTGTTGTGAGGTGTGCTTTTTGAAACCATGGCTCCATCTGTCTGTTTCTCTGTATGCACTCCAACCCCCTTTGTGAAAATCAACCGGAATTAAAATTGTTTCTTAGGCACTGCTTGGTTGTCAAGTCCCGAACCGGCCGCTCGTTCTACTCGGATTAAATTGGTCAAACTCGAATCTTTTCAGTCCATCTTTGTGTCTCATTCTCCACTGATTTTCTGGACTGATTTTTGAGTTTTTTTTTTTTTTTTTTCTGGCACTGTCGCGTCGGTCTCCGCCACCCCTGTCAGCAAGAACAAACTCATTCTTCCTTTCATTTCAAAAGCCATGATCTGATCAAGCTCCCTGATGACCCGCCACAATGTAAGCGAGCAGAACGAACACTGCGATCTTTTTTTTTTTTTCTCTCTCTCTCTCTTTCTGTTCTGTTTTCTCCTTTTTCTCTCGCCTGGCTGCTGTCGCCTGGTCACTCGCGCTGTCCTTTGGCGTTGTGCTCTTGTGCAACAAGTCTTCTTGTGGCTTGCTGCGCGTTGACAGCGCTCTGCGTTCCCAGCACTGCTCGCTCGCACGCGCTGACCATGCGTTCAAAAAAGCACATGGCGATCTCTTTTTTTTTTTTTCAATGTTCTTTCCTTCCTTCTCGTTTCCGTGTTGATCGTTTGATCCTCCACCAGAGATGATGCATACAAAATTTAAAAATTATACATGTTAGACTTCTGAGCAAACACAGTGCTGACAACCAAAGAATGCTGATCTCTTCTGTTCTGCTTTTTTTTTCCATTCTTTCCTCTATTACTTTGGACTCTTTTGCCTGATTCGACTCCATCTCACTTCATACTTGTCATATCGATTCGATAGGTCAAACGTGCCTGCGAAACAAATCACGCGTCGGACGACGGGCTCGTCTGCGGCGCTGCCTGCCACGCTCGACCAAGACATTCTGACGGATGCTTCCACTGCGGCAGCTGCGGAAAACAGCTTTGTGCACGATGTGTACAATGCCATTGCCGATCACTTTAGTGACACGCGCTACAAGCCGTGGCCCGTGGTGGACGGGTTTCTCGGCTCGTTGCCTGCCGGTTCGCTTTTGGCCGACGTTGGCTGTGGCAACGGCAAGTACCTCGGCGTCAACCCATCAGTCATGGGCATTGGGTGCGATCGCTCTGATGCCTTGATTGGGATTTGCAACAACCGCGGCTTCGAGTCCCTTGTGGCCGACAACCTCAGCCTTCCGTTCCGGAGCGGCCTGTTTGACGCCGCCATTTCCATCGCCGTCATTCATCACCTCGTCACGGAAGAACGACGCTTGGCAGCGATGGCAGAGATTGTGCGCTTGCTCCGCCCTGGCGGTCGGCTGCTCGTCTTTGTCTGGGCGCTTGAGCAAGACAAGTTTGGTTCGAGCAACACCACCCAGGACCTCTTTGTGCCCTGGAAACTCCGGTCTTCGACGCCCGCGGCCACTGCAAGCGTCGCTCCGTCGACCGCACAAGAGCCACGCGTTTTCAACCGGTTTTACCATCTCTTCAAGAGCGGTGAGCTGGAAATGCTTGCCAGTCGTCTGGCAAATGTCCGCGTTCTCCGTTCTGGCTACGATCGCGACAATTGGTACATTATTCTCGAGCGCCAGTGAATGAGGTATGTGTTTTTTGCGTGATGTCCTTTTTTCTTCTTCTTTTGCACAAGCCAAAATCCCAAAAGGTTATTGTGATGACTCTGCCGCCTTTTTCCCCCCCCCCCCTGGCTGGAGTACATCCTTGACCTTCCCTCCGCAATGTGTTTTCCGACCCATGAAGTACCTGTACGGTGAACGGAGACAAGCGGAGGGATAGCAATGCTCCGTATGGAGTGCGTCGAGACAGACAAGGATCGCATGCAGTGCTTCAAGCACACAAAGCGGAGAGCCCTTGCAAGGTTTTCCACATCTTTGATGCGGCGATTCTTCACGTCTTCGTCGAAATTTTTCCCTTCACTTTTGTTTTCAACTTTGTTTTTCTTTTCCCTGCCTATTCTCATTCTCATGTTCGTATCCTCCCTCCCTCTCTAGATCAGTGATGGACAGTCGAACTGGCCGAAGCTTGATTATTTTGACGGAAACAACAGGTAATTCACAAATCCCCCGTGTCTCTCTCTATCTCTATCTCCCCCCCCCCTTCTTTCTTCCTCCCTCTTTTCCCCCATTTCGGCCAACTGCTGCATGTTCGTCTAGTGGACTTGTGGCTGGTCGGTTGGATTCGATCCAGCTGCTGCACATCTTCGGGTGTGCAACAATATGGGGCACATTAAAACCGTCATTTAAAGACGCTGGTTGTTACGCGCACATGGACTTGTCCATCCCACGCACGCCCGCTCTACTCCGATGCACTAACATTTCTTTCATTCACGGTTGTTGTTTTTTTTTTCCGCTGTCTTTTTGTTACTTGCTCTTTTCAACCCATCTCTTGTCTCGTTACTCACTCGAAATGATTTTGGGCTTTTTCTTTTTTTTTGCTCTACTGTAGTGTACAACACTGCCGTCAAATCACCGTTCAATATGCGAGGTGTTTTTTGAAACAAAAAACCAAGGAACTGAATCTCGGTGGCCCTCGACTTGCTTCATGCGCTATCCAGAGTTATTCTTGCCTGGTTTTTGTGCTCCTACCATGTGAATACACTATTAGATTGTTTCTCTTTCATGTCAATACGAGTCCAGTGAATGGATGAAAAAAGAATGGATGAAGCGCAAAGCAGGTCCGACCCGTTTGCTCGTGTTGTCATACCGCACCTCACATTTCCCGAGCCTTATATGAAATCTCATCGCATCAATGGATAAAACGAGAGGAACGAGCAAAGAGGAGCGGGAGGAGCAAGAAATCCGATTTTGCGATGAAAAGGTTGAGCCAAGTTGATAAATGTCATGTACTTTTCAACACACTCTGCAGTGTCTTTACAACCAAGCGAGAAAATTGCATTACTACAACACATCTTCAAAAAGAACTTTACTCTTCCAGGGAGACAAGCCATTTCTCTAAAAACGCATTTGAAAAAACAAAATGTCGAGCCGTTTTGTCAACTTTATGAGCGCGACTCGCAGTAGCGATGCTCGTAAAGCCACAAGCACCACTGCAGCGCCAGCCCGTGCCGGAGCGCCTTCTAAAGTGTCATCCTCTTCCGCAACCGGCAGAAGTGGGACTATTGGTATGAGTTTTTTGGTGGTTTGGAGCTTGCCGTTTGATTGCTTTGGCGCGGTTTTTGGCGCTCAAACCTGCCCATCTCTCTCTCTCTCTCTCGCCCACATCCTCACAAACTTGTCCCCCTGCTTTCGAGTGCACCCTTCTTGCTTTTGTGAATGTCAATCCTTGGCTTTACAAAGAGCAGCTTGTTTGCAAAATCCGAAACACCGAAAGAGCGCTCATTTTGAAATCTCTGTGAAACAGTTTCAAACGCACAACCGACACCCGCATTGCCTGGTCGTCACCACGTCCCCAGCCAACCAGTCTCCAATTTGCACAAGCCCGCGCAACGTACTGCTGTTCCGCCTGCACAGCAACCCAAGGGACGCCTGCTTGGGCAAGCGGCTGCTCGGCGGGCAAACAGTAGCGCCGTTGGCCCAGCCTCTGCGTGCGGATCGGATCAAAGCTTCCTGTCGACATCAAGTGCAGCAGCACCTGCACCACGAACAAGTCAGGCATCTGCTGCACTGCCAAAGCCGGCACCAAACTTGGCTCTGCTTGCTGCGCGAGAGCAGCGACAGAACGCTGAAAATCAGAGTGAAACCCTGAACATTACCACTCACGACCAAAGCTTTGACGCTCATGATTTCGATGTGAGCGTGCGCCCAGACAGGAATCGCGTATCCAACATTTCGCAAGGTAGCCTATGTGAACGTTGTCTGGCGCGAGTCGCGTAACTCTGGGGTGTCGCCATAGTGTTTTTCACTTTTTGATTGTTTTGAGTTGCAGTCTCGATTGATAGTCTGGCCATGCCATCGCCGCCTCAAACAACAGCCTTCATGAAGGCGTCAATGACAGCCCTCAACCCAAGTTCACCTGCAGACCGAATGAGCAACGAGTCTCCAGCAATGCTTGGCACCCCACCCAAGACGCCTCTGTTGCGCGCACGCTCTGCGCGGGTGGCCCAGACGATTCCCACCGGAATGGCAGCAAGCTATAGCAATCAAGACAGCGATGGCAACTCGCCAGATTCCGTACCCTCTGGTCCTCATGACATGGAGAGGTGAGCCCATTTTTGAGTTGCTTTGCTAACAAACCAGCAGTGTTTTTTGTTTTTGTTTTTGTTTTTTTTTTCCTCACTTTGTTGTCGCTTTACTCGCCGTGTTCTGAACTTGTCATAGTCCGGACTGGACGTTCTCTAGCCCGACAGTCGTCCCGATGATCATGCCTGGTCAGTTCAGCATTGTCGACGCTCGCAACGTTGCATCCAACTTGGATTTGGACATGTCCCCTCTTCAAGTCCAGTCCGTCGTGGTTTTGCGACCAGAGAGCCTCGACACGGAAACTCGCTCTGCCGTCCGCTCGGACAATGCTGTTGTGGACACTGTGCCTTCGGAGGAAATCTCGACTGGAGGTAGCAGTGAAGACGAGACGGTTTCCGGCGCGGTGGCCGTCTGGACGATCGAAGACCCAACAGTGACTATGCGACTGCCCTGCCTGCCTGCTGCGGTTCCAGACCCGGTCAAGCCCAAGGGCGTACTCGCACCAACAGGAACCGATCTCAACATGACCGTGTTCGCAGACGTGGTTGAATCCGATGACGAGCAAGACGAAAAGCCTACTGTCGAGACACGCACGCGCTTTGAGCTCGGTAGTTTCCCAGTCATGTTCCGAGTACGTTGCAATTCAGAGTCGGATTGGAGTGGTGGGTTGGTTTTTCCGAGTGCTGGTTCTCACGACGCTACAAGCTGATGGTACTACTCCCACAGACCGGCAAAGGCTCGGAGCAGATTACTAGTCTATACCGTTTGCTGGAAGAGACAGACGGCCCTCTGGTAAGTTGTCGAAAGCCTTGGTTGTTTTCCCCGGATCGGAGAGACCGCTTTCCTTCGCAGCTCACAAACCCCTTTTGTTTTTGTTTTTTGTTTTTCTTTCTTGGCCGATTCGCAGACAATTGATAGCCTTTGCACCAAGCTCGAGTTTACGCGCGAGCGAGTGGCGTTGTTGGTTGATGTGCTGCATTCGCGCAAGTTGGTGGTGCGCATGCGATCGGCAGGCGGTCGAGAGGCGTTCCGACTTGTGTGATTGTTTCGCGTGATTGGGAGCTTGTTGAACGATTTCATGTGTTGCTTGCGGGTAGTTTTTTTTTTTTTTTTTGTGCGTGTTTTGGTTGTTGTTATGTTGTTGACTTCTGTTGTTAATGCCTTGGTGAAGAAAAAAAACGCTTTTGGGTTGAAGATTGCGGTGTTGTTTTTTTTTTTTTCGTCCTCGTTCACCGTGTTTCTCTCCATTTCTATGTCGCTGATGTTGTGCGGATCGTGTTCTACCGTTTGCAACGCGAGGGATTGCATGTCAGCCGGTGGATGCATGCCCCGATCCACTTTCTGAAAACCTGTTGGAGCAGAAGTGTGTAGCTTCTGTTTTTTTTTGTTTTTTTTTTTTGTTTTTTTTTTTTTGGTTTTTTTTTTTTTCCCGTGAGCTGTCATTACCTCGTGGATTGATTGTTCCGGTGCGAAACATCACCTCACAACTCTCGTGACAGCATTTTTGTGTCCCGGCTGATTGCGATCTTAGATGAACAAGATGCGGATCTAAGATGAATGAGAGACCCAATCTATCCTTTTCTTCATTTTTTGCAATATTTTTTTTTTCCTTTGCTTTGTCTGCTTTCGCCACTCTTTGAATCTTTGCTGACTGACTCGCATCACTCCGTCGTCCTTTCTCTCTCTCGCTCCCTCTCTCTCTCTCTCTCTCTCTCTTGTGCTCTTCACCATGTCGCACGAACGGCAAACCATGTTCAAGGAACCTGAGAAGGAGGCGAGCAGCAGCAGCAGCAGCCGCGCGTCGTCCTCGGCCTCGTCGTCCTCGTCAAAGAAGAAGCCGGAGGCTGCGGTCAACAGCACCGCGACCGCCGACCTGGTCCAGAAGAAGCTCAAGAAGTGCAAGAAGGAGGAGGCGACGTGGCTGGACTTGAGCGAGAGCGACCTCGCCATCCTGCCTGCCAAAGTGGGCGAGCTCGTTTCCGTCACTGAGCTCTACCTGTACAACAACCGGCTCGCCGCGCTGCCCAAGGAGATTGGCGCGCTGGTCAACATCAAGACACTCGGCATCAGCCAGAACCAGGTACGTTGCCCCTCAACGCCGAGCCAGCCGACCCAGACACACTACAAGCCCCCAAAGCGTCTGAAAAAACTCGAGCAGAAGCAGCGAAAAGATCGGAAAGAAAAAAACGGTCTTTTTTTTTTTTTTTTTTTTTTTTTTCCTTGTTCTTCGTGGATGATGATGATGATGATGGGGAAGGGAAGGGGACGGAAGGAATGAGCCTGTCGTTTGAGTGATACTATTGTACACAGAGGACGTTGAGTCTCACGTCTCGCTGTTGTCGTCTCCCCGCTGTGATCCGGATGACAGTTGTGTATTTTCATTATTTTTATTATTTTTATTTTTGTTTTTTTGTTTTTGGCTGCAAAGTGCATTGCGTTCCGTTCTGCACGAGCCATTGCGAGTTTTTTTTTTTTTTTTTTTTTTGTTTGTTTGATCTGCTTTCTTCTGCTTGTCCAACGTCGTCAGTCACACTGCGCTCTTCCAGTTCTCTCCGTGTCGCTCTCCTTTTTCTCTCTCAACTCCTCCCCGTCGTTTTCCAGGTGTCCAGGTCTTCTGCATATTTGCATGATACGTGTCACCAAAAATCACACTGTTTTTTTTCCTTGTTTTTTTTCCTTGTTTTTTTTTTTCTTTGATTTTTTTTTTTTTTTTTTTTGTTTTGCTTTTCCTTGCCGACCCATTCGCACCCTCACTCATCACAAATTTCCCCGCCCCCAACTCCATCGATGTTGAGTTTCGATCGCCATTGGAGTGAGAGTGGTGTGATTGCCACGCCGTTGTCGGTGCAAAGTGTATGCGTTTTGGTGTTTGTGGTTGTTTGTGGTTGTTTTTGGAAGGCAACAACACAAAACCAAGCAATTCTCAATACCACTCCCCCCAAAAAGACCCGTCGAGACCAATGCGAGGAAGGATTGGAATGCTGGGGAGGAGGAGGGAGGAGGGAGGTGGGGTAGAAGCGTGTACGCAATCACTCCACTGGCTGCTGCTCCAATCTATACTGACCAAAATCAATGCGTTGTTATCACCCCCAGCTCACATCCCTCCCAGATGAACTCGAGCTGCTCAAAAACCTCAACGTCCTGGATTTGCGCCACAACAAGTTCACGGAGGTCCCGCCTGTCATTTATCGAATGAAGCAATTATCAAAGCTCTACTTGCGTTACAACAAGCTCACGTGGATTAGTCACGACATTGGAAATCTGACGGTAAGGGTAGTTTTGACTGACTTCCTGATTGGAAGCGTCGGCGGTCTCACTTGCTTTTTTTGCTTGTTTGTTTGTTTGTGCGTTGCGTTGCGTTGCGTCGGGTATTGCCAGGGCTTGAACATTCTTAGCATCCGCAATAACAAGATTACCGAACTGCCAGCATCGCTTGGCAACCTGGCAGGGCTCCAAATTCTTGACTTGATGAACAACTGTCTGACCGCATTGCCAAGCTGTATGTCGCTCCGTTTCTGCTGCAGTTGCCGCTGTGATCAAGCTTGTTGTTTTCTTGCTGTGCTGACTCGAATTCCTCCTTGTCTTCTCAGCGATCGGGAAACTATCGCGCCTGTCGTCATTGAATGTCGAGTACAACAAGCTCGAACGCCTGCCTGAGGAGATTGGCAACCTCGTCAAGCTCAAGCACTTTGGTTTGCGATACAACAGCCTTGTTGAACTGCCGCTAGCCATCAAGAATTGCGTCTTGTTGGAAGAGCTCAATGTCGAAGGCAACAAGCTTGTCGTTTTGCCCACCGGCATCCTCTCCCAGCTCGTTAACGTGAACAACCTCCAGCTGTCGCGGAACAACTTTACGACCATTCCTGCCGATCTCGGTGCTCTTACGAAGCTGGAGGTAGGTCCAAGTTGGTACTGCTATTGAAATGGTTGTTTTTGTAGTCTATTGTGCCATTCCTCACGCTTCTCTCCTGGACTTTTTTTTTCTCTCTTTCCTCTCCGATGGTTAGATTTTCAACATGGATAACAATTCCGTTCGTGAAATCCCTGCTGGAATCTTTTCATCGCTGAAGCTGTTGGGCAAGATCAACTTGAACTACAACAGCATTACCAGCATTCCGAACGACATCGGCGATCTTGTGTCGCTTCGAGAAATTAATTTGGGCTCAAACAAGCTTGAACTCTTGCCTGGTATGTCTCGAGAAGGTTTGTGTTTGATGATGCTTTTCCAGCACTCACTTGTACCGGATTTTTCCGCGCTGTAGAGACGTTGGGCCAGCTGGTCAATTTGGAATCGCTTGTTCTCGGGAATAACAACTTGTCTGCCCTTCCGGAATCCGCCTCGCGACTCGTCAAGCTGCGTGTGCTGGACTTGGAAGGCAATAGGCTGACGCGTCTGCCTGAAATTGGCTCCCTGGCTGCCCTTGAGGAGCTGCATGCGCAAAGCAATCGACTTACAGCGCTCCCCCAGAGCCTTGGGAACTTGCACGCACTGCGTCTCTTCTACGTCGGCGAAAACCAGTTGACAGAATTGCCCTTGAGCATTGGTATGTTTTAGACCAGGGAGATCATCGGCCATAGCCCTTGTCATTCGAAACTCACATGCACCCCCTTTCTTTTCGTTCTTGCTTATTTTCAGGTCAACTGAAATCGTTGACGTCGTTCCACGTTAACGACAACCGCCTGTCTGATGTTCCGTGCGAACTCGCAAACTGCCTCAAGCTGCAGCTGCTCAACCTGGACGACAATCCGCTGACCGCCATTCCTCCAAATGTCACGTCTGGCGGCCCCTCGGCTGTTATGGTTTACTTGCGCAAAAAGAACCGGACTAAAGTGGAGCAGGCCAAGCTCATCAATCCCGACGCTGTTCTGCACATTGACGAGCACGAGCTGCCCACTGTCTCGCGGCCCGAGCCCATCACCAAGGCCGAGATTATCGCCAACGATCTTGGGTTGCTCGAGGACTATCCCCAAAGCGACGAAGACGTCAACAAGCTTTATTCCGACATTGTTTCAGACGGTGTTTGAGCAAAAATCGTTGTCCAAGCGTGATTTTTTGGTTGTTTTTTTGGTTGTTTTTTTTTTTTTTTCGTTTGTGCCGGCGCCCAAGTTGTTGTTGTTGTTGTTTTTGCTTGTGCCGCAGTTCTATGTGCTGTATTCTTTCTTGTGTGAGTGAGTGCGCGATCGTGAGCGAGGCAATTTTTGTTTGGCAGTTTTTTTTTTATGTGGTTTTTCTTTTCTTTTTTCTCTTTTTTGTCTGCCTATTGTCAGTGCATTGTATTCATTTAACAACTCGTTCATTTTTTTGAGTTGAACGTATCATTGAGATTGCTAGATCTACTGTGCAAAACTTATTGTATTATCAGTGACATTCGAAACACAAAGTACAACCTGAAGCGATAATTCTAAAGTCGAATTATTGGGATTTTTTTTTTCTTAACAAAACGTGAGGCAACAGAGACGCCTTCAGCGAGAAGAGAATCGTCGCTCGATAAAGTGCGCCAGAGTGCCATCCTTCATGCCAATCTCGTAGTCGAGGGCAGCAAGCACACCAAGCTCGGAGCGATGAACGTGGTCGGAGTGCATGCCGGCAACAACGCTCCACGCGCCAATGGAATACGCGCCGTCAATCAACAGCTTGAATGCAATCATCATGCAGCCGAGCACAATCAGTCGCTCGCTGCCGGGGCAAAGCGTGCGCGTGCCTTCCACAAGGAACGTCGACTGTTGGAATGACGCGGCAAGCTGCGCAGAGCTGACGGTCGCCTTTGCCCCATATGTTGAGCCCGAGGCGTGGCCGTGGGGCGGAGATCCCGAAAGTAAGCCCAGCGCGCCACTGGTCAGAAACCCGCCGGCAGCCGGAGCGGCAAACGTCAGAGGGCTAGACGTGCGCGGATCCAATCGTTGAAACAGCTGCACCTTGTCGACAAAGCGCTCGACAAAGGCCAGGCCAGTCAGAAAAACTGAGCATGCAATGCGACCATCGCGGACAACCTTCTTGGCGAAGTTCCGGAACGACTCAATCGTGGTCGCGTCCGAGGTGGCCGACGCGGTGGACAGCGTTGGGCAGATTTTGCACAGCATGCGCACCATGACGTTGGTGCCCTCGTCAAGAATGCGATCGGTCGTCAAATTGTACTTGGCCATGGACTGCAGCACCATGGCTCCACTCGAACACGACGGGAAGAGCGAAAAGTGCATTGCCGGGGTGGACGTGGCAGCACCCATGGATGCAGAGAAGGAGCCATTGCCGTGGTGCCCGTTGAAAAACCCGGCCGAACCCGCCGATGGCGACGCGAAAAAGACTCCAGACGATTGGTACGATGAAGCAAGCGAAGGGAAGGCCGACGTAACGCGAGACGGGTTGTGAGGAGTGGCGGCGTCCGACAAGGGCGAAACCAACGCGCTGCCATGATCAAGCTGCTGCACGCGTGAAAGCCCAGTCGAGCTGCCGGGAATGGCGATGGCCTGCTGCTGGTGAGTGGGTGAATGATGGGCCTTGGGCGAAAGTGAGCTTGCCGTGGATGATGTTGCAGGTTGTTGCTGTTGCTGTTGTGGTGGTTGTTGTTGCTGCTGCTGTTGTTGTGGTGGTGGTGGTTGTTGTGGCTGTTGCTGCTGCTGCTGCTGTGGTGGCGGAAGTGCATTTTGCAAGACGAGCTTTGATTCAATTGAAGCAGTTGGCAAGGCAGCAGCATCGGGCTGGCGCAGCTCAGTCGCAGACAAGCTACTTGGAAGAGGGTGGCGTTGTTGCTGCTGTTGCTGTTGCTGCTGAACAACTTCCAGCGCTTGAGCAACGCGGGAAAGCGTGGCTACGGTCGATTTTGAGGCAGATCTGGTCATGGCAATGCGCGACGCAAGGCCAGAAGAGGCCTCGGGACCCAGGAAGGCAGACATGGAGCTGGGCGAAAGGGGCGCCGGATGCTGCTTCTTTGGTGGAACAAGCGAAATGGAATCCACTGCGACAATATCGTTCAGCGCTGCCAGGTCTTCGGTATCGCGCTCCCAGTGGGCATAGGTGGCATGAGCACAATCGAACAGGAGACGATCCAAGCTGAAACCTCCAGACAGCGCTTTGAGGGGCGCGGTTTCGTGGCTACCAGCAGTGGGAAGCAGGGAGAGCGACGGCGGTTTGCTCGAAGCGCGCTTCCTTGGCTCTACTGGCAGCCCAAGTGAAGACGCGGCATCTGCTGCCGAGGCTTGTGGTGCGAGTGCCGCGACCGCATCAGCGGTAGTAGTGTAGAGTGGCCTGTCCTCGTCGCAAGCCAACGACGATAGAGCGTGGCCACTTGCGACGGCGGCGGCGGCGGCCAGATCGTCACACTCGAGCACTGGCGCATGCTTCATTGTCGGGGTGCTGGTACCAGACGTGGACAACGACAATAGGGTCTGCTGCTGAGAATGATGCTGCGTCAGGGCGGGGAAGTGGCTGTGCTGTCCCGTGTGACGCGAGGAGGTGGATGTCGGCGTCAGTTGGAAGACTTGAGGCAGGGCCGAGTCGCTGCTGCTCGAGGTTCGCAGAGACGCGGAGCGGGACAGCGAGCGATGGTTGCCGGATGAGGATGCAGTGGACGCACCGGCACGCGAATCGTACCAGCTCGCCGTTGGCGTGGATTGTCGACGAGCAGGCTCCACCCCGAAGGCGTTGGCCAGCGAAGTCCCGTACACCTGAACAAAGTGATCGCTGAGCTGCGGCTGCCGATGAGGATGCTGCAGGTGTCTTTGATGTTGGTGGTGTGGGTGCTGGTGCTGGTGCTGGTGCTGGTGGTGATGATGATACTGCTGTGCGTGCTGCGATGGTGGAGACCCTACCAGGGGTTCGGAGGGAGGGGTGAGCGCTGTAGCGGTGGTGTCAAAACGCGACATCATCGCGGCGGCGTTGTGCCCGTCCAATGCTCCAGGCACCGCGGCGCGATTGGCAGTAATGTTTGCGCCATCGTTGATGGTTGTATCAGCTGTAGTTGTGGTTGTGGTTGTTGTTGTTGTTGCGGAAGCCGATTGAACTGGCTGGGGAAAGCAGTCAGAAGTCGCAGAACCGTCCGCCGACGGAAGCGAGGTGGACGACGTGGAAGAAGGTTGCTGCAGTCCCGATGGCGGAGAGGTGACCGGCGTATCGAAGGGCGCCGCAAGAGTTGAGCCCTGGGTTGGTGCGTTGGATGAGGCGGCAGTAGCAACGGAGCAGGCAGGGGCGAGAATTGACGCAGCAAGAATTGACGATGACGAGGACGACTGACAACCGTCCATATTCGTCAACAGCAGCGGAACGAGGGCAATGACACTGGACTCGTTCGGGGGCATTTCACACCGTGACCACGAAGCGTTCACTGTCCTTCAGCGAGCAGTTGTGACAGAACGCTAAAACGTCCGAGTAGGAAGACCCAAAAAAAAAAAGCCCTTGGGTGCTAAGAAATGTTGCACGCGGATGCGACGCTGCTTTGGTTTGAGAATCGAGACGACGACCTGGAGATGGAGATGGAGATGAAGACGACGAAAATGGGGGAAACGAGTCTGACGAAAACGCAGAGAATTGAGCACGAGTCAGTGAGCATCAACCCAAATTCATGCAATAGTGCACATCGCAGTACTCTAGTTTTGTGTTAGGACATTTTTGGGATGCCCTGCACGTGCTCCCCTTACGAACATGATGCCTTGTGCTTTTTTTATTATTATTGTGATTCTTATTATGATTATTGGTAGGGAATGCGTTGCGCAGTGCAACAGGTGCAGCAGTGCGAGGCTTGCGCACCGTGCTAACTTTTTGATTCTTTCTTTCTTTCTCTTTCTTTCCCCTCCCCTTCTTTTCCATCTCGCCCTTCCTCACTTTGATTTTTGTCCACCTCCGTTTTTTTTCTTCCACTCATCTGCAAATTTTAATCATGTCTTTTGCGTTTTCCGTCGTCATGTCTTTTTTTAAAAAAGTAAATTCGCTTCTTCCAAAAAGCCGATCGTTTTTTATTCAAACCTTCACGTGAAAAGGAAACTAAAAAGTGCGCGTTTTGTGTTTGCTGGCCGACCATTGAAAAGGAGAAGGTTTGTGCTCAGTTGAAGCAGCTGCAGCAATGCAAGGTCAAAGTGGGGAGCGGGGAAGCGAAGAGCACAAAGGGGGGGAGGGCATCGGCCGACGCTCAAACTGAGCAGAGCCAGAAGAACGGCCAGCACCCTTTCCGCTACCACCGCGGTACTTCATCTTCTTCATCTTATTCTTCTTGTTCACCTCCTGTGCTCCTCATAGCGAAGGAGCAACCGACGACGCTCTCGTCTTCCATTTGTCACTCGACTGAGGTTGACAAGAAAAACCAATACAAAAACAAATATAAAAAAATAAAGGAAAAAAAGTCGACCGCTACTCGTGATGGGGAAAGGGTTCGGTCGCTCTGCTGTTCTCGTTTCGCCGTGTGCGCTTTTGGTAAGGAGAGTCCAAACATCCTGGCAGTAGGACTGCCACTCGTGCGCACGAGATAGAAGAGCGCAGAAAGGGGCCGGGGACGCTGCCAGTTTGCAGAATTCTGCGTCAGCCACAGCCGTTTCTTAAACCGCCCATTGCCCCTATCCCCCCCCTCTCCTGCGCTCACTCTCCTGCACTCCTGCTGCTCTCACTTCCAAGTCTCTCTCAATCTCATGTCGTTGTGCTCGCTCAATGGCAGACTTCGCCCCCTCTCGCTCATAGAAGAAAAAAAAGCCACACGAAAATTGCGCGGGAAAACAGTCAGATGTCATCTCCTTCAAGCGCTTTTACCGAACAAAAAAACCAAGAAAAAAAAAACTGAGATCCAAACAAAGAGACAACTTACAACAGTAAGAATACGAAATTGAACAAAAGGACTGGAAAAGAAACGTTTGCTGCTGACCAACCTGCCAAGTGCAATGCAAATGCAAAAACTCAGGTGGCTTCTCTGTCATTCCACTTGAGCTGCTTTGGACTGATTCAATAGTCTCAGTGGATAGTTCCAGAATAGCATGGGCATCCTGTCCTGGTCCTGGTCCTGGTCCTGGTCCTGGTCCTGGTGGCTATAAATTACAGCAGTCCCATTGGGAATTCAATGCAAGGCTCATCCATTGATTTGCCTCAAAGCAACAATGCCATCCAGTTCGACAGCCCGCGTTAGCACTGAATCCTTTGATGTATGTAGCAACTCTTTTGCACTCTTCTAATTCACATTTCGTTGCTGCACATTGAAGCGGGGGGTTGAACGGCGCAATGCAACGCACAGTCCGGTTGAACAAGGAACTGCCGCTCCTGGCCTCGCAGCCGCCGCCTGGCATCTCCTGCTGGCAAAAGAATCCAGACCGCATCGACCTTCTTGAAGCGAGTAAGTCAAGGCGGCCACTGCTTTTTTGCTGGCAGTGGGGTGTGTGCGCGTGTTTTTGGCGCGAAAGTGTGGCGCGCAACCCCGCTTCTGCTGCTGCTGGTGCTGCTCCTGCTGCTCCTGCGGCCAGCGCGAGAGAGGCTGGATTCTTATGGTGTCGGCGTGGTCTAGCTCTGCGCCGCTGCATGCCTTTGACGACTGTCCAGCGACCGGTGGTTCCTGCAGCTTGACTCAGAAGCAACCGAAACCGTCTGTTTCACTTTTTTCCGTCATTCATCCATGAGCTTCCCAGTCACTCACGGCCGTTCTTCATTGTCATGGTAGATATCACAGGCCCTGAAGGCACTCCTTATGCATCGGGTGTGTTCAAGCTGGAGCTTGAAATCCCAGACAGGTAAAGAAATTCGCGTAAAAGCTTGCGCATTGCGCTCTATTTCGGGTTGCCGATTGGATCATCGACGTCGCATCAGCCAAAGCACAACAAGTACACACAGTCAACTGATTTGGCTGTTTTCTAATGGGCGCGCTCTTCTGCTGCTTCAGGTACCCGTTTGAAGTTCCGCAGACGCGATTTGTCACCCCAGTGCATCATCCCAATATTGATTCTGCCGGGCGTATCTGTCTAGACCTGCTCAAGCCGTATCCGAAGGTAGATGGAGCTGCTGCGACTCTGCTTTGCAAAATGTCGAGCTCCGACCTGCCAGGTCTTTTTGACTTTTGAAACTAACAACTTTTTTTTGTTTTTGTTTTGTTGGCCCTGCTCGCTCTTAACGCCTGAATCGTATTAGGGCTCCTGGAGGGCATGTCACAACATTGCAATGCTGCTTTCATCAGTCCAAATGCTGCTCGCCGAGCCCAATCCCGACGATGCTCTTGTTGCTGAAATTGTAACCTTTGTTTCGTTCTTGTGTGTGGTGACTGCCCCTTCCCCGTCACTGATCCTGAATGCTCACTCTCTCTTGTCCTTCTTCGTGTACTCAGGCACACCAGTTCCAGTTCAATCGAGCTGCCTTCGATGCGACAGCCAAGGCCATGACCCTGAAGCATGCCCGGAGCTCTGCGGTGTCCTCCTCTTCTTCTTCTTCTTCGTCGTCGTCTGCTGCTGCGCCATAGCGTCTGTTGCTCTTGCGCAATGTTTCCTTCCGTCCTGGAATGGTGTAAAATACAGTATCATAGGAACGCTTCCATCTTCTGGCAGTTTGCTTTGTCGAAATCGCGCTCAAATCGGTTCTCCAACCCGACCGTCGTGCCTGTCGAATTTCCACATGTTTTCACCCCCATTCAGACTCTCCATTCCCACTCGTCTTATTTTTTTTTTTCTGCAAACACTTTACCGTCATGCTTCGATCGCTCGCCTCGCTTGCCCGGACAGCGTCCTCTGCCACAGTGCCAACTTGCGTCCGATCGCTGCACTCGCCCGCTGCCGTCTCCCTGTCGTCCGTCGTGCCCACCTCGACCGCGCCTGGCAAATCGCCGCGCATCCTCATCACCGGTGAGTTCGATCTTGAAGTGACGACGTAACAGTGGAAGCGAGACGCAGCGACGTGAAGCAAAGTGCAATCCGACCACACACACACAACCACAGTCCACGCGCAGGCTCGCCCCTGCACTTTGCGCTCGTGCAATTTCTGCTCGAGTGTCAAGCAGGCTCCGTCTGCGATCGGTTTGGCGCTGCTACGCAATCGCTCGGACGCCCCTGTCGCGCTCTGCAGAACGAAAAGCTCCCAGCGAAACCGGTTTTTGCAGCAAAGAGATGTAAAAGAGGGAAAACCCCTCGTGTTGCTCTCCGTGACCACCGCGCTTCGTTCGCTTCCAGTCATTCACTCACTCGATTCACTTGTTGCGTTGGATCAGCCAAGCGTTTCGATGTTGTTTCTCTGGTGCTCATTTTTTTTGTGTGGCTCTTTGGGTTGGAAATCTCGCCAAAAAAAAAAACAGGCTCACTCGGGCAGCTCGGCTCTGAACTGGCAAAGATGCTTCGGTAAGAAAATCAAAAAAAAAAAATCAACACGATTCTGCGCTACGTCTGTATGGTTGCTAATGTTGAACACATTGTAGCGCCAAGTATGGCAAGGAGAACGTCGTCACGTCAGACATTCGCAAGCCCGACGTCCCGGAAGACGGTGAGTGGATGGGATACGTCGCACAGTGTGAACTGTGGCCATTTCGACAAAAACAAACAAACTGACACTGTTGCAACTCCATCTTTTGACAACCTCCAAATCGCGCACCAGGCCCATTCAAGTACATTGATGTGCTCAACTACCAACAGATGGAGGCGTTGATCGTCGACCACCGCATCGATTGGGTCGTGCACTTTTCCGCACTGCTCTCGGCTATTGGCGAGCAGCAGCCGGCCAAGGCACTTCAGGTGAACATCCAGGGCTTCCAAAACATTGTCGACCTGGCAAAGGTGCACAAGCTGCGCGTCTTTTGCCCGAGCACGATTGGCGCGTTCGGCCCAACCACCCCCGCCGACAACACCCCCGACCTCACGATCATGCGCCCAACCACCATCTATGGCATCACCAAGGTGCACATGGAGCTCATGGGCGAGTACTATCACAACCGCTACGGCGTCGATTTCCGCTCGTTGCGATACCCCGGCGTCATTTCGGCCGAATCGCTGCCCGGCGGCGGCACGACCGACTACGCCGTCGACATTTTCCACCACGCTCTTAAGACTGGCGAGTACACGTGCTTCCTCTCGGAAAAGACCCGTTTGCCCATGATGTACATGCACGACTGCCTCAAGGGCACCATGATGATGCTCGAGGCCCCCAACGAACAGCTCAAGCAGCGCGTGTACAACCTTGCCGCCTTCTCGTTCACCCCCGAGGAGATTGCCGAGCAGATTCGCAAGCACGTGCCCCTGAAGGTTGCCTACCGCCCCGATTTCCGACAGGCCATCGCCGATTCCTGGCCTCGCTCCCTCGACGACACCAATGCTCGTCAAGACTGGCAATGGTCGCACGACTATGATCTCAAGACAATGGTTGGTGAAATGTTGACCAAGCTTCGTCGCCATTACCCTGCTGTTGGAAAGCAGTGATGAGGAGGGTTTTGTGTGTGTGTGTGTGTATGTGTGTGTGTGTCGTGTTTGTTTTCGGCCCTTGTCCATTCACATCATTTCCATAAACATCTTTTCTTTGATACAATCACTTTTACTGTATGTTGTTTGACTACAAAACAAAGCAACGTTTTTTTGACACCAGCAGGGCTCAGATGACTTTGTCACGCCGCAACGCTGCGATTTGCTCGGGCGTATATCCGAGTACCTCAGCGAGAATTTGATCGGTGTGCTGCCCGAGCGTGGGCGGAGGCAACGCTATCCGTGCTGGTGTGTCGCTGTATTGGACTGGCGAGCCGGTCAGTGAAATTCGTCCGACTGTCGGGTGTTCCACTTGCTGAATCAACCCAGTTGCCAAGACATGCGGGTCGTTAAAGACCTGCTGCAGATTGTTGATAGGACCGCACGGAAGATCCTCGCGTGTTAACGCATCCATCCAGTGCGCGGTAGGCTGCGTTCGGAGCATGGCTGCGATGAGCGGAATGAGAACCTCGCGATGAGCGACGCGATCGGCATTTTTGGCAAAGCGCGAGTCCCGTGGAAGGTCTGGCAGACCCAGAACGCGACAGAACGCGACAAACTGCGCGTCGTTGCCCACCGCCACGACAAACTCGCCATCGGACGACTGGAAACTTTGGTATGGGACAATACTGGGGTGCGCGTTGCCGAGCCGCTTTGCCTCCTTGCCTGCAATCAAGTAATTCGATCCGATATTCGCCAGCAAGGCAACGGTGGATGACATGAGTGAGCAGTCCACGCGTTGTCCGCGGTTTGTGTGGGTGCGCGCAAGGAGGGCGGTCAGAATCGCGCCATGGGCGAAAAGCCCCGTCGCGAGATCGGTAATGGCCACGCCAACCTTGACGGGACCGCTCCCAGGTTGGCCGGTGATGTGCATCAAACCTCCCATCGCTTGGGTGACGAGGTCGTAGCCAGCACGGTCTCGGTACGGCCCATGGCGGCCAAATCCGGTCAACGAGCAATAGACAAGCCGCGGATTCAACGGCTGCAGGACACCTTCGTACCCGAGTCCGAGCTGCTCCATCTTGCCAGGCAGAAAGTTCTCGACCAGCACATCCGCAGTTGCCGCGAGCTCGCGCACAATCTGGACGCCTCGCTCGGATTTCAGATTCACAGTGACGCTCCGCTTGTTTCGGTTGGCCGCCAGAAAGTACGCCGACTCTGCCGCCGGTGCAGATGCGTCGGCTTGTCCCACAGCAGATGTATGCTGAGCACTCTCTGGCTGTCGGACGGGCACTTGGTGATTGTCGCGCTTCACGGCCGGAGCAGCGAACGGCGGGCCCCACTTGCGCGTGTCGTCGCCGCCGTTCGGGCTCTCAATCTTGATGACATCGGCTCCCATATCGCCCAGCAGCATTGTGCAGAACGGCGCTGCGAGCACGCGCGACAGGTCGAGCACGCGCACGCCACGGAGCGCGATGTTGGCTGCCATCGATGATTATAAGAATCTGAATTCTGAATCTGAATCTGAATCTGAGACAAGGCAATACAAAAGAATGAGTGAGACGAGTTGCGTGTCGTGCATTGGTGTGTCACTCCAAGTCAACAAGCCTGACAATGGCAAAGTCAACGGCGGAGCAGACTTGTTCCCAATGGGATTGCAGCAAAAACAAAACTCAATGCAGATTCGATGCAAACGAGTGTTCTGTGCCAGAAACTGAACGAATCACGGTGACTGCCAGCTCACACGATATTCAAGCAAGCAGACATCGCAAAATCAGACTCCTTCCATGCAGAAGAAGACTCCAACTGGAGACCGTTGAGCAAAACGACATTCAAACAACAAACCGCGCTCCTTCCAAGACGCAGATGCCTTTTTTTTCGAATTGTGTTTTTTACTCCCAACCATCTCCTCCAACCTAGTCATCGGTCTTTTCCACCGACGCGACCTTTTTGCTTGCTTGCTTGCTCCATTACAGGAAACTGAATGAATGAATGATTTTCATTCTTTTTTTTTTTTCTTTGTTTTTTCTTCTTCTTCTTCTTATTGTCTTCCCATCATGAGCTTGGCCACCTCGCTGAACAACGTCGCGCTGCTGTCCCAGCATGTGCTTGTGGACAACCAGCCTGCCATCCAGCCGCGGCCGATCAGCGTGCAGCTCAACGCGTCGCTGGACACGGCCTTTGGAGACGCAGACCTCTACAGCAACCTCCAGTCGCATCTTGCTGGCGAGGCTCGCTTCATGCGCAAAATGGTACACTTCCCCCGCTCTCTCTCTCACTCTCTCTGCACTCTCTCGCATAGGTTCAATCACCAAGTAGTGGGGACGGAGACCCGCCTCCCAACTCTATTGAGACGAGACTCTTGAAAAGCATCGGTTGAAAATGGAAAAAAAAAAAAAAAAAAAACATTGTTTTGTTTGATTTTGTATTGGAAAACCGGTCTCTGGCTTGAAGTGGCAAGTACCGCGACTGGTTGAGGGGAAGAATCCAACGCAGCGACCAAGCTCTAGTTCATTGGGAATTGGAGCACGGTGGAGGTGGTGAAGCGACGCGCGCGATGGCTGACTACCGATGGGAGACGCGGCTGAATGTTGACTTTCACGGTGCTCCGCTTCAGCTCTCCTGCTCCTCGTTCATCATCACCCATCATCATTGTCGTCGTGATCGTTCCTGCCATTCTGAGCGTCGATGCAGTGCTGAGCCAGACTCAAAACGGCTCGACTCGATCCAATCAGAATAATAGAATAGAAATGGCAAAAACAAAAAAACAACCATTTCTTTCCAAACATGAAAAATTTTGTTTTTTTGTTCTCTGTTGCTGAATTACTGAATGCTGACTCTTCACTCACATCTGAATCAACTCACTTGAACAACTACTCTGTGTGTGTATGTGTGTGTGTGTGTTGTCCGCAGTATGCCAATGTCGATGAGGCCATGCGTTACTTTGGCATCATTTATGCAACTCGCTCCTTGTCCAAGGCTCTGCCGCAGGTAACGCCCTTCAACAACTTCAACGAGTTGGTGCATCAACTGCAACGGTTGCTCTCGTTTTTTGCTAACTGGTTGCTCACTGGCTGTGTGCAGGTCAAGACGCAAGATCAACCCGATCGCGTGGCAATCTACGAAAAGACGCACGACATTCTGCGCCCAGAGGTCGAGAAGATGAAGGAGTTTATGCGCTTTGCCAACCGCGCTTGCGCCGAGCTCGTCGAAGTCATCAAGTACCTGGCTGCCATCTACAACAAGAACAAGGAGCCCATCGTGTCGGAGCCGCTCCTGCTCTCGATTGTGCACCTCCTCAACGGCTTCTCCCTGCTTGATAACATGAAGAACATGAAGACAGCCTGGAACAATGACTTTGCCATGTACAAGCGGTAAGTTGGTTGCGTCCGATTGTCCTTTTTGTTTGTTTGTTTTCGTTGGGTTTTTTCGTTTGGTTTTTTTTTTTGCCCTCAAAGCATCACACTCACCCCACCCCACCCCCAACCATTGCGTTGTTCGTTGTTTTTTGTCATTGCTGCAGTGCTTGCACCAATTTGAAGCGCATGGACGAGGGCGAGACGATGGAAAACCAGCACTTGTACCTGTTCCTGGCAAACCACGACTGCATCTCCACCAAACTTCGAACGGACGTTGTGGGCATTGACGGTTATGTTGAAGTCCTGACGAGCGTCGTCAACGTGTGCGTTGATTACTATGAGGAAGATCAGTTTGCGCTTCCCGACGAAAAGTACGCGCTTTTGCGTGCCATGGCCTTTTCGCTGTCCATGATTGACGGTAACGACGAGAAGACGAGCATTCTTCGTAACAAGCGTGTCAAGTTGGACCGTGCCCTCAAGATTCTCCGAGTAAGTGTTTTGGTTGGTTGTTTGGTTGCAAAACAACTGAGTTTGCTGATTTCCCTAATTCTTTGCGTGCGTCTGCCTCGTTTGCTTTACCAGAGCTGGCCAATCATTCCGCTGATTGGCGACATGCAGATGGACCCGTCTGCCTACATGAAGCATGCGCCGCATATTGAGCGCAGCAAGCTGCAGCCGGAAACGGAGGATGAAATCCTGAAGCTCCAGACAAAGTACCGCATCATCACTTCGCTGGACGGTGAAATTGTGCGCTTCAAGGACTACATGAGCAGGTTTGCCATCTTTTCCAACCAAGTGCGTGCGCAGGAGAATTGGGAGCCGGCGCCGGACTTTGACCTCCTGGCGCTCGTGTTTGAGGGCATCAAGCTGCTCTCGAGCTGGACGACGCAGATTCACGACCAGGCCGCCTGGAAGTATGCCCATCCCGTCGACAAGTTCTCCAATCGCAACTGTCCCGAAACCGCTGGCGAGTACGAGAAGCTCGTCAAATACAATTACTCGCTTGAGGAACGCTTTGCCTTGGTGGAGATGATTTCCATGATCAAATCCGTGGCTACTGCGCTTCAGACGGTCAGCGCCACGATTGCGCCGCTCATTCGTCGCTGCATTCACCGCGAGCTCTTCACCTTTGTGCAAAACACCCTCCTGGACATTACCAGCCACTCGATCAAGAAAAAGCGGCCTTCGCAGTCCGTCCTGGTCATGATTCGTGATATGCTCATGGACGCAAAGGCCGTCATTGAGCTTCCAGACGAAGACGACAAGAAGAAGAAGAAAGGGCCTGCTGGGCCATCGACCCCTGTCACCTACCGCGCTTGTGCGCCGTCCTCCACCCAGCTCAACTATGCTCGCGTGCTTCTCGAGTCCTTGTACAACGAGAAGGCTGCCGGCATGAAAGGCACGCTGATGAAGGGCAAGGATTATTCCAGCCAACAGATTTTCGAGATGATGACCTTCTACAAGCGCTCCTTCTTGTATCCTTACCTGCTTGATCTGGACAGTATGTATTTTTCGTTTCGGCCATTTTTGAGGCTGTTTCGAGGCCGTTGGTATGCTTTGATTCGGAGAACTGACCCGAGGGGGGGTATCTTGCGTCTTGTTTTGCAGAGTCCGTGTTGGCCTGCTCGGATCTTTCGGTTCTTTGGTTTAAAGAGTTTTATCTGGAAGTTACTCGCTCTGTTCAGGTATGTTTGCTAATCGTTGCAGTTTCTGATTGCTGCTGCAACTCACTCGAAGGTCTGGTGATGTTTTCTACTTCTTTTGGGGGTGTGCTTCCTATTGCTGCTGCAGTTCCCGATTGAGCAATCTTTGCCTTGGATTCTGACCGACTCTATCATCGAGTCGCCATCGGGCACTGCAACCGAGTACATGCTCGTGCCCTTGGACTTGTACAACGACAGCGCCAACAGTGCTCTTTGGGCGCTGAAATCTCGCTACCTTTACGATGAAATCGAAGCAGAGGTTTGTGTAGAACACTGTGATTGGCAATTGGTGTGGAGCATCGCGTTCTAACCTGTTGCTGTTGGGGTTTTTTGTTTTGTTTTGTTTTTCGCCTTCATCCTCCACCAGGTCAACTTGTGCTTTGATGAGTTGGTCTTCAAGGTCAGTGAAGCTGTCTTTACCCACTACAAGACTCAAGCCTCATGGTAAGCGGGCAACCTGACATGGCAACACGAAAAAACACATTTGTCGTGCGTTCAACTCACCGCTTCGTTCTGCTCTTGCTTCGACACCCCAGCATCCTGCTCGATAAGGCGCTGAAGCATGTACTCGTCGCCAACCATGTTGTGCGTCACTTGGACGTGCCCACACATCGATTTACCTCGTTGCTTCGTCAAAAGCATGTTCAACTGCTTGGCCGCACGATTGACTTTTCACAGCTGATGGCCCAGCGCATGAACCGCCTCTTGCGCTCCAGCATTGAAATGGCTATTGGTCGCTTTGAGGCGCACGAGTTTGGCACGGGCATTATGGAGCTGGAAGGCCTGCTTGACAATGCTCGCCTCACGCACAACCTTCTGTCCGAGTTCCTGCCCCTTGATCCGTTTGAGGACATGCTGCGCGAAGTGGACGATGCCGTCGATCTGACCTTGAACAATGGTCGCATTTTCTCCCACGTCGTCATGCAACTCATCTACGACTTCTTGCCCAACTACTCGTTCAGCTCGGGCACCCAGCAGTTTGTGCGTGCCCCGATTGAGCTCTCGCAGACGCAAGTGGAGCGCGATGCCATGCCAAAGATCAAGCACTCGCTGCTGTTTGGCAACAAGTTTGTGTACCAAGCGATGAGCAACGTGTACGAGCCGTTCAAGGAATCGATCGGCCTGCAGCAAATTGCGACCATCATCCGCGTTATCGGCCAGGACAAGATTGGCGTGCTGATTGACGAACTGCTCAAGAATGTCGAAGTCCAGCTGGTCAACATGGTTTGCCCGTACGTTGAATCCTTCATGCGCGGCATCCCCGTCGACATGAAGACGCCGCTCTTCCAGTACGGCACGTTGGGAACCTTCCAGTACTTCCAAGCACACTTGAAGCCGATCTTGGCCTACCGTGACTTGAAGACGGAGGTCTTCCATGTGTTCCGTGAGCTCGGCAATTCGCTCATTTTTGCCCGTTTGCTCGATCAGTCTATGGTGAGTAGCACTTGATGTTTGGTGGTTTTTGTTGTTGTTGTTGTCAAAGTGGATGGTCAATTGAGCTCACCCAAACCCCTGTCCTCCTCCCCTTCCCCGTTTCCCCTTATTTCGTTTGAAATACGCAGCTGCAACGCGATTTGTTCACCTATGTTCAATCTTTGCCATTCTACACGATCGATCGCTCTGGTGGTACGTATATTTCCGCCACTAATGAGGGCTGAGGGTTTTTGTGTTGTTTCTGTTGGTTGAGAGTGTGACTTGTGGATTTACTTGGCGACATGTATGCGTGTGTGGCAGTGACTGTTCCCTCCACCACGGGTCAAGTGGATCCAACTGCCTTCTTCAAATTCGTCACCACGCATCTCCAAGGGCAGCCTTTCTCGGAGTCTCTCGGTGGTCGTGCCGAACAGGCCAGCAAGCTCAATGCGCCTTCCCTGGCACGCAAGTCGCTGTTTGTGCGCGTGCTTGAGCGCTTTGATGCCTTGTTGGCCCCTGTGCGCGAAAAGTGGCGCGGATCCCGGCCCACGAATGGCATTCTCAACATTGACGAAACAAGCGAATTCTACCGCCTGTGGAGTGTGTTGCAGTTTGCCTATTGCACACCTGGTGCCAAGACGGAATTTTCCACGCAGTAAGTCGTGTCTCTTCAGTTTTAAGGGGGGGGGGTTTGCTTGTTAGCAATCAACAGTGCAGGCAACTCAGCTCGTCGTTGTGTGATGTATTGCATTTGGCAGAACGCTTTTCGGTGAGGGTCTGCCGTGGACTGGCTGCGCAATCATCTACTTGCTTGGACAACGGGTTCGGTTCCAAGTCATGGACATTTGCTACCACATCGTGAACGTTCACGCTGTGGACGGTCAAGTTGGCAACATTGGCAGCATGGTAAGTGATGAAGTCTTTGTTCTAGAAGCGACTTGTCTTTAGTTGTTTGATTTTTCCTTCTCCTTGTGATTCTCAACACGCGACCGATGTTCGTTTGGTGTAGAATATTGTCGATTTCATCCAAGAAGTCAAGAACTACCAGCGCCTGAACGACTCGATCTTTGCGACGCTTCAGACGTTGTTGCCCGATCGTGATCTGCACGGCAACCGTTATGGTGTGGCACATCCTCCTCTTGACACCAAGAAGGTCCCAACGTATGAGTCGTATGATGGGGAGCACGGCACCGCCGTATCTCGAAAGATTGAGGTACGGTTTTCGAATGAGATTGCGTGTTGACAGGGTTTGTCATTTTGTGATGTGAATTTTATGTTGTTCTTTGTCCTTGGCTCACTCCTTTCCCCCCCCCCTCCTTCACGGACGCTTTGCTACACTCTCAAAAAATAGAAAATCGAGGCTGGCTCAGGTGTCGAAGGACATGACACGCGCGTGTAATCTTGGCTCAACCCGCTCTCAGAGCCGGTGCAATGCTTGTGGTTGTGTCTATTTCACTTGCTTTTGCAGACATCGTCGTGCTTTGGCATGTCTGAGCCTTTTGTTTGTTTGTTTGTTGTTGTTGTTTGATTTTCTGTGCAGTGCATTTTGCGTCCATACAATTATGCCTTTTCTAGATTTTTTTTTCTTTGCAGCCAGCACGAAAACAGCCAACCGATCAAAGCCGGTCTATCAATCGAGCACTAATATATTGTAATCTACAAAAGCAAGATGGGTGACATTACAGCGGAGGCGGGATGGAAGGCATGGACGCCAACTCACGATCCAGGGTCTGAATCACGTCCATCAACTTGGACAGCTCCTCCTCGGCATCCTCGATCATGGACGCTCTGGTATCGCCAGAACTGCCAGAGGCAATCTCAAGGATGTTGCGAAGTTCGTCGCCGATGATTCTGCGCGTGTCGGCAAGGACGCGGAGACGATCTCGAATCTGTTGCTGACGAGTCTGCTGAGTGTTGACAGCGTCGCGATAATACGTGATTGACTCTTTTGCTTTGCTGATGGAATGTTGCAACACTTTGATCTTTGCCTTGTCGGACTCGCTGATGGGTGCGTCTGTCTTGCCTTTCGCGGGGGCGGACTTGGCAGCTGGGGAAGCAGGTGTCGGCGCAGAAGCTGTGGCTGTCGTCGACGACGGAGCTTGGGCTGTTTGATGGAGTTTTCGCTGGTGCGGGTTGCTTTCGCTGCTGATGCAGCATTTGGAGGAGGTGCTGGATGTGGTACTGGACTTGGCACTGTTGGCCGCGGCCCCAGAGTCAGACGTCTGCTTGGTGCCTTCTGGCGGCAGCTCGGATTCCGAGATTGTCCATGTCAAAGGAAGCCGCAATCTCTTGCAGCCTGACAGGCAAAGGGTGTGTGACATCGCAATGCCGGAACTCGTCAATGCTCGGTTTCAGAAGCTCGTTGAATGTGCGCTGCACGCTTGGATTGGTTGCAGCTGTTGTCCGACGACCTGTCTTGGACAGGCCGCCGCAGTTGAGTCGGACGCCTGCGGGCGCCGTGGAGCGGATCTGGATGGTGGGCATCGTGTCACGGACTAGAGACTTGACGTCGTCGTGTTCGAACGGCCCGAACCAATGGTAGTTTGCCTCGGTCAAGCAGATCGTCGTTGACGAGCCGGCGGGGCAAGGAACGCCAAGCGGCCCGACAGCCAAGAATACGGACGAGCGCGATGTCGACGCCCTCACGGTCAGCATGCGGGCAATGCGCCGAAGAGACTCGCGGTTTTGCACGTAGGTCTGGGGCTGAGTCGTGCCGATATCGTACGACATTTGAAAGTCGGTGCAAACCTTGGCGAGATTGAGCTCGGTACAGCACAACGCAAGCATCCACACCAAGGCTGGCCGATCCATCAGTGATGCAAGCATGAGTGGAGACTGCCCGCTGGCGTTCAAGGTCATAGGGTTGGCACCATGGGCGAGCAAGAGGAGCAAGCGCTGGACGCTGGTGGTGTCGTTTGTCATGGCCAGCGCGTGCAACGGTGTCTGCCCGAAGGCATCCTTCACTTCCACGACTTTGGCAATGGGTCGATTGTTCGCGGCATCCCAGTATGGAAGCAGCAATCGGGCGAACGAAACTTCGTCAAAGTAGGTCATGCTGCAAGCATGGAACAGGGCCGTCCGCAGCGTTCCCTTGTCTCGAGCTGGAGGGTCGACAATGTCAATCGGTGAACGCACGGAGGTGGTCAACAGCTTGGCCTGAAGGGCGATGGCAGCAAAATCAGACTCGTGACTGGAAGGGGCGTCGTTGTTGAGACTCTGCACTGCCATGCGAGGAACCTCGATAATTGCAGGAAGGAGCGGGACGTTTTGCGAAATGGCGCTCAAATCAGATGGCTTGCCCACCAGCATGGCCATGTTGGTCTTGGGCAACTGCACCCAGCTCAGTGGTAGCTTTTCCTGGCTCAACTGAGCAAACTCGGCAGTCCAATCGCGCTGGCAGATTTCGATTTTGTCGAAAGGGGCTTCCATTTTGCGGACGTGCGCACCTGATGCATTGGTTGGTTTGGGTGCATGGGGCTCGGCTGCTTTGGTTGGCGTGGCATTGCTTTTGTTGTTGTTGTTGTTGTTGTTGTTGTTGTCGGTGCCGGGAGCTGGAGTGGCGCTGGTGCTGGTGGCTGTGGCTGTGGCCGTAGTTGCAGCCGTAGCTGTAGCAGTGGCGGTGGCGGTGCTGTTGCTGCTGGTGGTGGGCTTCTTGTTGCTGTTGGAAGGGTTGGTTGGCTTGGTAGCTTGGCTGGCGCTTGACGAATCGCTGCTGCTTTTCGAGGATTCGGCGGGTTTCGCATTCTCTGCTTTGGGAGGCTCCGATCTGCCGCTAGCGGCAACAGCTGCTGGAAATGCAGCCGCCTTTCCGCCAAGCTTGACGTATGCGGCTTGGTTCCCGGCGTGGACAGCAAGGTCGAGGACGGTCAGGCCATACAGGTCTTTGGGTTTGACAGATGCGTGGGCGGCCAACAGTGTGCTGATGCTCTGGATCTGGCCGGCAATGGTCGCCTTCATCAGGGGCGTCTGCATAAAGTGGTCGGTGGCATTCACGATGGCACCGGCGTTCAGCAGGACACGGATGACGTCTTGCTTTGCTTGAGCGCTCGCGTAGTGCAACGGCGTGGCACCACTCTCATCGACGGCCTTGACCATTGCGTTTTGCTTGATCAGAAGCGCTGCGCATTCCGCATTGCCATGCAGCGCAGCCAGGTGCAGAGCAGTCACTCCGTCGGCGTCGCGTGCGTTGATCGTCTTGCCGGAGCCCGCCATCAGGTCGACCAGTGCTTGCTTGCTCTCGCAGGCGGCGCGGAAGAGCATCGTCGCGGCGTCCACGCTCTCTGTGACATGGCAGCCCTCCATGCTCCACCAGTAGTCCATGACCTTGCTCGACGGCAAGTCCGTCTCACGCGGCACGTGTGGACAGCTGGCGAGGGTTGGCAGGTCAATCCTGTTGAACGTCTTGAATCCAGGCAGCGACTTTTCCATCTCGAGTAGTATTGCTTGCCGTTGCTTGAGCAGTGCTTCACGCTCTGCGGCGGTTGGCTGGGTTGGCTGGGTTGGCTGGGTTGTTGGCTGGGCTGCGGCGGATCCTTGAGTGGCTTGCAGATTGCTGGCGAGCTTCCTGATGGGATCGGCGCGGCGGTCCATCTCGGGCGTGCTCATCTGCCACAGGCTGGCTGCAGTGATGAGGTCGGACGGGACATAGGTGCAGCTGGGACGGGGCCACTCGTGTGTGCCATCGACCGCCAGCACGAGCTCGTGGCTGTTGGCGTTGCCGCTGCTCGTGTTGCTCGTGCTGCTGCCCGTGCTGCTGCTCGTGTTGTTGAGTGTGGCGAGCGACGTCCGCGCAGTGCACGATCGGTACTCGTTGCGTGCGGAAGCCATTTTGGGGGTGAGGAGGAGGAAGCAGGCACAAAAACAACACAAAAGGAGAAGCAAAAACAGAGAGAGGAAAAGAGTAGGAAAAATAAAACGAATAAAAAACACAGTCAAGAGATAGGAACAAGTGGACTAAACAAACAAGCAAAAACACAGTCACGCAAAAACGAAAAAAAGATGAAGAGAAAAAAAAAACTGAGAAGCGAAGAATCAATGCAAAAATAAAAAGCGCTTTAATACAGTACAAATCGGTTGAGGCAGATCGGAGAGACAAACAATAAACAACATTAGACCAATCCAAAATGTCAACCAGTGTGGGACAGTTTGTGATTGTTTCTGCGAGCAGGCAGATCCCAGCCTCGCAGAGGAAACAGCAATAACAAACATGGAAAGTTGAACAGATCGATACAAGCAAAAGACCAAAATGTTTATTGTGCTCAAACCCGCGGATGAACAAGAACGGCGGGATTCGGTGTCCCTTGAGAGTACTGAGGTGCTCTGGCGCGGCCATGCTCGGAAATCGGAGCGTGCATGTGCTCTTGGATTAGGCGGTGGTCGACTTTCGACAAAACAACGAGTCTGCAACAGAAAAAATACAGAAAGAAGAGCCCAAGGCCAGTGAACGAACATACAGCACACACTGTCGTTGTCGTCGTCAACCCCGCAGTCAACGTCACTTACGGAGCTAGTTTCTCGGCCATGAGATGGATCTCATCCTCAATTTCGGGTATCCGCTCTGAAATGCCAAGTGCCGAGATTTCAACGAGCAACGAATCGTGCAGGGGTACGTCGTGAAGCACATTCGCCTGAAGAGGTTGGGCCGAAGTCACGTCGCCGGGCTGTGCCAGCCGCTGAATGCGCGAAATACTCACGTCCAACCGAACGCCGGCTGCGGTCAAATGGGAGCACAGCAAGCCGGTGCGAAGCATCTCATGGTCCATCCCAAAGCCTGTCGCTTCGAGCAGCGTGCGTGCAGCGCCACTTGATGCCTCCATCAGCATTCCTGCGCGAACGATTGTTGAGCGCTTCAAGGCGTCTGCAAATTCTGGCTGACCGAATGCGCAAATTTGCCTATTCACACATCCAAACCAAGCCACAAACAAACAAAAACAAAGTCGAGCAGGCAGAAAAGTGAGCGTTTGTGCCGCCGATCAAGCAACCCACTTGTGATCATTCTCAGAAGACGCTGCTCGCTAACGATCGCACCATGTATCCGCATCCAGATGGTGCCGCACGCGAAGCAGCATGCGTTTGAGCTCTGGATGCATGTAGCCCATCTCGTGGATCCTGAGCGGCCGCACGCTCGAGTTTGGCTGGATGCTTGCCAGTGAATCGACGTCCAATCCAGGCAGCAATTCAGCCATCCTCGCTGACGGCAACGGGGCAATCGGCGCGGCGGGATTGGCGCGACACAATCCGAGCAATCGCTGGAGCAGCGCGGGCAGCGCGGCGTCCTTGATGCTGTCATGTCCAGGCACACACACACACACATACACATACACGACAATGAGTGAGTGAGTCGGTATACACGCTAGACCAGACGATCAAGTGGCATGGCTTACCTGCCCTGCAGCATGCACTCGTAGGCGCTCGGTCCGTTGCCATCGGATGCACCGCTGCTGCCAGACGACTGCTGTTGCTGTTGATGTTGATGATGTTGCTGTTGTTGTTGTTGCTGCTGCTGTTGGGATGCTGCGACAGCCGCTCCAGGTTGCGGAATGGCACTGCTCGACATTTGACAGAAGAAAGCGTCTGAGAAATTGTGTGTGTGAGAGACTGACCATTGTGCACAAATGGTGGTTTGTCGGTTTGCGATACAGATCCCAAATCCATGCATGCTATCAACAAGGTTACAGCCACCTCAAAGACGCCGCTGCATACTGTAGGAAATAGTGCAAGAGCCCCCCGGAAACGCTGCTCCAGATTGCTCCCGATGCATAGTACAGTATGATCCTGTAATTCTTCATTCCTATTTGTGTGTGGCTACTCTTCATTTATTTGTTCGTGTTTGTGTGCGTGTCTGTGGGGCTGTGATACCGTTCTGGATTTTGCCAAAGTGTTGCATCATGGCTCGAAAGCGGCAACCGGCAACGACAGCAGATGAACCGTTTGCCGACGCCACACTGATCAAGCAGAGCATCCAACGCGACGACAGCAACAATCATCATCACAGCAATCAGCATTATCACCACGCCAAGCAACATCCGCAACATCCGCAACATCAGCAACATCAGCAGGAAGAGCAGGATGAAGTTGACGACAAGAATGACGACGACGACTTGGTCGGTTTCTTTGGTCCTGACGTAACAGCAGCGCCAGCATCATCGCGCAAGCCTAGCCAGCAACTTCAACATCAGCATCAACATCAACATCAACACCGTGCTCCACGACCACGCAAGCACAGCCACGAGCTCGAAGGAGCGTCTGCGCAATCCGACCTGCCGCGGATGGAATCTCCGCCGACGACAACGACTGGCGGCGGCGGCTCGGATGAGGATGCTGCTGCTGGTGCTGGTGGTGGTGCAGCCAATACTCCTGGGGGCAAGCAATCGCCGTCGTCGTCTCCGTACTCTGGGCTCCAGCGAAAGCGCCGTGCACGCAGCAGCAACAGTGCGAGCGCGGCCGAGAGTCCAGTCTGTGGATTGCGCACGTCATCGTCTCCGCCCAACATCACCACCACTACGACCACTACCACCACCACCAGTAGCCCCATCGCCATCGTGCCCACCCCTGCGAAACCAAGCAATGGCAGCTTCAGCGCACAAGCCACCAGTGCAAATGGGAATGGGAATGGCAGCTACGGCAATCTCGGCCATTCGCCGTCATTGAACGGTGGTTCTGCTGCTGCTGCTGCTGCCGCCGCTGCTGCTGCTGCCGCTGCTGCTGCCGCTGCCGCCAATTCATTCGCCCTGGCAGGTGGATCGGTCTTTGTCATGGACGAGGATGGCTCGCTGCGACTCCCGCCCGAAGTCGAGGAAGGCAATCACGAATACAAGGTCAGAAATTGTTGAAAAATCATTGAAATTTTGGCGCGCAACAGCCGAGATTAGAGCCAATCTTGGATTTCGAGCACAGCTTCAACAAAGCTCTTATCTTATCTTACTGTCCTTCCCTCGCAAATTGCGTTGCCGTTTGGCTGATCACCACCTGCATGCCACTCACCGAGATTTGCTTGTTGGGTTGCATGGCAGCTGAAATTGGGAACTCCGACAGACTTGCGATTGGAACACCTCATCACGCAGCTCAAGTGGCGGCTCGCGGAAGGCAAAGGCGAAGCCATCTACGAAATCGGCGTTGACGATGACGGCGAAATCGTTGGGCTCTGCGCTGAAGAACTGCGCGAGTCGATCAGCACGCTCCAAGTGATGGCGAAGCGCGTCAATGCAGAAGTGGTCGTGCTCATTCCTCGCGCCGTCTCTGAACTGGTGCGAATGGGCGAGGAGCAACGTGCATTGCAAGAACGTGCAGCTCTGGTGGCCGTGTCGTCGAGCCCCGTCGAGGACACCTCAGCCGCGAGCTGCGCTCTTGACGCAACAGAGGAAACGCTACTGCAATTTGAAGAGCCTCGCCAGCGCTCTTCTTCAACAACCACCACCGTGTTCAGTGTGGCGCCAACGAGCTTCCCGATCGCCTTCTCGACCACCTCCGCCTCTCCTGTGCATCCGATGAACAGCGGCTGGCGCTCACGGACATCGTCGCAGACGGAAGTGTTGAATGCAGAGTCGTTTCATGGCTCGCCGAGCTTCTCTGCCGCGCACCAAGTTCTACCCCCGACACTCCAGCTGTCGTCGTCGCTCATGGACCTGTACGCAACTTCGCCGCCATTTTCGCGCTCTTCGTCGTCAGGCTCGCTTGCAATGACGGCGGCTGCGACGGGCAACACCACTGGTCCTTCTGCTGCTACTGCTTCTGCTGCTGCTGCTGCTGCGGTGCTTGTGGCGTCGCCTGCCTTCGCCGCACCGCCGACTTTGGCGGCTCCATCTGGCGAGCGATACTTTGCCCAGGCTTTGGTGCGAAAGCTGCCCGAAAGCGTGTTTGAGGGCGTTCACACTACCGACACGGCGCGTATTGCCGTCCTTGGCGGGGTTGATGCTGGCAAGAGCACCTTGCTCGGGGTGCTGACGCACGGAGCGCTGGACAACGGACGAGGTCGTGCCCGTCTCAACCTCTTCCGTCACAAACACGAGATTGAGACTGGGCGCACGTCGAGCGTTGCGTACGAGCTGATGGGATTTAACGAGAACGGTGAGGCTATCGATTCCCGGCATTGCGTCGGGGTAGCCGGCAGTACCCATGAAATTACACTCGCAGGAAACACGCAGCCTGCGACTTGGGCAGACATCTGTGCATCGTCTTCCAAGCTCATCATGTTTATGGACTTGGCTGGCCACGAAAAGTACCTGAAAACGACAGTGTCCAGTCTGACAGGCCAACGCGCCGACTACGCGGCCTTGATTGTCGGTGCCAATGCCGGGGTGGGACGCATGACTCGTGAGCATCTGGGTTTGCTCCTGACGCTCCGTGTGCCATTCATTGTCGTGGTCAGCAAGGTTGATACGGCCCTGCCGCGCCATCTCAATCAGACCATGTCGCATCTCCACCAGCTCCTGTCGTCCCCAACATGCGGTCGCTCTCCGGTCTTGGTAGAATCTGCCGGCACCGAGCTGATGGAGCTGGCCACCACATTCGAATCTCAGCAGATTGTTCCCATTTTCAAAGTTTCGAGCGTTTCCGGCGAAGGTCTGGGTCTTTTGCGAAAGTTCCTGAGTGCCCTTCCAGTCCCAGCGCCCTTGGACGATGCAGAGTTCCAGCGCCCGGCCGAGTTTCAGGTTGAGGAAACATTTGACATTCCCGATGTGGGCGTGGTGCTGAGTGGTCCCGTGCTTCGCGGCACCATTCATGTTGGAGACGAGCTCCTCGCTGGCCCGAACGAAGCCGGGGAGTTCCAGCCTGTACATGTGACGTCCATTCATCGCAACCGGGTGCCTTGCCGTTACGCCAAGGCGGGGCATATTGCGTCGTTGGGATTGAGCGCCGGTTGTGGGACGCGGTCTGACTTTCGCAAGGGCATGGCGTTGGTCGATCCATCCGTCCACCCTACAGCGTGTCTGGAATTCGAGGCAGAGATTACGCTCGTATTGCCTGACACGGTGATTCAGCCGCGCTTTTGCTCCACCGTCCATGTTTCCGGCGTTCGTCAGGCGGGCATGGTTGTTGCATTGAACAACGCGGATCGCCTTGTGCCTGGAGATCGTGCTTCTGTTTGCATCCGATTCAATCGTCTTCCCGAGTATGTTCCATTGGGTGCCCTCGTGTTACTCTGCGATTCGCGAGCTCGGGCGATGGGGAAAGTCACCAGAATCCTGCCCTTCCGCCCTGCATCCGTGGCTGCTCCTCCGAATGCCACAACCGCGCGTCCAATTCCTCTTGTTTGATTGTTCATCGAAAACTGTGCTGGGTTGCGGGGTGACTATTTGCACTGGTCAACGAGGTGTGAATTGTCGCTGTTATCGTCGAATGAATGACCCACACTACATCTCAAAGCTGCAGGCATGAATTCATGCTGTTCGAACAACACTAGAATGCACCGTTGAACACACATTGTAAAATACACTTGACACAAGAACAGCATGAGCAACACTTCATGTTCACAAGCAGTTAATTGCTGGTAGAGTCGTCACTTGCGCTCGGTGGTGGCACAGTTTGAGTCGTTGGAGTCGGGGTCTGCTTCGAGTTGGAAAGCGAGCCAGAGAACGTGAAGGCAGGCAGAGAAGCTTTGGGCGTGCCGAATGAGAACCCAGGGGCAGCGGGCGCCCCGCCACTCAAGGAAGCCTTGGCTACAGGATCGACGCTGGCTGATGGAGTGGCAGCAGAACTGCCGAAAGCAAAGCCGCCTGCCCTAATGGTCGAGCTAGCAGCCGCCGGCGTGCCAAAAGCGAAGCCTGTTGCGGGCTTGACGGTATCAGGCTTTGGTGCGGCAGCGTCAGATCCACTAGAAGCGTCGGTTGAAACTGGTTTGTTATCGGCGGGTTTGGAGGGAGTCAAACCAGCAACTGGGGTGCCGAAAGCAAAGCCACCCGTCTTGATGGTAGAACCGCCGATAAGTGACTTGGTCTCGGGCGTGGCACTGGCAGCCACGCTCGGTTTAGCCGCAGGCGTGCCAAAAGCGAAGCTCGTTGCTGGCTTGACGATATCAGGCTTTGGCGCGGCAGCGGCGGGGGCGCCAGATCCACTAGAAGAGTCACTTGAAACTGGCTTGTCATCGGCGGGTTTGGAGGGAGTCAGACCAGTAGCTGGGGTGGCAGCAGAGCCGCCAAAGGCAAAGCCGCCTGTCTTGACGGTCGAGGCGTCGAAAAGTGGCTTGGTGTCGGGCGTGGCACTGGCAGCCACGCTCGGTTAGCGGCGGGGGCGCCAGATCCACTAGAAGCGTCAGCTGAAACTGGTTTATTATCGGCGGGTTTGGAGGGAGTCAGACCAGCAGCTGGGGGGGCAGCGGAACTGCCGAAAGCAAAGCCACCTGCCTTAATGGTAGAACCGCCGATAACTGACTTGGTCTCGGGCGTGGCACTGGCAGCCACGCTCGGTTTAGCCGCCGGCGTGCCAAAAGAGAAGTTGGTTGATGGCTTGACGCTCTCAGGTTTGGACCCACCCTCGACCTGGCTGGGTCCAGCTGGACTAAAGGAAGGAACTGAAACTGGCGTAGCAGCGCTTTGCGTCGAAGCTTTGGCTGTCGGCGTCCCAAATGAAAACCCTGTTGGCTTTGAAGCGCCAGATTCAACCTGGCCGGAGTTGGCAGTGGACACAACACTCGAAGGGTTGGCTGCTTTGCTCGGACTGCCAAAGACAAACTTTGAGTTGGATGGAGTCTCAGTGGCTGTGCTGCTTGTGGACGCAGAGCCAAACGCAAATCCAGCCTGAGGGAGGGCCGCGGTCGCCGTGGAAGGCGGAGCTTCACTCGGTTGGTTTGACTCGGAGGGCTTCTTGGCAAATTGGAACGTCAGTCCCGATTTTTTGGTCTCGGGAGAGCGCGAACCAGGGTTGCCAGTCTTGCGTGGGATGGGATCATCATCGGAAACAGCATCTTCACCAACAAACGAGCGCTTCACCCTCGGCACGAGTTCAACCTCCGAGTTCGAAGTCCGAGGTAGTACTGCGCTTGAGTCCGGAATCTTTGCGGCAACCAGCGAGTCGTGTACGGCTGCTTGATTTGGGACAGGGGCGGGACGCAGGGGCATGGCTGGCACGCGAGTTTGGATCGCAGCTTTTGATTCGCTTGGCACGGAAACCACTTTCCTTTCCGAACCACCTGCCGTCTCTGGCTTCGAAAGTTCGCCTTTCGATGCAGTGGAATTGTCGCTGGGAACAGCTCCCACAACGGCCGACGTCGACAAGGAGGGTTCAGCCTGAGTGGCGAGCGGAGCATTGCGCAAGGGGGCGCCGGCGCTCTCTAGTTTGGCCTCACCTTTCGGCGCAGTGGCAGCCCCGCTGGGAGTCGCACCCAAACCGGCCGGTGTCGACGAGGAGGGCTCGGCCTGAGTGGCGAGCGGAGCATTGCGCAAGGGGGCGCCAATACTCTCCGGCGATGTCGGTTTGGACGCGCTCGCCTGGAACTCGCTTTGGAATTGTTTGAAAAATCCTCCGCTGGCCAGTTTGGTGAAACTTTGTGCAACTTCTGTGCGACCTTGTGCAGCTCCCGCTGCATCTTCTTTGGAGGCTGGAGACTTGGGAGCTTCTGCACTGGTACTGACCGGCAATTTAGGCACATCGGGTGCACCTGAGCGGGGAAGGGGACTACTCATGTCAGCTGGCTTGGCGACAGGCTGGGCTTCAGATGCAGGGGACGTTTGATCTGCGAGATCAGCTTTTGGCGTCTGGGTGGATGCTTGAGGCTTCGGGATGGTTACTTCAGGAACGTCAGCGGACGTTGCAACAGGCGAGGCAGAGTCATTGCCTAAAGGAACCGCAGCCGACTTCGCCGTCTCAGATTCCTTACGACCCAGCACGGGAGCCGAAGACGACGCGAGAGAACTCCAAGCAGATGGTGTGGTGGTGGTGGTGGTGGTGGTGGCAGCTCCAAAAGTGGCACCCAGCCCCTGAGACGCATTACGAGCGCTGGAGGTCGGCATCAAATTGACACTGGACGAAAACGATGGCGCTGCTCCAAAACGAGGCCCACTCGCGCTATCAGGGCTTGCGGAAGAAGGAGCCGGAGCTGTGCGAGGAACCTGTTGCTGCTTGGGTGCAGAAAACTTGGGCGCCGCGAAAGCAACGCTGCTTGCGACTGGCACAGAGAACTTGGGTGCAGCAAAGGTAATTGCACCGGCAGCTGGCGCTGGTTTTTGCACGGCTGAAAGAAGAGATGGTTTTGATGCTGCTACAGTTGCAGACGATGAGCCGCTCGAAGGTGACTGCAATTTCAAGGGCGATGGAGCCTGAGTGACAGGTTGGGTGGGTACCAATGAGGTGGAAGCAGATGTGGTTGCGGGCACGTCCTTCGATGCTTCTTGTGCCTGACTTGCCTCCACGCTGCCAACAGAGGGTGCTTTTGTGGGTGTAAGGGCAGGTGCAGTTGCAGGTACAGGTGCAGGTACGGCAGCTACAGGTGCTGGTGCAGGTACGGCCTTTGCCGCAGGGGCAGCAGTCAATGCCGTGGTCGTTGGCAGCGTAAATGGGCGAATTGCTGGCAGACTTGTCGGTGCGCTTGGTGGAACACCTTGAGCTGCCGCTGCGCCACCAAGAGCAGTTGCTGCAGCACCTCCAAATGCAAATGATGGCATACCAAGCGGCTTGAACGCAGGCATACCGCTGGGTGCTGGCGCAGTCGTGCTCGGTGCCGAAGGCTTCGACTCGGGCGCTCCAGGTCGCTTGGTGCCGCATGCAACGCACTTGTCAACCGTAAGTTCGTTTCCAATCATGCACGACCCGCACTCCCATTTGCTCGCACGCTGCTTGGCCAGAATCGCAAGGATAGGGTTGGTCGCTGAGGACGCTTGCTCTTTCGCTGGCTCTTTCGCTTGCCCGGCCTCGACAGTGGTGGTCGCAGTTTCCACCTTTGCAGGCGCAGGTGCAGGTGCAGGTGCAGGTGCAGGTGCAGTTGCAGTTGCAGGCACAGGGGCAGGTGCAGGTGCAGGCGCAGGTGCAGGCGCAGGTGCAGGTGCAGCTGCTGCAGCACCTCCAAATGCAAATGATGGCATGCCAAGCGGCTTGAACGAAGGCATGCCACCGGGTGCTGGTGCAGTCGTGATCGCTGCCGAAGGCTTCGATTCGGGCGCTCCAGGTCGCTTGGTACCGCATGCAACGCACTTGTCAGCCGTAAGTTCGTTTCCAATCATGCACGACCCGCACTCCCACTTGCTAGCACGCTGCTTGGCCAGAATCGCAAGGATCGGATTGGTCGCTGAGGACGCTTGCTCTTTCGCTGGCTCTTTCGCTGGCTCTTTCGCTTGCCCAGCGTCGACAGTGGTGGTCGCAGTTTCCACCTTTGCAGGCGCAGCTGCAGGTGCAGGTGCAGGTGCAGGTGCAGGCGCAGGTGCAGGTGCAGGCGCAGGTGCAGGCGCAGGTGCAGGTGCAGCTGCTGCAGCACCTCCAAATGCAAATGATGGCATACCAAGCGGCTTGAACGAAGGCATGCCACCGGGTGCTGGTGCAGTCGTGATCGGTGCCGAAGGCTTCGACTCGGGTGCTCCAGGTCGCTTGGTGCCGCATGCAACGCACTTGTCAACCGTCAGTTCGTTTCCAATCATGCAAGACCCGCACTCCCATTTGCTAGCACGCTGCTTGGCCAGAATCGCAAGGATCGGATTGGTCGCTGAGGACGCTTGCTCTTTCGCTGGCTCTTTCGCTGGCTCTTTCGCTTGCCCAGCGTCGACTGTGCCGGCCTCGACAGTGGTGGTCGCAGTTTCCACCTTTGCAGGCGCAGCAGCAGGTACAGTGGCAGGTGCAGTTGCAGTTGCAGTTGCAGATGCAGGCACAGGGGCAGGTGCAGGCACAAGGGCAGGCGCAGGTGCAGGCGCAGGTGCAGGTGCAGCTGCTGCAGCACCTCCAAATGCAAATGATGGCATACCAAGCGGCTTGAACGAAGGCATGCCACCGGGTGCTGGTGCAGTCGTGATCGGTGCCGAAGGCTTCGATTCGGGTGCTCCAGGTCGCTTGGTGCCGCATGCAACGCACTTGTCAACCGTAAGTTCGTTTCCAATCATGCACGACCCGCACTCCCACTTGCTAGCACGCTGCTTGGCCAGAATCGCAAGGATCGGATTGGGCTGCACGAGCGGTTGAGCGGCAGATCCCTGCTGACTCGATGGCAGCTGGACTGGCTTGGCTGGACTAGAAGCGGCTGCACCGTTGGTAGCAGATGCATCGTTGGCAGTGGATCCTTTAACCTGCGACATGAGATGGGCGAGTGTGCTGCGTTTCCACGTATCGGCGCTGGCATTCTGGTCGGCGCTGGCATCCTGGTCGCTTGGAAGCTGATCAGAGCTCGAAGATGGGACAACTTTTGATGATGCAGGAGGGTGCAAAGTCATCCGCTTCTCCTCAGCACGGAGGCGAGGTTGGTTGAGAGATGCGACCGCGCTCTTGTGTGGGGAAAAGGTCACATCTGGCAAAGAACGGGATGAGGCAGATGAGACACCGGTTGAGCCTCCTTGATTGTTTGGAGGAATGAGACGGACGATCATCTGTGATTCGCCTGGAATCGAGCTTTGGCTCCCTTGCGCCAGCCGAGAAGCGGCTGCCAGAGTCAACTCGAGCAATGAGAGTAATTCAGTGTCTGCAGGTGGTTTAATACTCGACCGGCTTGGATCACGACTCGCCACCGATTGCAGCAAACCATTGAACTGCTCCAACGAAAGATGAGGCAAGCGGGAAGAAAGTACCTGCCATGCAGTCGACTGGTCGGCAACCGCCTGCCACGCCGCCTGAAGGGCAAGCATGCTATGTGTTGCAGCAAACAACGCACACTCGATGAGATTGTTGAAGGAACCTTCAATTGCCAAGCACGAGTCGGCATAACGAGCGGCAATAGAGAGGTGCTCGGGGCTCATGAGCGCAGGATCGTGAAGGGCATTGCCTTGGATTACGTCGCCGCGCAAATAAGATTCCCAGATTGCAGTGTGGCTTTCAGAGGAGAGCTGCAACTGAGACGGCAACTCGCTTTGCAAAACGGAGGGCTTGGCGGTCAGGCTGCACATCAGCACGAATGCTTCCATCTGCCATTGAGTGCTTGCAGGATGGTTTGCAGAGACAGCCTTGAGTACTGAATGCAGATACTGCGCAAACTCAAGCTCGTCATTCCCAAAGCTTGCTCGAGCATGCTTCACGATCCAGAGAAGCAATGAGAAATCAAGAGGACTTGCGGCTAGAGCTTGGTGGTCATACCACGACAGCTGCGTCATCGACTCGTCCACAAGACGAAGTGACAAGCGATGAACCAGCGTGGGCACCAGCTCCTCGAGGGGAAGCGGAGCCAGAAGCGTTGTGCGGCTGACCAACTTGCTGAGCGTCTGAAGCAGAGTGTGACGGATCTTGTCGTCCTTTGCTCGCCAGAAGGCAGGCGTGCATTTTTGCAACCGCACCACCACACACAAGCGCTGGCATGCGAGAGTAAACAAAAACTTGCGGAATGAGGCCGGCAGTTGGTTTTGCTCCGTCTCCGAGAGATCGCGCAAACGCCAGCCGGACGCGGCAACGACAGCGCAGGCAACAGGACTCTCCAGAGCAGGGAGGGACGAGGAGGCCGCCCATTCGAGCGAATTGATGGCATACACGATGCGCAGCCACATGCGTGCATTAAACTCTGAAGCAAGCGAGCGCCAGGCCGCGTGGGGAAACTCCGAAGGCCCTTCCATGCCAAACTTTCTGGAGAGTTGTGCGAGGGTTTCAAGGATCTCAGTCCAGCGGCCCAATGCTACGCACGCACGCGCAAGACGAGATTCCCATGTTGGTGCGGGTGAGGGCTGATGGTTGGCGGCATTGGCCAGCGCGCAGGCAGAATCTGCCGTGAACAGCAGTTGCTGGAAGCAGTCGCGAGCGAACGAGGCATCCAATACTTCGCGAACAGGGAGCCACTCGAGCGTGTGGATGGCGACAGCGCTTTTGATGCCCTTGGGGACCAGCTGACACATTGTGCTCGCACAGTGGTGGAGGAGATCCACGGTTTGCTGTAGTAAATCGACAATCAGATCACACGCCTCAAGACTGGAGGCACATTGGGGGGCTGCAGCAACACAAATGCTCTGCACCAGCGCCAACTCTGACGAGCACAGCGCAACCTTTCCCAATTCTTTGAGTCGAACAAAGTCACGCGGGTGGTCAGCCTAGAAACAAAAACAAGTGGAAGAGAATGAGCCCGGCACGAGTGAGCAAGTGATGTGCCTCCCCAGTCCAAGCAACACGAGAGCGAATGCCCAAAAGAAAAAAAAAACTTACGACATGCTTGAGGTGTAACTTGAGTAGCTGAGCCAACGCCTCCGTGTCATGGGTCAACTCGAAAAGTTGTCGCAAGGTCTCAAACACTTCCAGCTCGTTGAGGTCACTGGAGCGCACAGATGCGAGCCGGGTGGCGAACAACCTCGCGTGCCGCTCGAGCTCGGCCAAAGGTGCAGAGTATGTCGGTAGGCCAGCGCGAATGGCGTGATGGAGTCCAAGGACCGCCTTGATCGATCCTAGCAAGATACTGGCATCCTGTGCAGAATCGGCAGCAGCCATGCGCTGCACGAGCGCGAGCGCCTGCTCAACGCGCGCAACGCCAAGCTCGGCTCCGCTGTACGCCTTCACGAGCACGGCCGCCGCTCGCTGGTGGTGTGGGTCCAGCGATGCCTTCTTTGAGCGATTGTCTTGGTTGTTGAAGTAGTCGATGACTGGCTTCAAGCTCTGTATCCAAGTGTGAACAGAAGAGTGAGACTCCAATCGTCACCCCCCCCCAGCGCATTTCGAAGCGCCCCCACCCCCCCCCTCTTTTTTTCCCCTCAATCCTCTCAATCTCTCAATCTTTCAATCCCAGCGTCCAGCCATCGTTGAAAACAGGCAAAAAAGTAAAAAAAAATCCAAAAAAGCGAGATCTCAGCTTCTGCATCGACGTTGGGTGCTCGTGCGGGTTTTGCAGAGGCGGACTGAGCCAAGAAGCGGAGGGGGAGGGGGGGAGAGAAGGCGCGCGTGTTGGTTGATTCGGGGAGAAGAAGTCCGGTTGGTCTGGGTCCTGGACTGCGGCCCTAGGACTGGGAGAGGAGAGGATGAGAGTGAGCATGGGCATATGGAGTCTAACCTGGAGTGCATCAGCATGAGCGCCTCTTGCAATCAGCTCGGCGGCCTCGATCACCTGTGATAGTGTAGTTGCATTGCAAGGATGGAGTGAAATGAGCGTGTGTCTCTGAGGGAAGCAGCAGCAGCAGAGAACGGCGCTTTGGAAACGCGAGAACGCGCGGGCAGCAATGGAGCAGGGAGCAGCAACGCAACCACGCTCTCTCCATCCACACAAGCAAGAAGAGTCACACACCAACACGACAGATGACGACAGATGAGGATCGTAGGAAAGAGAGAGAGAGATGAGCGAGAGAGAGAGAGAGGTTACCTGCTGCTCGTATTGAAACGACATTCACAGCACACACAAAAAAAAAAAAAGAGACAAAAAGACTGAGTGGCTCAGACAGAGTCAGTGACTTGGATTTGAGAGTGGAAAAACCTGAGACTGAGACTGAGACTGAGTGCATCCACACTGTGGCTGACTGGTTGTTGATGCTGAGACATCCACTCGATGCATTTCATCCATGGATCGTCCTCGGTCCAATGTACCCCACCCCCACCCCCGATACTGTACTTGACCACAAGATGAACAACAGAGCGTCAACACTGCAAAATTGCATGTGCAAACATGACTCTGAGACAGTCAGTCGTCCCTTGGATCTGATTCGGCCTGTTTGGGAAGGGGGAAACGCATGGCATCAAGCAGCTCGCATGTGGCAGTACCACCACCGGCTGCGGATGGCGCAGCGCCGGCACGCACCACTCGTCCATCGTGGCAAGGCGCAGTGGCTGGCGGCGCAGGCGGGTGCGGCGCGGCGCTCATCACGCACCCGGTGGAGCTGCTCAAGGTCCGCATGCAGCTCTGGGGCGAGCTCGGCAAGACGACCGCCACAGCAGCCACCAGTGCCCGTGCATCGTCATTAGCACCATCATCATCATCATCATCATCATCATCGTCGTCGTGAGAGTCATCTCGTCCATCTGGCGCGAAAGTGGCGTCCTCGGATTCTACCAGGGCCTGGGTGCCTCCCTCCTGCGCCAAGCAGTCTACACGAGCGCAAGGTGAGGGTTTTGAGAGCTGGGAGGCATTTCTTTCCTCCACTGCATCACAGGGTTGCTTGGTTGGATCGATCAGAGTCGAGGAATCGGAGCGCTGATGTTCTGAGAAGCTGCACAAATTTGGCTTTCTAACACGTATCTGTCCGGGGGTTGTTTGTCTACTTGCGCAGGTTTGGCTTCTATGCCCAGTACAAGGATCTTGTCGCGCCTTGGTTTGCCAGTCCCGCGACGGTGACAGAGGGTCGGAATGACGGCAAAAAATCAACACGAGCGACGCAGGGCTTGCCAATCTACGCACAGATCGCAGGCAGCATTCTGTCGGGCGTTGGAGGTGCGACACTCAGCTGTCCTGCAGATGTAGTGCTGGTTCGAATGCAAGCAGATGGTCAGCTGCCGGTAGCGCAGCGAAGAAACTACTCCAACGTGCTCAACGGCATCTACCGGATAGCGCGCGAAGAAGGCGTTCTGGGTCTCTACCGCGGCGTTGGACCGAGCATGTACCGCGCAGCCACTGTGACGACCACCCAGATGGTGTCGTATGATATGTGCAAGGACTTTTTGCTGAGCACCCCATCCCTCGGCCTCAAGGACAATGTCACAACCCATCTCCTCTCTGGCCTGTGTGCGGGCGTCGTCACAACCATGATTGCATCACCCGTCGATGTGATTCGCACGCGCTACATGAACTCCATGAACGCTGTGCCTCAGACGCAAGGCACCGCAATCACGACAGCGTACAAATCAGCCATCGACTGCATGATCAAGACGGTACGAACAGAAGGCCTCCGTGCGCTTTACAAGGGCTCGCTCATTTACTGCGTGCGCGTGGTACCGCATGTAACGTCCATGTTTTTGATTGTTGAAACTGCCCACCGCGCTATGGATGGCTTGCGGGACCGCCAAACCGTCAACGATCGGTGAAATGCTCCTTCTTGAGATAGTCGTTTTGTTGACGGCTACAATTTTTCAATATATTCCATTATCTGGTTGCATTTTAGTCCTTCTCAGTCCCTTTTCGTTGCCCGTTCGTTGCAGTTGCAGTATGGGCAAGAAGAACAAGGCGCGAAACCGTTCGCACGATTCTGAGAGCGCTCAGGACGACACAAGCGATGCCTTCATCTCCGGCATCCAGCACGCCCATCCGTATCCGCATGCTGCAGGTGCCAGCGTTGGCTCTGGCTCTGGCTCTGGCTCTGGCTCTGGAGCTGCATCGAGCCCAGACAGCTTGACTGACTGTCCTCATGGTGCCAAGGCGCTGCGCATGTCGTCCGTCCGCCCGGCCATCAAGAACCTCTCAAAGCAATCGGACTTTGGCCAGTGCGAATCGTGTCCGACTCCTGCAGCCAAACGCGCTGGTGGTGGCGCAAAGTCATCGACGCCAGGCAGCGTTGCGCAACCGCAACCGCAAGCGCCAGCCACTGCGACTGCGCCTGCTGCTGTGCAGCCCAGCCTGCAGCCACCAAGTACGCCAGAAACTGCGTCTGACAACGAGCAGATCCAAGGGCAGCCGAGTTCTGGTTTGGCCGGGTCAGAAACACCTCAGCCAGCCACCGCGAGCGCTGCCAATGCGAGTGAATCGCTCATTGATCCGTCAAGTGCAACCATCACCGTCCCTAGCGTGGTGGATGGGCACGCTGTGCAACAGCAAACATCATGCGAGCAACCAAAGCCGATCGCCAACACGCCAGACACGGCGCTCGATGTCAGCAATGCGCACATTTTCATGTGCTTGACTTGTGGCGTGCGTGGGTGCTCGCGCTCAGATCCTGGGCAGCACGCTCTCGTACATTCGCAGGCAAAGGCATCGCATGTGCTTGCCATTAGTTTGCAAGAGCACACTGTTTGGTAAAACACGATTGCGCGATTTGACGCCTTCACTCTTCGTTCTCGCTTGCTTATTTCTGCGCGCTCGTGGTGGTGTTTGTATGTTAGGTGCTACGCCTGTGATGACTATGTCAAGTTGGTGCAGGGACAAGAGCTTCTTGGGGAGATCCGCGATTTGCTCGAGCACCAATGGGATAAAGCTTGCCGAAAAACTTGTACGTTGTGCAGATTCGTGTCATTTCATGTGTTGCATGTTTTCATTCTCTCTTGTGAGAAGAATGGCGCTTAGTGGCATTCTGCGGGGTGGTGGGGGGGGGGTTTGGATGTCCTGTCCTCATGGTTGTTCTTGATTTTTTTGAAATTGTGTTTGTCGGCTTTCCAACTTCTCTGCATTTCTTACAGCGACATTTGCACCTGGTGCCTCTCCAGCGACAGCCTCTCCCTCATCAGGAACCAAGGCGGCTGCCATTGTAGAGACGACGTCATCTGCTGGTGCCCCAAGCAAAGTCGGCAAGAGCAAACACAATCAGCCAGGAAAAGCGGTGTTGGTCGCGACCAACCTTGCCGCCGCTCCAGCGAAAGAATTGCATCCGCTGCATGCCCAACCCTCCACAGCCGCCTCTGCAAGTCTTTACTCGGTGGCTGCGATTCCGGTGAGGGGGCTGCACAACCTCGGCAATACGTGCTTTTTCAACTCGGTTTGCCAGGCGCTTGCACAGACCATGCCCCTGGCCCAAATGACCCTGCTATCTGATGCGCTGGACTATTCACGACCCACTCGAGCTGCGCTGCTTTCAACCGTTGCCGCCATTCGCACCGGGAGCTCCTCGTCCCCGTTCACGCCGTCCGAGCTGCTCAACCGTGCTGGCGCCGCCAATCGGCGTTTTCGAGGCCGGGCTCAGCAGGATGCGCAAGAGCTGTTACGATGCTTGCTCGACGCGGCTCTCGAAGAAGACCGCGCTCATTTGAAGCAGAAGAATAGTGGCAGTCGACAGCCAACTCCCACCCCGTCCGAAAGCGCCAGCACAGCCGACCCTGCGTTGAGCAAGAGCGGCGAAGAGGAGAAAGCGGACGAATCTGAGCAAGCTCGGCAGCAGCCCACTGCCCGAGTCAAGACATGGGTTGACGACATTTTCGGAGGCACACTGGAGAGCCGAGTCACCTGCGTCGCGTGCGGCTACGTGTCCACCACCCACGAGCCATTTTTAGACTTGTCGATCGAGATTCCCCCGCTCTTTGAAGACGGTAGCTCAAAGCGAAAAGCGCAGAGCGCTGCGGCGGCGGCTCACGCTCTGCGGCCCAGCAGTGCCTCCACGCGTGCCATGGACGAACTGGCCAGCCAGACCACGAGCAAACACCAGCAGAAAAAGGCTGCTGAGGCCAAACGTCAGGTAAGCCGGAACTTTTCAATGGAGTTGGTTTTTTTCGGCACATGCGTTCGATTTGGGTGCTGAACTGGTTTGTTTGCTTGTGTTTGCCACCAAAAATAGCTTCTCAAAAAGGAGCGTCGCCTAGCCAGTAAACGCGGAGACTCGTCACATTCAAACTCCGAATCCACTGAGCCGAAAGCTGAGAGCGAGTCGGCCGAGACTTCCGATGAGCTGCAAGTACCAGCAGTTCCTCCTACCTCTCAGGGAGGAACGCAGGAAGGGGATCAAGACGCAGTTTCGGAAGCAGCTGTATCGCATGAAGGAGACAGCAATCCCGTTTCGGAAACTGCTTCGATGGCGATAGTAGAAGACACCGAGACCCGCCCTTCCATTCCTGAAGATGTAACACCGAGCGAGGTCCGAGCACCAGCGCCGCATGTTGCGCACAACTTTAAGCCGGGTTCCCTGGAAGCTTGCCTGTCCGCCTTCTTTGTCAAAGAGCGCTTGGAAGGAAACAATCGCTACGGCTGCAAGAATTGCTACTCGCTTCGAATGAAGCGATCTGGATCCGCCGAGGTCGCTACCCCATCCGCAGACAGCAATACCGAACCGGACGCAAACGACGAAAACGCTTCCGACCCCACACACGCTGTCCGGGCGAATCTAGCAGCCCTGCACATCTCCACGAAAAAGCCAGACGCTGCTGATTTGCCTCTGGCTGGCAAGTATGCCGTCCTGCGCGCTCAGCCCAAAAAGGCCAAGGATCCAGAGGTCGATCGACAGGATGCGGACAAGCAATTCTTGCTGCACACTGCCCCGAACTGCCTGGTCGTTCATCTCAAGCGGTTTTGCCAGACTCGCCACGGCGCAGAGAAGAATACTCGATCTGTGCCCTTCCCACTGGTCCTCGATATGACCCCATTTACAACAATGGCGAATGACAGTGTCGAGTCCTCGTCCTCCTCTTCCTCCGCTTCCTCCTCTGTGATTTATGACCTTTACGCGATTGTCGTTCACATGGGCGGGATGGGCGGTGGGCACTACATTGCCAATGTGAAATCGCGACGAGAAGGCGGCCTTGACTCGTGGTTTAGCGTCAGCGACTCGCACGTGTCGACGATGGAAGTGCCTTCGGTGCTGTCGTCACAGGCCTTTATGCTGTTCTACGAGCGTCGAACGGCCGATCCAACCCCAGTGCACTAAAGTCAAATACAAGTCTTTTTGGTGACAACAACAATGATGAATCTTTTGCCGTATGAATTTGGAAATTGAACTTCTATTTTCGTGATGGTCAATATGCAAAACAACCGGGGGAAACATTGGACGGTTGCTTAGAGGTCTTGGCGAGCCAAGAAGCGGGTGATCATGGCATAGCCTTGTGGGGGAGCAGTCTGGGGAACCATGTGGCCAGCGGCAGTGACGGTGGCAAAGGCGAACGAGCCACCAGCCTTGCCGACGTTGTACGAAGTGTAGTAGCCAGCGGGGGTGGTGAAGCCCGACTCGGGATCCTGGTACGACCACGAGCGCCACGATTGAGCTTCGGGGTAGCCAAGACCAGAAGTCCACTCCTCGGAGGCAGTGTAGGGCACGCAGACGTCGTTCTGGCCGCTGTAGATGAGGACGCGGAGGTGGGGGATGAAAGTCTGGTACATGGGCATGACCGAGTCGAGGTTGGAAGTGTAGGTGATGTTGCCAGTGCAGATTGCCCATTGGCCAAGATCGGTGCGCACGTGGAGAGCCTGCTGGACGGTGGGGTTGGTGAGGTAAGCGGTGAGGAAGAAGCCGTCAATGCATTCATCGGGGCCGCCGACGGGGTCCTGCTGGAGGAGGGGGTGGTTGCGGTTGCCCATGTACTTGCGACGGAGAGCGTACTCGTTCTCAAAGCCGAGCTTGGCGGACGTGAGGCTGTTGATGCAGGGAGCGGTGTAGTCGTAAATGTTGACGTGACCAACCTCCTTGCTCATCTGGTCGAGGAGAACGTTGCAGGCAAGGGAAGGGTTGGCCAGGTTGGTGCACACGCTGCGAATCTGGCGCGCCAGCTTCTCGCTGTACAGACCGTGGCCGATGAGGTAGTTGACGGCAAACTCGGTGCCAGCAGGGCCGCAAGCGCCAAAGTTGTTGCCAGTGCAGCCGTTGCCGACGAGCATGCCCTTGAGGTTGATGTTGTTGTTCGGGGCGGTGAAGATGGAGTAGACGAGCGAGGGAACGTAGACCTGAGGGACCAAAAGCAAGACAAGAACAACAAAAACACCAAAAAAAAAAAAGTCGAAAAGCGGTGAGACATCGACCTTCTCAGACCGCAGCATCAGACCGCAGCAGCTTTGATGGCGGACTTACACCGGCGTACGACTCGCCAGCAATGTAGAACTCGTGAAGGGCAAGCTCGGGGTAAAGGGCAAAGAAGTTGATGAGCGCGTTGTGGCTGTCAGAGGCGGTCTGGTTGTCGTTGGTGTTGTAGTCAGCCTTGGTCGTGCCGTAGGAGAAGCCGACGCCAGCGGGAGCCTCGAGGAAGAGCATGTTGGCAGCACGGGTCCAGGCCCACGGGTTGTCGACGAGGGTGGGGAGAGCGGTGGCGTTGTACGACGAGACAAACTTGAAGGGGCCCATCTCATAGAAGAAGCCATCGAGCGAGGAGCAGCCCGGGCCGCCGTTCAGCCACAGGACCAAGGGAGCAATGTTGGGATCGACTTCGGTCGAGAAGACGAGCTGGTAGTGCAAGAAGCGAGCTGTCGATGGCAAAATCACGAGAGAGGGAGAGTGAGTGAGAGAGAGAGAGACAGCATGGTGAGTGACCAAGTGGAAATCGTCGACCACCAAGTTGCTCGCTCAATCATGATCATCAGACCGAGGGATGGTTGAAACGAGACAACGAGAATGTTACAAGTTTGCCAAATACAAAGCAACAGAATAGTAAAGCAATAGAATAGAAGAGAAGCGAGAATAATTGACATTGACGCCGTTGAATGACCGTCCATAAGAGGACGAAGATGTTGAAGATGAGATTGACTGATGATGATGATCAGTGACTGACGGATGACGATCGGAGTTCACGAAAGTGGGCCCATGTTGCTGCTGCTGTTGTTCTTTGTTGCATGGCGTTTGTGGCTGAACACCGAATCAAAAAAGCCATTCATTGCGTGACTGACGGCGACTCGTGACTTGGCATGGCGCAACTTTTTTTTTTTGTAATTTTTTTTTTTTTTTTTTTTTTGGTTGATTCATCCGTTCTTTTTGCTTTTTCCGTCTTCATTTCAAATGCACCAGCGTCGAGTCAGACTTACTCGGGGCGGCCTGCAGGTAGCCAGAGTACATGGCAGGGAACTGCTTGCCCTGGTAGTTGGGCAGGGTGGTCACCTTGTCGGCGGGGACGGCAGCGTAGGCGGCAACCGCAAACAGCGCCAGAACGGCAGCCACAGAAAGCTGAGCACGCATGGCAAAAAGGAAAGAAAAAAACAAAAAAAAAAAATAAAAAGACTGGCAATGAATGTCGATGAATGCGGCAATGCCGAATTCAATGCACATTCGCAGGTATTGTAGAGTAGATCGACAGGAAACTTGTGACATCGAACAACGGCCAATCTGGACGGGCAAATGGCGGAAATCAGCGAGAAAATGCAAGTGTTTGGACTTTGCGTCGCTCCTGTGGCTGATGTGAGCGTCTGGAGAGGTCCATCTCGCTTGCCTGGGTGGCGTTGTGGCCAATGGATGTATAGAAGTGCACAGGCGCGCTGGTGCTGGAGGCTGGGAGTCAATCTCGCAATCCCGTTTTTTGCGATTTCACTTTCACAAAGCCAAACTGCGAAAGTGAATCGTCCTTGTGCGCATTCATGCGAAGATTTGCATCAAGTTCGTCTTCCGTCAACCTTAACTCTGCATTACCATTACCATCTATCGCATTTTCAAATTATTGATACGGCCGTTTGATCGAGTACGAATCTCGAGCACCATTCTCAATCCAAAAGCGGATTTTTTGCGGCGTACAATGCTGTTGGTCCCGGTCGTCGTGCACATGCCGCCATGCAACATATCTACTTGAAAATCATATTTTACATCTCATGTTACTGAGCGAGGCGGCAAGATTTGGACGGTAATAACGGACTTCAATGCCGTTTTCGACCATGTCCGGTTCAGAGATTTGAGGTTGTCTTTCACGTATGGCCTTCGTTTGACAGGCCAGTAAGCCCTGGGAAAATGGCCATACAATGCCAAGTCGTTAACAAATCGGTCAGTAGAAGCGGATCAATCTCACTCGACGCGCCAGCCTGTTGTCACAATAAAGCGTTGCTACCTCCCATTTCTTTTGAGCCGTCCTCCAATCAAGCTCCCTCAGACACTAAAGCTCAACAGGAACAAAAGACTGCACGTCGCAGAACGGATCAATCGAATGTAATCTAATCTAAACAGCTATCGCAAACCAAATATTAAGCAGCACAAAAGCGCGAGCAACAACAACGCTATAAAATCGTTTCAGAAAAGCCAATGGCAACGGTTGCACCAATAGTGAGACCCGTTAGCAAAAAGAAGGTGAGAATTGTTCCGGCAAGTTCGCTCTGGGACTCTGGCACAAGAGTAGGGCCGATAATCATGGCACTCTACAATTTGCAACCACAAGAACAACAAGAACAACAAAATCCAAACGAAAAACACCCAATCACACAACGTCAGATTGATTGCCGTCTGGACATTGCGTTTGCGTCATAACACGGGCACACTTACCGAGCCGAGCCAGCCATTCGTAACGCCAAAGAAAACATTGAATATCACGCCCCAGGACTCGTGGTTGAAGAAGGGCTTGTCAGTCGGTACGGCGCATAGAATCAAGAGGGGAATAAAGACGAGCCGCGCCACGTTCAGCAGCACAAGCGTATTGAGCGGCATCTGGTACACGTATGCCGACAAAACCTTTCCAACCATGTCAAACAGGTTGAAGGTGGCAATGATGATGACTGGATACCAGTCTCCCCAATTCTTTGACGGAAAAGATGTGTCGATGCCCGGAAACACGGCTAACGTGATGAAAAAACACAGACAGGTGGAAAGCGCTGGCTTCCAGATCTGCTTGAGAACAATCCAACTCGTTTCTGGCCAAACCAGATGGATTGCACGCTTCCACCAGGGGACGGGAGCCTCTGGCCACACTTGTTCCACGGACAGCACTGATGGGGCGCTGGGCGTGCCGTTCAAGAAAGCGCGCACCTGCTCACGCTCTCCAGGATGCGCGGCGTTGCCTTCCATCGGCCCGTCGGACCACTTGTCTGCTCCATTCCCTCCGGCGGCTGTGGACGCATCAGCTTGCGTGAAATCCGTCATGGGAGACATTGCAATGCTTTCAGCGCCCTGTTGTGTAAACCATCGGACAAAGGCAGATCTTTGGATGGCATAGAAGGCCACCAGGCAGACGAGCAGCGTGACAAAGCTCAGCCCAAAGTACGCGTAAGTCGAATCGCGAAGGCCTGCTGGAGAATCCCCCGAAGCTGCCTTGGTGACGATTCGGTTGAACGAGACTAGCAGCCCCGCGGCACCTGTCACGAAGAAGCAGTACGAGTTGGTGTCAACTTGATTTAAGCTCACTTGCCGCCTCCAACCCGACCAAAAACTCCTGGCAAACCCAGACTGACTTACTTTCGCCAGCCATGACTGCTTGCGTGTATCGAGGTGGCAATTGTGCAGCAAGCCCGTAATACGACCCCTGTTGAACTAGTGTTTGTCGATCGAATGTTAGATGGACAGATTTCGCGTCCGTCTTGCCATCCAACAGAAACAGCAACTTACTGCCTCCACCAACACCCACAGTGCCAACCGCGAGTAGAGTCAATGCATAGCCAGTATCAACGGAGAGCGAGCCGCTGCTCATCGCCCCTTCGATGAACGGCATCCCGCCCAGCGCGATCAAGAATAGTGCATAAGAAAAGTAGACGCGCTGGTTTAAGGAAAATCGATCCACCACGCGCAAGTTGATAAAGGTCGCTGGGAATGTCGTGTACTGTTCAAGGTGGTCGCGGCAAACGAAATACGTACGAATCAATACGACTGCAACAGCATCTCGAGGTGTCGCAATCGAATACAGAAGAGCGACGCGTCTTACCATGTACACCGCCGTCATAAAAAATGCAATCTCGTGGTCGGGATACCGACTATGGAAGTAATCGATGGCTGGATGGTTTGGAAAACAGCGCCGAAATCGAAGCATGTCAAAGATGGGACCAGAATTGAAGCAACAATCCCTTCCGGCCACAGAGATATCTCTCTCTCTCTCTCTCTCTCTCTCTCTCTCTCTCTCTCTCTCTCTCTCTCTCTATCTCTCTCTCTCTCTCTCTCTCTCTCTCTCTATCTCTCACACTCGCTTTACCTGAGACGAAGGTGTTGTACGGCATGAGAAAGCCGCCAGCGCACAAAACAAGGCCAAAGTAAACAAGATTGCGCGCGTCGACCGGTGCGCCATTGGACCCATCCGACCACGCTGGAGCACTATTGCCATGCTCCAACCAAGTCTGTTGCTGCCGGACAGTGGTACTACGGCTTGGACCTTGGGCCCGAGCGGCGGTGCTCGAGTCGACATCGGCGTCGCTCAGCGCGGCAAACTCGAGTCGTTGGCGACGCGGCGGCTGTGATGATGCAGATGATGTTAACGCAGAGGATGATGCCGGACTGTCCGCAAACAGCCGACGGGCCACCGGGTGCTTCAAGGGAGGTGCAGGCGCCGCTACGTCCGTCGGCTGCTGCGAATGCCACGCAAACTCGTCTCCGTCTCCGTCTCGATCTCGATGCCGAGTGCCAAGCTGATACTTGTCATCGTCATCGCTGTACGAGTCCCTATCATCATCGTCAGGATCCGACGACTGCACGCGACGCCAGTCCATGGATGAACTGCACCTTCTGGCTGTTGTCGATTTGTCACGATCAGAGACTGAGATACAACGGTAGTACAGAATTGGGTTGTATTCAATCGAGAGACACACACACACAACACAAAAGCAGCCGCTTGAACAATCTTGCAGTCAAGACAGCGCCGAGAAGAACAACAAACGGGCAGACAACAAAACAGACAACCAAGAAAGAAAGAAAGAAAGAAAAAAAAAAAAACTTATTCTCATAACAAAACAATCGTTCTTGCTTTGTTTTTTCGTTGTTTTACTATCTTCAATGATGCTTGGCCTGAGACGTGGCAAGCTTGTAGTACAGGCCGCGCTTGTGCAAGAGCTCGTCATGGGTGCCTTGTTCGGCCACCTTTCCCTTGTGGAAGACGACAATCATGTCAGCATCCTGAATGGTGGACAGACGGTGCGCAATGACAATGGTCGTACGACCCTTGCTGGCGCGGTCGAGCGCTTCTTGCACAATCTTTTCACTCTCCGAATCGAGGGCAGAGGTAGCCTCGTCGAGCAGAATGACCTTGGGGTTGCGGATGAGGGCGCGCGCGATTGCAATGCGCTGCTTCTGGCCGCCGGAGAGCTGAGTACCACGCTCGCCGACCTGGGTCTTGTAGCCTTCGGGGAGAGCGGAGATAAAGTTGTGAATGTTGGCGTTGCGCGCAGCCTCCACGATTTCCTCGTCGGTCGCGTCGAGCTTGCCATAGCGAATGTTCTCCTCGATGCTGGTGCCAAAGAGAACAGGCTCCTGGCTGACCAGACCGAGCTGCGAGCGCAGGTGCGTCACGTTCATGGTGGAAATGTCCTGGCCATCCAAAAGCAGCGTGCCGCTCTTGGGGTTGTAGAAGCGCTCGAGCATACCAATAACCGTGCTCTTGCCACAGCCCGAAGCACCCACCAGCGCAACAGTGTGGCCAGCAGGCACGTTGAGGGACAGGCCTTGCAGAATCGGAATATCCGGGCGTTCGGGGTAGGAAAAGTGCAAGTCCTTCAGCTCAACAGTTGCGCTCTGAACGGCAACACGTGTGCCGTCTTGCGACATGGGATCGACCTCGGACTTGCGATCGAGCAGCTCGAAAATGTTGTAGCAGGCAATGCGCGCCTTGTCGGCATCCGTGGCGAGCGTGGACATCTGGCCGGCAGCCATGGCAGAGAAGACAATGGCGGTGAAGGTGCGAATCATCTCAGGGAAGGTCTGCTCGCCATCACCGACCAGGACACCGCCATAGTAGAAGGCAACGGCGTACGTGAAGAACATCATGGCCTGCGAGAAGCCAAAGCCAACGCCGGCAACGTGAGACTTCTTGACACCGAGGTGGTACGGGAAGACGAGCTCGTGCTCAAAGTTGGACAAGAAGAAGGCCTGCTTGTTCAGGGTGGTCACGGTGCGCGCGTTCTCGATTGCTTCAGAAGCGACCTTGCCCGACTTTTGGTAGGCCAGCTTGCCTTGGGCCGAAAAGCCACCGAGCGCCTTCATCTGGAGCGCGCCGGCAAACATGATGAGCGGGATGCAAGCAAGAATGACGAGCGTCAGCTTCCAGCCAGCCACAAAGGCAATAATCACACCGGCGAGCAGATTGACAGCGACTTGCGTCAGAGTACCAAAGCGGGAGCCAGCCATGCCCTGCACCATGCTCGCATCGACAGCCAGACGGGCAGTCAACGCGCCGGTTGCGTTCGCGGGCATGTCAAAGAAGGCAATGTTCTGGCGGAGCATGGCTTGGAAGCTCATTTCGCGCAAGCGCAGGGTCAGCCGTTCACCGGAAACGCCGAAAAAGTAGGTTTGCATGTAGTTGGCAACGCCAGTGACCACCGCGAGGACGACAAACATACCCGCCCAGAAGCGAGCGCCTTCGAGCAAATCGTCGCCAGTCTTGGAGAAGACGTCGAGAATCTCAGAGAAGAGAATGGCAAACACGGGCATGACCACGCCGTTCACTGCAGCACCAATCATGCCCAGAATCAGCAAGCCAAGCTCGGGACGGTTGAGCTTGAGAATGCGACTCAGGGGAACCTTGTAGTCTTCGGGCACAGCCGCCTTGGCCTTGGCGTCCGGGTCAAGCTCATCCTTGCCGTCCGCTCCCGCTTTCGCTCCGTCCTTGTCAGTCGTCGCTGCGGCATCGGTGCCGCCGATGGCAGCGCCCGTGCCGCTCATTTTGTTCGCAGAGCGGCGGGTGGCGTCGACAGAGCGGCGGGTTGGGTCGGCAGCGCCTCCGGGAACATCGAGGCTGTTGCCTTGTTCTTCGTCCTCACCCTCCTTCTTGCTGGCAGCGTGGAGAGCCTGGGCCTCAACGAGCGCAACGAATGCACCGTCGGGGATGGCCATGAGCTCGGCATGCGAGCCTTGCTCAATCACGTTACCGCCACCAAGCACGATAATCTTGTCAGCGTTGCGAACGGTCGAAAGACGATGGGCAATGACGATCGTTGTGCGGCCGACAGAGGCCTTGTCAAGTGCGTCCTGGACGATGCGTTCCGACTCGTTGTCGAGCGCAGAGGTGGCCTCGTCGAGAAGAAGGATGCGCGGGTTTTTGATCAACGCGCGAGCAATGGCGATGCGCTGCTTTTGGCCGCCGGAAAGTTGCGTGCCGCGCTCGCCAACGGGAGTACGGTAGGCTTCGGGCAGACTCATGATAAAGTCGTGAATGTTCGAGTTGCGGCACGCCTGGTAGATTTCCTCGTCGGTCGCAGTGGGCTTGCCGAGGCGAATGTTCTCCTGGATGGTCATGTTGAACAGGACGGGCTCCTGGCTCACAATGCCAACGGTCTCGCGCAGCCAATGGAGATTGAGCGACTTGATGTCTTGGCCGTCGAGGAAGACCTGACCTTCAACCGGGTCGTAGAAGCGTTCAATCAGCGAAATGATGGTGCTCTTGCCGCAACCAGAGGCGCCGACAAGCGCAACGGTCTGGCCGCTGGGAATGTCAATGCTGATGCCCTTGAGAATCTTGACCTCGGCGCGGGTGGCGTAGTGGAAGTGCACATCGCGGAGCGAAATGTCACCCTTGACAGTCGAAGGCTTGGCGCCCTCTGTAGACTCGGAATCGATCGGCGGAACGCGGTCAATGACCTTGAAGACGTGGAAGGCTGCGCCCATGCCCACACCAAACGCGGCAATCGGCGGGCCGGCGTGGCCGAGCGAGAAGGCGCCAATGATGACGGCAAAGAAGACGTTGAGCACGCCACCGGACGTCATGTGACCCTGGTCAATCATAATGCTGCCAAACCAGAAGGCAAGAGCGTAGGCGAGGAACATGATAAAGAAGGTGACACCAATGCCCAAGCCGGACGCGCGCGCCTTGCGCACACCAATGGTGTAGGCCTCAATGAGACGACCGGCGTAGCGAGTGAGCTCGAGCGGCTCGCCAGAGAACGAGGCGACAGTGCGGATGGAGGAGAGGACCTCCTCGGCAATAGCACCGGCGCCAGCGTAGGCCTTTTGGCCTTTCGTCGTGGCGGAAGCGAGCATCTTGGAGAAGAAGCCACCGCACACGGCAAGGAAAGGAATGACGGCCAGCAGCACGAGCGCAAGCTGCCAGCCACGCACAAAGGCAATGACAAAGCCAGCAAAGAAGGTGGTAAAGTGCTGGAAAAAGACGCCGACCTTCTCACCCACAGCTTCCTGGATGAGGAAGGTGTCGCTTTGGATGCGGGTGGTGAGATCGCCGGCCTTTTGGGTGTCAAACCAGCCAATGTCTTGACGAAGCATGGCTTTGACGTACCGGATGCGAATCGTTTTGGTGATGCGCTCGCCAGCAATCATCCAGCAGGCCATCTGAAGGTAGGACGTAATCCAGGCAAAGATAGCCAGGCCCACAAACCACATTGTAAACTCAAAGATGCCATCGTCAAACTTGTCGCGGTCGTCGGTCTGCGAGAACTCGGTGAAGACGTCAATCATCTCGCCGAAAATGATTGTCATGCCGGGCAACGAGCCACCAGCGCCGAGCGAGCCAAGCAAGCCGAGGCACATGAGAAGCTTGTCGAACGGGGTGGCAAAGCGCAAGAGGAGCTCCTTGAACGGGACCTTCTCGGCGTCCTTCTTTTTCTTCTTCTTGCCGTCCGCGTCCGTCTCGCTGTCGTCGTCGCCGTCGCCGTCGCCGCCCGACTTTGCGGGGGCAGCGATAATCTCGTCGGGATGGCTCAGCTGCTTCATTTCAATGGCGACAGAGTCGTCCGCACGCTTTTCGGCGCGTCGGGACTCTTCGCGCATGGCCTCGTTGTAGGACGGCAGGCGAGCGCGGACTTGCTGCATCTCCTCGTTGCCACTGTTCAGCGAGGTGCTGCTGCCGCGCTGCTCACTCGCAGCAGGCGGCGTAATGTGCACCGCGACGCTCGAGTCCAGGTTGTCCAACAGACCGTCGCTCGAGCTTTGGTGAATGGGATTTGACATCATCTTCCAAAGCTTGGTCGAGAGACAAGGTCAAAAAAAGCGAGGTCAACGAGCGATGGGGAAAGAAAGAACTGCACAAGCAAGAACAAGCGTGAGTGAGTAAACGACAGACAGAGGTGAACAGCGACAAAGGAAGGCCGAGTGGAAAGCGTGTGGTTTGAAATTTTGAAAACGAACAACAGGTGAACAGGTGGCGAAAGGCGTGAGTCAGTTCGCTCAATTTTCGCTCAGTTCGCTCAATCGCCGCCCCGCGTCCCCTTTCGCTCTCAATGCCACTCGCTTTGAAAACGGGGAAGCAGTGCAAAGTAGAGTCAAGAACGAAGGCACGACATACACAAAGACAGAGCCAAGACGAAAAAAAAAAAAAAAAAAGAAAAAAAAGAGAAAAATAAACGACTGCGTTTCTTCCAAACTGGAAAACACAAACTAAATAGTTCGCGAGATGATGATGACAAGCACAGGCAGCAGATATGAAACAAGACACGCAATGTGAACAAACAGAGACGACAGATCAACCATCGCACAGACAGGGGCGATGAGATGTTGGGGGGCGAGAGGGGAGTCAATGGATTGTGTAATCCTAGTGCGTGTGCTCTTTGGGATTTCCCCGACGTTGTTGGGTGGTGGTTTTCCCTTATTTTGTCGACGCCCTCTGGTCGATCCAAGTCCCTTGCTCAATCCAACAAAGACGAGGCTGCATGGGATGACATTTCCCCCATTTAGTGTGAAAGCGAGTAAGCGAGGGGGACGATGCAACACAGACAGCCAAGGAAGAGGCACAGTTCTGTTTGAAACCGCAAGCACCACGCGAGCTTTTTTTTTTTTTTTTTTTTTCTGTTTTTCCTTTTGGACTTCCACGAAATTCGGCGAATGAACTGTGCCTGAACTGTGTTGGTGTGTCACGCCGTGCTTTTGCTCGTGTGCTCCGCTCTACCACCACCAACAAGGAGAATTTTCAAATTTCCCTGAAAAATAAAGATGGATCGAAGGTGACGTGGCACGCGACTCAGATAGCGCTAAGACAAAAGATTGAGGCGCATTTCTGGGTGGAGGTGGCCGTTTCGTGTCTTGGCGTGCACTTGCATCCAGTTGCAAGTGTGGATCACGCAGCACCAGGAGGGGGTGCAGCGGTGGCAATATTCAGCGCCTCTCCAAACCGATGGAATGGAGCCAGCACCCACTCGCTGGGTTGTTCGGGGGGAAAAAGCAAGGCGAATGGCGTGGATCAGAGCAAAAAGGGGCGGAGTCTCAACCGTTTGCGTCAACCGTTTGCACCGCTCCAATTCGCAATTCTCCATGTATCGAAGGCTACTACTCCAACCGCTCCTCCCATGTTCCCCGCGCCCGTGTGAGAATTGAGTGACAAACGCAATCAGATCACTTACAAGAAGGAGACAAAAAGGAAGAAAGAAAACACACACACAAAAAAAAAAAGACTGAGCGAAGCCTGAAAACGGAAATGCTCCCAAATCGAGGTCCTCGGTAACAATCATCTTCCTGCATCAACGCACGATGGAAGTGTGTGCCAAAGCAGTAGAAGGTGGATTTTCCCCCATGAAACGACTGATGAAGCCGGGGGAACATCGAGTGGACGCACAACTTGTGTTTGTATCCTCGTCGGTGATTTTAACGGGCAGCCTCCGCGAGTGTGTGCGTCATTTGGCGCCGCCTCTTTTTGCAGAACACTCACAACAATCCTGCTGGTTGTATGGCCGAGTTGAGGTTTGCTACGGAGACGCGGAAGGTCTGGGTGGACTGTGTGAAACGGGGACTTTACTCGGAGTGATTTTGTTTTGGTTTTCCTGTCGCAGACAAACAGTATCCTCCCCCCCCGCCGCCTCCAAATCCACCCAGTTTACAGGAAATTGGTCAGTCTCGATCCTACGGCGGGTTTAGTTCTAGCACAACATGAAGTGATGCACTCCAAACCCATGCCAGCCCACATTCGTGATTTAGCGCCCTTGGTCTTCCACTCAATTCTCATTCATTTTCAAAGCCGGAAACAGCTTTATTGAAAGATCACTCGATCACAGTGTGTCGCGCCAGATTAGTGTCGCGCTCTCAGCTCAATCACCTTGCCGTAAATCGAATTGAAGGATTGGAGCGTTTGTTTACTGTTTCCCAAGGAGCTCCACCGGCTCCATGTGCGCCAGGCTCAACACAGCAAGCACGACAAACACCTCCACATTCCACAGTTGCTGTTTGCTCGAGCTTGCACTTGTGGATTTACGAGGCGGAATGCGCTCGAGTTCCATTGCCCGCCACAAAACTCGTCCTGCCCTCGATTCACTTTTCCAAAGCTGCCGCTTCGCTTGCTGCTCAAATGCACGTACAATCATGGGACTCGAGTGCAAGACCTCTGGCACCAAATTAACGGCTCTCTGAAACACCAAAGCTCTTTGCTCGTTTTGGGACATTGCTCATTCGGTCTCTCCTCTTTTGCAACAGCAATGAAGTAAGACGGCCCAACCATGCCGTGCTCCTCCTATCGACCAGCCCGGCCTTCTTGTTCGACCACATACAACAACTGTCTTACAACAGTGACGGGGGGGGTGTTTGCGCGCGTCGCTGATCGTGGGAGACGAGGCCGTGGAGGGAAAATGTGCCGCCAAAACCGATGCGTTGCTGGCCACTTTCCGAGCATACGAGCGACTTTTCGGCAGTCGTCGAGGACTCTGGCAGACTGCACACGAACAAACGCGTGATTCTGGGCAGGGGGACGCGGAACGGGCCCAGCAAGAGGCTCAAGCGGATGAGTGGGGTTGATCCGTTCGTCCAGCCGCTCGCGCCTTTCAACCCCTCTCTCGCACCCATCCGCGCCCGTCGTGTCCCGCCCTTCGTTGCAATCCGATACAGCACGACTTGTCCAAGGCGATTCACTCGGGGAGGACGGAATCTGTGCACGCAGAGGCGACGGATTGTCGTTGCAAAGCCATCAGCCCAGCCAGCAGCACAATCGCTTTCACCGCTTTGACGATTTCCAACCTCCTCTCTGCAAACTTTTTATTTTTATTTTTTGCCGACCCTCACTTCTCGCCTTCTGCACCCCCACCCCTGTTCTTGTTCATTCAGGCTCGAGCTTTGCAACTTCAGTGGATTCAAGATCTACCCCGGCCACGGCCGCCGCTACATCCGCTCGGATGGCCGCGTAAGTTTTTTTTCTTCTTTTCTTGTAGCTGTTCGGAGAGTTCCTGGTTTCTTGTGCTTGGCGTTCCGCGGCACCTGCATGCGGCATTGGAGTTGTGCCAACCGCTAATATGCAAGCCATCTGGGGGGGATGGAGAGGAGCACCGTTGGAGAGAGGATTCGACTCGCTGCCATGTTTTCGTTCGTTCGCCCGACAAGCTCCCTCACCTCCGTCGTTTTCCCCAAACACCCTTGTAGAGCTACATCTTCATCAACTCCAAGTCGGAGTCCCTCTTCCTCCAGAAGAAGAACCCCCGCAAGATTAGCTGGACCGTCCTCTACCGCCGCAAGCACCGAAAGGGCGCTTCCGAGGAGGTTGCCAAGAAGCGCACCCGCCGCACCGCCAAGTTCCAGCGATCTGTTGCTGGCGCTTCCCTTGAGGCCATCCTTGCCAAGCGCAACCAGAAGCCCGAGGTTCGCAAGGCCCAGCGCGACCAGGCTGTCCGTGCCGCCAAGGACGCCGCCAAGGCCAAGCAGGCCAAGAAGCCCGCTGCCGCCAAGGCCGGTGACAAGACCGCCGCCAAGGCTGCCGTCAAGAACGTCAAGGCTGCTGCTCCCCGTGTTGGCGGCAAGCGCTAAGCACTCTGTTCCCCCGAGCGCTTTTTTTTGACCTCTTATATACCGCCCCTTTGTATCAGCAATGAACCAGAAGTTGCGATGTTTCTATCCTTTTTGTTTATGGTTTGTGGTTGTGTTGTAGCAAAGTGGGGGGGGGGAAGTGAGCATTGGTGATTGTGGGTTTTTATTGGGGTAACAGTTTTTCCAGGCTTTACGGGACGTGCGCAGCCAAAAACGCATCCGCGCGTGCAAACATGCTCGCATAGGTCGAAGCACTGGAGAAAACGTGCCCCTCGCCTTCAAAAATATAAAACTCGACAGGCCCTTGGACGGCTGCGCGAATGGCAAGCGCCTGGGCTTTCGGAACGACCGTGTCCGCGTCGCCCTGGAAGATGATGAGCGGCTTGGTGATGCGACTGACGTGGGTGAGCGGCGAGCGTTCCGTGTAAAGCAGAGCTTGTTGATCAGGTTGCGCGGGGGTGCCAACCAGCGTCCCAAAGTAAAATCGCTCGAGCAGGTGGGTGGTTTGCTCGAGCGCTGCAAGCGACGTGACGCCGTTGATATCAATGCCAGCCGCCCACGATGCGCCGTGGAGCGCAAGTGCCATCAGGGTAGTGTACCCACCCGCGGATGCGCCGTAGCACACGGTGCGGGCCGGGTCGGCAATGCCGGCCTGAATGAGAAAGTTGCGAGCAGCTTGCAGATCGGCCACGTCGTGCACACCCCAGTTTTCGTTCAGAGCCTCTCGGTAGGGACGCCCATAGCCGCGAGATCCACGGTAGTTGACGGCGCAAACAATCCAGCCCTTGGAGACAAAGTGCGAGACAAGCGGGAAGAAGTTGTCGGTAGCCATTCCCGTCGGACCCCCGTGGATCATGAACGCGGTCTGCGTGGGCGTGGGCACGCCAAACAACCCAGCAGGTGCGCCCGAAACGGCACCAGCGTCGAGCACTTGCTTGGGGATGTACAGGTGGGCGTACGCCTGATCGATGCGAGTGTCCACGCGAGACGCCGTCGTCGTCAGTGCTGATGCTTGCTCTGTCGACCATGTCGCAACGGGTGGCAAGCTCTGCACAACAACGGGGTCTATGGGGAAGGCAAAATGGACTGGTTTTGGCCCGATCGCCTGCTGCATAAGCGAGCCTGGCGCAAAGCCGCCTTGCAGCACTGTGGTTGCAGATTCCGCGCGCCGGTCTGCCGACAGCGACACCAAAAAGGTTGTTCCGACCGTGTGGTAGTCGGAAAAGTAGGCCACGAAAGACGCGCCATCGCTGCACGCAAAGACATTTTCGTAAAAGCCGCGAGGAAGCGATTGGATTGGCCGCAGCAGCCCGAGTTGCACGGTAGCCGTACTGCTCAAGTCCAGTTTGGCCACATGCATGGCAAAGACCCCATCTGCAACAACCGCAAGCGCAATGGCATCGCGACCAACCCACGCGAAAGTGCTCGTCCCGGCACACCACGAGTTCCAGGCAAGCTCGGCTTGAATTTGCGCCAAGTCCACCAGCACACGGCTCGTGGCAAAGTTGTCTGCGGCGCTGGCAATCCAGAGGCTCAGGCGACCCGTGCGGTCTGACGCATACAGCAGGTGCTGGCCGTCGGGCGAAAACCGCGGATAGCCCACTTGCACACCTTCGCCGCCATCCAAATACCGGACCACCCAGGGCGCGGATGTGTGCGTGCGCGTGGCCATCGCAATCCAAGAGGACGTCCACATCATTGCAGCTGCGCGCCAAGAGTGGAAGACTAGCAGGTTTGGGTCGGCTGGGCTGGTGCATGGATCGTACGTGAAAATGTCGCGCATCTCATCAACCACAGGGACGATGGATGGGCCTGCAGAGGAGGAGGATGCGCCTGGTGCGTTGTCAGCCACAGTCGGAATAGCGGCAGCATTGGCAGAAGTGGCAGTAGCATCATCGGGAATGGCGACAATGCGCATCCGATTGCGACCCTCGCACACAGCATAGATGGTGCCATCCTGAGAAATTGAGGGGGCATACAACTTGAGCGCGGGATCGCCAAACTGGGTTTCGAGCGTCCGGTTGTCGGGGGAAACGACTGGCATCGGCAATCCGCCAGTTACAGACACTCGGAACAGCGTGCCGCGCGACGAAAGCACCAGCGACGACGAGTCGGGAGTCCAGCAGTACGTGCCACCGCCATAGGCCGTGTTTGTGCTGAGCGGCAGGGACGACAGCGCGACGGACGAGCTGCCCAGCGACTTGGCGAACGTCCGGATTGCAGACGAGGAGACTGTCGGCGGGACGGGCTGCGACGGGTCAGTCCTGCGCACATGCAGCAGACCTGCACTCACGAACGCGAGGAAGCAGCCGTCGGGCGACGGGCGACACTCGCGGAAGCGGGGACCCGACAGAAGGACGTCCTGAAGAAGCGAGTTGTTGTTGTTGGAGTTTGACATGGATTTCAAAGCAGAGGATTAATCATCCACACAACAAAGGACGAGTGCATTGAAGGCGAAACATGTTGGGAAATTGGATTTATTGGAAAGCAACAAGCAACAAAATCGAAGGGGACAAAAAAAGAAAATCGCAGAAAAAAAACATCGAGTAACGCATGCAAACGGACACAAAAACACAAAACAAAACAGGGCGACCACCAGGGGAGCAACCCTCCAAAGGCGGGCCAAAATCATGCAACACACACGGACGGTTGGCCGTTCAGGGGAAGCAGGCAATGAGGCAGATGCCAAACAGAAGAAACATTAACAAAAAGGTTTGTTTTTTGAAGAATTTGAAAAAAAAAATTGAATCAAAGTGAGAAGGATGTGGTGAGCAAGCTTGGGATCCGACTTCAGAGCGCCAAAACGAGAGAGAGCGCTGCTATCGGACAAGATTGGCCACCAGAGCGTCCACGAACGTGCAGCAGTCATCGAGAGTTTGCGCGCCACCGTGGAGCTTGGGAGCGAGATAGAGGCAAATGCTGCCAATCAAGTCTTCCTGCACGGAGGCGGAGAGCAAGGTCGTTGTGGGAGACGGCGGCATCAGCTGGTCGGGAAGCTCGCGCAGCACCGAAACGAGAACGGCAGCGGCGAGGACGGAGGGGCGGTAGGCGAGCGATTCGTAGTTGCTGTAGCACGAAACCAACCGTGACAAGCCCAGACGAGCGATGGCATCCTTGGGCGCGGACGCCGGCGGGAAATCTGCCAGATTGTCCTCGCCCTCATCACGCTCTTCCAAAAAGTCGTCAATGCAGTCATTGTCGTCGTGGCCGACGTGTTCGTCATCGTCCTCCATGTTGAGACACCGCGTCAGGCTGGGTGCCGCGTTGCCTAGCCGCCGCGGAGGCAGCCGGGACGCCGTATCATCGTCCAGGATCATATCGCCAGCGCTCGGGTGCTCGGGATCGAAGGAGATGGTGCTGGACGTGCTGTCGTACCGGACACGGCGACGCTGAGACACGGTCGCCATCCACTGCTGGTGTTGCATGGACTGATGTGACAAGTGATGGCCGTGGTGATGGCCCCCTAGGCTGCCGCCGCTGAGCGTGCTGCTCGTCAGCGAAGCCTTGCGCGCTGCAAAGCGTGACATGGCATCCGGGCGTGTGCGTGACGCACCTTCCTCGGGTGTATCGGACATGTCAGCCGCCTGGCCCACGACCGCGGAAGGCGGGAGGACGAGCGGCGACATGCCACCACCGGGGCCACCAGACCCCAAGCCGCCAGAGCTGGAGCCCGAGCTGGAGCCCGAGCCGAGGCCGGAGCCGGCGGAAGACATGGTGTCGCTTCCGACGCCAGAATCCATCAGCGATACAGAGTCGCCGTGGTTGATGTGGTTGATTGCCTCGACCAGCACATCGTCGGTCGAGTTGCCGTGCACATCCGGCACTGTCCCCATCAGCAAGGGCGAGGCCCATGGCGAGGACAGGAAGGAGGCCAAGGCTTGCGAGGCCGCCGAGCTCTTGAGAGGCTGGACGAGGCGCTGCTGCACAAGAAGCTCGTGGAGATGGAAGAACATGCTCTCGTGCGAGACGGCGTGCACTTGCCACTTGAGCTTCTCCAGAATGGTCTTCTCCATGCGGAGCATTTCACTGGCAGAGTAGGCATGGTCGCAGCAAAACACGAGCTCTTGGAGCGTGGGCTTGACCTCAATTTCCTCCTGCATCTTGGCAGCAATCATGAACGACGCCAGACCGATGAGTTGGAGATGGCGCGGCTTGACGCGGACGCGGGACAGGAAGCGATCGACATAGTTGACGGCAAGGAAGAAGGTCTCGGTGGTGTACTCAAACTGGTTGTTGAGCTTTTCGAGCCACGACACGAGCCGGTCGCGCATGACGGGGGTGATTTCGCCGCGCTGAATTTTGGCCAGGTAGCTCGAGCAGGGTAGTTGGTCGCCTTCCTCGTTCAGCAGACGCATCAAGCGACGTTCTGCGCGCGGCGTGGTCTGCTGCATGTACGAGCCCGAACCACCAAACGACGACGACAGAACGGACGAGGAGAGCGGCTCATAGTGGCCCACACTCGAGCTGAGCGGCGAGAAGAAGGTGCCGCCATGGTGAGGCATGCTGTGGGCGCCGCCAAACGAGGACGAGAGCGACGAGAGCGACGACGACAACGAGGACGAGAACGAGTTGTGAGGCACAGAGTGGCGCGGGTCGAAACTGTTGTTCATCGAGAACGGCGACATGGATTCCAGCATGCTCGAGCCGTGGGGCATGGAGGCAGCAGCTGGACTGCAAAACATGGTGCCGCCGAGCGAGCCAGCGTGTGATTGGCTCAGCTGCGGTTGTTGTTGTTGCTGGTGCTGGTGCTGTTGAGACTGTTGCTGCTGGGCAACGCGCCACGACGAGCTCACGCTCGATGCGCGACCTCCCTTGGACGTGCCGCGCGCGTTGGAGGCAGAGGGAATGGGAATATTCCGCGATGCAGACGGGATGGGGATGTTGCGCGACGCGGACGGCCCCTGAAGCGCGAGATCGTCGGTCGTTGCAAGCGAATCCTCATCCATCAGCATGGGTGTAAGCAGAAGACTCGAGTCGCTGCTGGCTTTGGAGACGGTCGGGTGGACGCCGCGGAATGAGACGGGAATGGGCAGCGCGGGGGCGCCTCCTGTAATGATGCGTGCCTGTGGCATCATCACCGCACCACCGCCACCACCACCGTTAGCCATGGACATTGAGGCGGGATGGTGTTTGCCTCCCGCGCTCATGGCACGCTGTTGCTGGTGTTGCTGGTGTTGCTGGTGTTGCTGCTGCTTGTTGCCGTGGTGTCTTGGCTGGTGCTGGTGCTGTTGCTGT